AGAATATAAGGATTAAGTACATATACATTATCGAAATAAACGAGTATTAAATAACTGCGGAATACGTCGCTGTTGAAGACTCATCATGGGCGAGACTGCGAGATTAGCCAGATGTAACGTTCAGGTAGGACAAAGCTTGTTCACTATTGCGCACCTAGATATTCTACATTGATTTTTCAAATTGGATGCAATTTGCAGGATCAATGTAGAATTAATATTTCGACTCGGGAAAGACTCGGGAATGAGAACGAATTGTCATTGCACAATCTTCTTGGACAATCTTCTAACACTGATTTCTGGTATTGATCGATATTCGATTTTCGGTACTGATTTACTCTTTCATTCCTCTACAAGAAAAAAAAATTGATACGACTCGTCCATTTAACCACGTTAATTTGATGAATAAATTAAATATTGATCGGTCTCCAATTTTCGGTACTGATTTATTCTCTCTTTTCTTTTATAAGACAAAAAAAATTTATACGAATCGTTCGTTTATCCGAGTTAATTTGTTGAATGAGATTAGAGGGGTAAGTACCTGAAAAATGAGAACAAATTGTCATTGCACGTGGACAATTTTTTGACACTGATTTATGGTATTAATCGACATTCGATTTTTGATACTGATTTACTCTTTCACTTCTCAATAAGAAAAAAAATTCATACGAAACATTCATTTATCCGCGTTAATTTGATGAATAAATTCAATATTGATCGGTCTCCAATTTTTGATGACTGATTCTCAATTCAATCAATACAATTTTCTAACGCTGATTTATGGTATTAATCAATATCCGGTTTTCGATACTGATTTAGTCTTTGATTTCTCTATAAAAGAAAAAAAGATTGATATAAATTGTTCATTTATCCGCGTTAATTTGATGAAAAAATTAGATATTGAACGGTCTTTGATTTTCGGTATTGATTTATTTTCTCATTGTTTTACAAGACAAAAAAATTTATACGAATCGTTCGTTTATCCGAGTTAATTTGTTGAATGAGATTAGAGGGGTAAGTACCTGAAAAATGAGAACAAATTGTCATTGCACTTGGACAATTTTTTGACATTGATTTATGGTATTAATCGACATTCGATTTTTGATACTGATTTACTCTTTCACTTCTCAATAAGAAAAAAAATTCATACGAAACATTCATTTATCCGCGTTAATTTGATGAATAAATTCAATATTGATCGGTCTCCAATTTTTGATGACTGATTCTCAATTCAATCAATACAATTTTCTAACGTTGATTTATGGTATTAATCAATATCCGGTTTTCGATACTGATTTAGTCTTTGATTTTTCTATAAAAGAAAAAAAGATTGATATAAATTGTTCATTTATCCGCGTTAATTTGATGAAAAAATTAGATATTGAACGGTCTTTGATTTTCGGTATTGATTTATTTTCTCATTGTTTTACAAGACAAAAAAATTTATACGAATCGTTCGTTTATCCGAGTTAATTTGTTGAATGAGATTAGAGGGGTAAGTACCTGAAAAATGAGAACAAATTGTCATTGCACTTGGACAATTTTTTGACATTGATTTATGGTATTAATCGACATTCGATTTTTGATACTGATTTACTCTTTCACTTCTCAATAAGAAAAAAAAATTCATACGAAACGTTCATTTATCCGCGTTAATTTGATGAATAAATTAAATATTGATCGGTCTTCAATTTTCGGTACTGACTGATTCTTTAATTTCTTTATAACAGAATAAAAATTGAATACGAATCGTTCTTTTATCCGACTCAATTTGTTGAGTAAATTAGTGGGGTAAGTACCTGCAAGATGAAAACAACTTGTCATTGCACTTAGACAATTTTCTAACGCTGATTTATAGTATTAATCAATATCCGGTTTTCGATACTGATTTAGTCTTTGATTTCTCTATAAAAGAAAAAAAGATTGACACAAATTGTTCATTTATCCGCGTTAATTTGATGAAAAAATGAGATATTGAACGGTCTTTGATTTTCGGTATTGATTTATTTTCTCATTGTTTTACAAGACAAAAAAAATTTATACGAATCGTTCGTTTATCCGAGTTAATTTGTTGAATTAGATTAGAGGGGTAAGTACCTGAAAAATGAGAACAAATTGTCATTGCACTTGGACAATTTTTTGACATTGATTTATGGTATTAATCGACATTCGATTTTTGATACTGATTTACTCTTTCACTTCTCAATAAGAAAAAAAAATTCATACGAAACGTTCATTTATCCGCGTTAATTTGATAAATAAATTAAATATTGATCGGTCTTCAATTTTCGGTACTGACTGATTCTTTAATTTCTTTATAACAGAATAAAAATTGAATACGAATCGTTCTTTTATCCGACTCAATTTGTTGAGTAAATTAGTGGGGTAAGTACCTGCAAGATGAAAACAACTTGTCATTGCACTTAGACAATTTTCTAACGCTGATTTATAGTATTAATCAATATCCGGTTTTCGATACTGATTTAGTCTTTGATTTCTCTATAAAAGAAAAAAGATTGATACAAATTGTTCATTTATCCGCGTTAATTTGATGAAAAAATTAGATATTGAACGGTCTTTGATTTTCGGTATTTATTTATTTTCTCATTGTTTTACAAGACAAAAAAAATTTATACGAATCGTTCGTTTATTCGAGTTAATTTGTTGAATGAGATTAGAGGGGTAAGTACCTGAAAAATGAGAACAAATTGTCATTGCGTTTGGACAATTTTCTGACACTGATTTATGGTATTAATCGGTATTCGATTTTCGATACTGATTTACTCTTTCATTGCTCTATAAGAAAAGGAAAAATTGATGCGAATCGTTCATTTATCCGGGTTAATTTTTTTTTTATTATATATAAGTGGTCCATGGGACGATTAAATATTCGAATACATGTTGCCGTATCAAAGTCTCCTCTATAATAAACGATTTGACACGTCTGGGGACGCATGATGTATCGTTGCCCGCATCCCATTCCCTTCGTCCTACTTGTCTGTATAAAATGTCGAATTGAAACGTATTAAAAAGTATTGGCATTTTGAATATGTCTGATTTCTGAATTTTTTTGATCCGAAGAACAGGATTAAAAAGTATTAGTTTCCATTAAATTTTACTGCGCTAAATGCGAGACGGTCTCTTTCACCCGAGTGCCTCCCCAGGGAAATTTCTCTGGTACGCTAAATCACGTAAGGTCATCAGTCTTTGTAGTATATCTCGTCGGTGCATAAGGTTTATATTACCTGTACATACATATTTTGAAACATTTTCTTTGGATATTATATCAAATGGATTTTGCGTGTCACATAATATCCTTCGGACTACACGGACATTATTATTTTGATCAATTTGATTTCTTTGGTATTCATTGAATTATCCAGAACGCGCAACTGTCATGTTGAACAACTCAATTGTCGTGTGAAATGTTTCGATTTTTACAAATTTATATAAAATTTTTCATTTTTCACTGATTCACAGAAGTCTTTCACTTTTTATTAGTTCACGCTAAGGAAAAGATTCATGATCGCTGCCCTGAGCAACTGCAACGTTTTTCGAATCATCTATGTCGGCGCGCTTTTACTCCTCAGATTTCTGTCATTAATAACTCGATAATTATTGCGAATCTCGCAAAATGGTATGGGACTTTTATGTTTGTCTCAACCCAATCTACCCTCACACTTCGGGTTGGCAGCTAATTACCGGACACTTCATATGATCTTCATGATATTAATCATACACAATGTCAATTCTTTTTTTTTTGCACATGTTAACATATTAATTCATGTTATAAACGCGTAACAATGTGCGAGACCGTGCTTGTCAAATATGCTATTATGGTTGTAGCACGGACATAAACCGCCTAAAAATGGATGTAGCACGGACTGCCACCACATACAGGTTTTACCGCCGAAACCTGAATGTGGATGTAGCCTCGTAGTTGCCCTCTCAAAATGGATGCAGATGGCGGCCTTTCCCAGTGCGAAAAATCGGTGTCGTCGAAAACACCGTGTTGGCCGCTCTCACGTTCCTCTCTGCTAGCAACTATGCTTCTACGCCTCTTGATGCACGCCGCCAACAGTTGCTGAATCGACTAGGCCACGCTATGACTCCGGGCTGCGTTCCGATATTCACTGCCAGCACTGAAAATCTATAATATGTGTGACATAAACTATATATTTTCAGTACTGGCGGTGAATATCGGAACGCAGCCCCCCCGAACGGCTGTGAGTGCGGTCCGGCAACCGCTACAAATGCTTTGAAGCGTTTTTCTTTCTCGTTCTATTTCTCGGATGCAAACGAAGGAAGAGAGAGAAGTAAAAACGCTTCGAAGCATTTGTAGCAATTGATGGACCGCACCCTGTGATGCTTCTTCAATCATTCATCCCGGCGCGCGCTTAGAATTCTGTAATTAATAACTGCATAACTGTTAAGAATATCGCAAAACGGTATGGGATCTTTATGTTTGTATTAACCCACTTTATGTCTTTATGAGCTCTGCAACAATTGTTAGGACACAACCTGTATATAGGATGTCACAGAACAATTTTTACGACGATGACGGAGATGACGAAAACAACGAAGACAATGACGAAAACGACGACGAAGATAACGAAAGCGACGAAAACAACGAAGAAGATGAAGACTACGAAGACGATGATGAAGATGACGAGGACGACGACGACGACGATATATCTGTCCACGTTTACGAAAAAGACTTCTAATAAATGAAATTACCGCCAAATAAAATGGAAGTCATTTTGCTGCTTTCCTATTGGTTGACTATAAGGCGTTAATCGTAAAATTCCAATGTGATGGAAATTTTGCGATTACTGTTTTTCACTTGCATTGTTCCATTTAATTGTCCGTGATGGAAACTTACGACTTTACAGTCACGATTACGGATTTTCTACGTGCAAAGGCCTTAATATACGAAATGAGATATTTCCTCGAGGCATGCGCAGTGAAATGGTGATGTCTTCGGTAACGTATACGTTAAGGTATGATTGTTGGTTTGGTGAGATTAGACTGACAGACGAGAAGAAGTAGTAAGTTAAATGGGTGAGTAAATTAACATTGCATATACTAATATATCGGAGTAAATTCGCATTAAAAACGTTCATAGTCAGGGTAGAAGAGAAGCTGTTAAGAAATAAGAAGTTGGAAAGTCCAAAAATGGTGCCCCATTTTACTTATTCTAAATACCTCCTTGATACCATGATCATTCCGCATTATGTCTGATTTTGCACGGTAGAAGAGCTTGTTTTCATTGGTTAATCAGATAGTGCGAATCATTCTTCCAAAGTACATTTTCTGATATGACTGATTAGCAGATAATAGTAATGTACAAAACAATTACAGCATTTGCGAAAAGCGCACAAAATTACTACGGCAGCGGCAGCAGCCTATTTTCGACCTGCTTGGTAGAAACACGTTTGAATTGTCATTTGGAATTCGATAGCGAATAGTATTCAAATTATTTTACCGTTTTTATTTGATTCAGTTTGTTTAACCGTGTATTGAAATAACTTAAAATTCTTCCGATAACAATCATGGATATCATGATAAAGTTGAACAATCAAACCGCGGGGAGAGACAGATTAATGCGGTACGTATGATTTATAATAATTATAACAATTATGATTTATAACAAAAGTAAATACCGCGAATTATATTTTACAGATTGTTGCAGTACGGGTGTCGTGCTTCTTCGTATTATGCGGAGAGTACACTCTATTCAAAACAGGTGGAAATTCTTAAGAGCCTGGAATTTACCTTTAGTTCGTTCCGAAAATGTATGTGATCTTTTTCCTCCGCCTTGTAGAAGCACATTTAGTTAATGAAAAAATTGCCATTATCTCTTTATTCTTAGTGCTCCGTCTTGGAAGATGTTTGGACAGTCTATATCAAGCTTCACAAATGACGAAGCAATCGGAATTGGTGGTAAGGATAACATTAATTATGGCAAAAGTATCAAATGCCTTATATCTACTAGCGGATCATCTTATCTGGATGGGCAGAATGGGGATCATGAATGTGAATTTAACAAAATGGACTGAAACTGCAAACAAATATTGGCTAATGAACATCATTATGAATTTATTAAGAGATACTTATGAGATCTTTAAGATTTTTAAACAAGAGCGGATGTACTCACAAATGCAAAGTCGCAATATAGTCAAATGGCATTATATTCCACTCTCTTTGAGACTTCACAAGCCAGTTGTATTGGACACTATCAAGAATGGATGTGATTTATTTATTCCATTAACAGCATTAGGTCATGTAAAATTCTCTTCAGGTACAGTGGGTATACTTGGCATAATTTCCTCATTGATTGGTTTGTATACAATTATTGATCCATATTCTAAAATATGTCCTTCTTAGTGTTAAAATAGAATATTTTTCACTATGTAATCCATGTGCTCAGGTTCTGTATTCCATAAATTAGGGATATTTTAATTATTAAGAAATATTATTACAACATAATATCAAATGAATACAATTCAACATTCTTAATGATCATAATGCAGCATATAAGTTAATTTAGTATTATTGTTTAAATCAATGTTCTTTAATAATTAAGCTAATGTTAAGTTGGGATAAAGTATCTCTGTACTTCTGTCGGTCTATCATTGTTTCAAAGACTTTTATATTCAACTTTCTACAAAATTACATCAAATTCTTTAAATAATCGAATTTCTTTAAATAATTGTATTAAAAAAATTTATCATAAAGTATCATGTAACTTACTTATGAAATACAATTTGATAAATAAATTATACCTGACTTATTTGACCAAATTGTATTTGAAATATCATGAAATGTTAAAATATGACTAAAATGAAACTGATATTAAATGAACTAATGATTGTAATTATAAAAAAATATTTGCAATTTGTATTTCTTTTTATTTCTTTTATTGAATTTCCTTGATCTTCTATAATGCCTTCTGTTGCATTAGATAACAAGGTGCCTCTATTTAATTTTTATTGCTTAAGCTTTACACCATTGGAAAGAATCTGCAGATTGGACCGAAAAGTTTACTGTTCATTTGTACCCTTCTGGAACATTTATATATTTGTTCTTCTATTTACTTAGATTCTGTTCAACAACAATTGCAATTTAGGCTTCTATAGGTTATTTTTTCTGTACTTTTACTTGGTTATAACTCTCATGGATAACACATAATTACATTCATTTATCAAAATGTCCATAACATATACATTAAAATTAAAGACACAAATCTTATTCTAAAATATACGAATATAAAAACAAAGTCTTATTGTGACTTTTTTAAATACATAAAAATGGAAATAAGAGTGTGCCACATTGTTGTTTTATCTTATTCCCTTTGAATATAAAAATAAATATCGAATGGCCACTTGGAACACGACAGAAGTGAAGTTACGACGAGAGAGATACACGGTAATACGTGTCTCTACATCTAATGTCGTTTATTTCACCGTATCTTTTATACCAGTCAATTTCGTACTTATATCCCATAAACGGAGGGCTATCTCAGGGTCTAATTCCTTCTTAGAGACATATAATTTGCAATCACGATACAAATGGCCACTTTCTTTGGACAGTGAAGATTCTGTTGCACAGTGCAGTACTGTTTGAGCACCCTATAAATATATTCATAATAGAGAAGCTTTGAATGTTATGATGTAATGTATACATTATACACAGTATATTCTATATTAAATGTAATATATAATATAATATATATTATAATATATATTCTAAATATTATTTAATATATTAATAAATATTTGTTGAAGTATTTATCAATTATTTACTAGGTCCTTGGGTACATTTACCTGATTTGCAGTACGTAGGAACATAAGAGCAATAGGAGAGAAAATAATATAATGAAACCAACTCCTCTTCACATTTCTGAACAGACCGGTATAGGTGAATCCAGGACACACCATATAAACGTGAACACCGGAATTTTCTGTTCGTTTGGCAAGCTCGGCAGCAAAATAAGCGTTTGCTAATTTTGAGTTACAATAACCAGGATTCATTCTGCCCTTTACTGGTAATCCTTTCTCACCATTTAGATTTGAAAAGTCTATTACTCCAGATTCTAGAAGCTTGGATGTCACAACAACAACTCTGTATGAAATAATTAAACATTAGTGTTATTTTATTACTTCAAAATATTGCTTTGACAGGCTTACCTGCTGGGTGCACTTTGCTTAAGACAGTCCAGGAGTAGATTAGTAAGGAGAAAGTGGCCCAAATGATTTACTCCGAAATGGATCTCAAAGCCATCTTTCGTCAATGCACGATCTTTGAGAGGTGCGTATACACCAGCATTATTAATTAATACATGAATCTGTGAGAAGTCCTTTAGCACTTTATTGGCAAATTCTCTGATTGACACGAAGGATGCAAGGTCTAATTCCATCGGAATCTGTACAATTAATATAAATCTATATAACTTCCTGTTATTTTATCTTCTATAAATTAATGTTGAAATCAAATCTATCATTTTATCAACCACTACTGAAGCGTTATAGGTGTGCTTACTAATTCGCCGGTAGGTATTTTACTACGTATCTCGGCAATGACGTTTTTAGCGCTCTTCATGTCTCTGCAAGCCATGATGATCGTAGCATTTCGTTTTGCCAATTCCTTCACCGTTTCCTTACCGATGCCCGAGTTGGCGCCCGTCACGAGAAACACCAGTCCATGTAGATTGCTGGTGCTTCTACATCTTCCCCAGCTGCGTTCGCGGCACTTGCGAAGCAATCCGACGACCAGGAGCACCGGTAAAATGAAGTAACACCATGAAGGTACCATGTTTATCAGCTGGTTTCAATGTCAAGGTGCAGCGAGAACGTTGCGAGAATACAGATACAGGGCAGATACAGTGACCGTGCGACCGGTGAAAATGTGAGTCTATCAATGCATATTAATCGCAGCGCGATTATTCATATCTACTCTCGTTTGAATCGACGATATCACTCGCTCCCTTCACGTCAATCTAATTTATCACACGAAATAAATGGCATGACTGTTAGGATACATTCATGCGTACAATGTCGCAACCAGGTGCGGACGAGCAAACACCTGCTCTAAAATCGTGCCTTATCTCGCGGTCACTTGAACATGTAATCTCACATTTCAAATAAGGCAATTTAAGCAAATTGAAGATAACTACCGCACATCGGGACGACGTAGTGCGAATTACGAACAGCCATGATACAACGAGTACCTAGACACGGTATACAACCTTATTTGATTGCCCGGTTCTTGTGTTCTATCAGTTAGATATATGGTTTGTTTTTTCTCGGAGAACTTCCTGAGCTAGTGCACATTAGTGCAATAAATTGTAATGGAACAAAATATACTTATCTCACTCTAGCTTATTTTAGAACAAGAACAAACTCTACTGTGCCCCATTTATCAAATCGATAATTACTGAAAGTTTTGATCACTCGTGCCCATTTCTAGCTATTCGGTTTTCATGACTGCAAGTGAGAATGTGTCAAAACAAGAGTGATATTTTGACAGCTTTATATATACATACATGACAGTTTTATATAAATATATATATTATATATATGCAATAATTTTATATATTATATTCTTATCTATCTTTCTCAACTCACTTTTTTCTTACTCTCCTTCTCCTGATCGCACGTGACACATGAACGGATATCTTGTATATTGATAAGTATAAAATGTTAAGCTGTGAAAATGTGTCACTTCTATTTTGAACACATTCTCGCTTGCTGAATAAATCAGCAGTCATGGAAAATAAATAGAAACGTGCACAGCTGGCCATGACTAATATTTGATGAATCTCGATCGATATGTATGTAACGCCGTGAAAAATAAATAAATTGTATATCTGAAAATACATGCGTAAGTTTTAGAGGCTTCAGGTGTTTTTAAATATATATATACAAATTTTTAAAAGACATTTACCATTAGTAGGTAATGCTCACTACCAAAAGCGTTTAAATTAATCGATCATCTGAAAATTTCGATTATAAAAACTTGATACGCTTGAAATCGATTTTTTGAAAGCCAATTATTTTCTCTTTAACATTACTCATTCCTACATGATATGTAATGATGTTTTAGATATTTGATCTTGGATCTAAAGAGTATATCAAACGTTTATAATCTTTCTCTAATAAATAACAATAATAAAAATATGGAGAATGAGAATTTATTTTATTTTACACGCGATTCGATTGAATAAAATTTATCATAATGAAAAGTGAAAAGGTTGATTTGAAAATTGCGTTGTCCAATCTCTCGACTGCATATTCTCGTTCAATTCCTAGGTGATAATTGCGATACGGTTTTAACTTTGCCGTCTCTAGAGGTCATTCTACAATACGTGTCGTAAGTTGTAAGCTATAAGAACTGACCAATTATAACCGATTATTTTTCTAATAATCGACTGCGATTCGCCAATTCTTACGGCTTACAACTTACGACACGTATTGTAGAATGACCTTTAGGCTCAGGCATGGTGTCCGCTGTGTCGAGTATTGACTGCAAGTGTTAGACGTACCGTTCGAAATGCTGTCGAGATTGGCTCTTCGCAATGGTAAATGACAACACTAACAATGTTCACGATTGAATTTCTAAAAGTTATTGTACGAAAAAGGCGATTTCGATTGGTTTCGGACTTAATAAGTTTTGTGAAATTGCGAAGTTTATCATCACTATTATGTAATGACAATTGGATACTTTTGTATCTCTCCATAGTGTTTTCGAAATTATTCATATATTTTATAAGCTAGTTTTACGTGTTCTGTATATTAAATAAATTTTTCGGTTAAGTTACAATAAATGTGTAACTTCGAAGCTTATGGCATGATGTGCAATCTTGGTTATGCGACATTGTCATTTTACCATGAAGATACCTAGTTTTATCCTCCTTGTTCTGTACTCTTTATATTCTCATACAAGTTTTCTTTCTTTTTCTTCATTTAGTGTAAAAGGTATTTGCTTATTCAATAAATATATCAGTCAATTGTTGATAGTTTAAATGAATTATAAGCTAAGCAAGAAATAGTTTATTTTAACAAAAAGAATCAAGCTCGTATATATATAGATATATATATACATATATAATTTTTCTTATATACAAATATACAAGCATTTAGTGAGAAATAGTTCAAGATAAATAATATAAAGTCTTGTATAAATAATATTTTAGTGAGCTAATTGGATATACCATTTTTTCTGCTTTTTCATATTAGCCCAGTTGCTGCCTATGGCAGTACGTGGAGCACAAAATACATCTACAGCAGCAAACCAAATTGACCTTTCAAAACATCCTCAACGGATGAAACGGCCAATATATCCATCTCCTGTTAGACATGGATTCATACCTGAAGAATGGTTTCAAGCTTTCTATCCAAAAACTGGTGCATCAGGTAAACAGTTACCATGAGATATTTATTTTTTACAGTAATAGATTCCACTAAGTACTATATGACATTGTGATACTATGTTACTTTTATTGCTTCAAAATTTCATTAAGCTTTTTCTTATAGGACCGTATGCATTTATAATAACTCTGAGCACATACTTATGCTCCAAGGAAATTTATGTCATGGATCATGAATATTACAATGGTTTGTCTATGCTAATAATATGTATAGCAGTTACAAAAATATATGGCCCAAAAGTGGCTGAGTGGGTAGACAAAGATATAGACGACTATGAGCAATCATTAGAAAATATTAGAATTTCTGAAATAAATGAATACAAAAAGTGGATTGCGCATGAAAAGCAACAGCAGTACAGCCTAGAAGGGCAGAAAATGATAATGGATATTAAGAAAGAAAACGTCAAGATGCAGCTAGAAGGAACATATAGAGAACGTATGATGCGGGTTTACCAAGAGGTATAATCATTTGTCTTTCAATAAAAATAAAAAAGCCATTATAGAGAAATATGAATAGTACAACAAAAAAGAGTATATAATTTGAGGAATATATTTTGTTTGTTATTTATAGGTGAAGAAGCGCCTGGACTACCAAATGCAAATACAAAATCTTGAGCGTCGAATCACACAGAAACACATGGCCCAGTGGATCATAGATGGGGTATTGAAGTCCATCACTCCTGATCAGGAGAAAGCAACTCTTCAGCAATGTATCAAAGATCTTGAAGTTCTTGCTGCAAAGCCATAAAATGTCTGAATAGCACTGCATTAGATAAAATAGAAGTATGAAAACACAAAGAGAGGAACAACGTCGTAAACGCTGTCCACTTCGTGTATTCTGTCAAATGTTTCTCTTCGTTATTTAAAATCATTGAAACATTGTAAAACAGATGTAACAATGCAGTATAAATCACTTCTTGTTATATATTATAAGAAATTAAACATTTAAACGAAGATATAATTCTCTGTTTGATCTGCCGTTGAGTTCTTTTACGTTTTAATATATCTCATACGATATTTCATCAATAGGGCAATTTAATTAATTGAGGGCTGGTTGTTCCAACTTCTTGGTAAGTTAACTGATGGTTAAATCATATGTTTGTCTTCGTTTTTCCTTCAACTTAGATACAAACAGATATGATTTAACTATCAGTTAACTCACCATGAAGTTGGAACAATTGGCCCATTGAATCGTGATATTTAGCGACTTTCGTAAAAAATATCGTATGCGACAATTTTCAAGAATACGAGCCCGAGGCTCATCTGCTATTCCATTCATGCTTTTTTCGTGTCATGTTTCATATTCTGGCCACGATATTCGTAAGAGGGCGCTAATGCACAGCGAGATTTCTCTGGTATGTTAAATCCCGTAAGGTTAACAATCTTTATTAGTATCTCGTCAGTGACTGCGGTGAAGCGTTATTAGAGTAGAAGAGGTCGTGGTAACTGGTTGGTAGTCTATGGCACGCTACACTATGTGTTTATGTTGTTGGAGGTAGAATAATTCAATGTGTTTTTATGTTTTGTTCCCTAATATTAAAGTTTTTTTCATATTAATTAAAAATACATATATATTTTTTCTGTTTATATTCTTCATTCGTTAGTTCAAACATAATATATACTTTATGCTGAACATTTGCAGGCACGCGTTTTTGGCACATGTTGACACAATCTAATTTGTTTCATAAACATCCGCGGCAGATTGCAAGCGTTTGCGAATACTTTTCACCATGTATTCTATATGTAAAAGTACCCATCCTGCGACCGGTGTCGAACATGCAATTAATTGTAATTTTTTCAATCGTACCGAAAGATGTCTTGTTGTTGCTGGCGCAAATGTTATACGTGTTTTTCGTTTAATTCCGGATATCGATGTAACAAAAAAAGAAAAATATACAGGTAAGTTATTTTTCCAATTTTTGTATTAAATTCTATATTTCAAAAGATTTCACTAAAATCCAAAGGAATTATGTATGTAATTTAATTTATTTTTTTATAAATATTTTTCTTATATTTTCTTGATAAAAGAAGTAAACTTTGGCAGAGTATATTTAATCCCATTTTTAGTATTTGAAACATCCAATAATTTATAATAGCCCATTTTTTATTAATCTAAATATGAAATGAAATATAATATGAATAAATATGAAAAAAATTGTGTTATAGAAATACGTCTCCCTAAGATGAAATTAGAATGTTTGGCACAATATACTTTGCATGGAAATATTATGTCTATGCAAGCTGTGCATCTTATTGGATCACAGAAGGATTCTTTATTATTAAGTTTTCGTGATGCAAAATTGTCTGTTGTGGAATATGATCAAGATATCCATGATCTGAGGACAGTATCTTTACATTATTTTGAAGAAGAAGAAATAAGAGTGAGTTTCATTTGAGTTTCATGATAATATGTTTCTACTATGTATATATCAATTTAAATTATAAATAACTTATAAACTTCAATTATATTTTTCAACAATTTATGCAAATATTTTTTGTAGACATTTATGTAAAATTAATTGTGAAAGTTGCATGATTAATATTCAATTAATTAAATTTAAAAATTGAACTTATCTTTTCTAAAAATTTGAGTAATAATTTTGTATTATGATATTTTAAATATATTTTATATTCTATATATCTATATATATATATATATACATAGATGTATATATATATATATATATATATATATACATAGATATACGTATACATATAATATATACTCACAGAATATCCAGGATCTCTCGGAAATGAAAAATTGTAAAGATTAATCAGATATATATCTATATATGTATATATATAACGCATGTATATATATACACACCAACATATATATATATATATATTTGATTAATCTTCACAATTTTAATATATATATTAATATATATACATATGTTATATATTTTATTTGTATGTCATCAGGATGGATGGACAAATCATCATCATATACCTATTGTAAGAGTAGATCCTGAAGGAAGATGTGCAGTAATGTTAATATATGGTAGAAAATTAGTAGTACTACCATTTCGTAAAGATCCCAGCCTTGATGATGGTGATTTACTCGATACTGCAAAGTTTGCATCTTCCAATAAAACCCCTATTTTATCTTCATATATGATAGTGTTAAAAACACTGGAAGAAAAAATGGATAATGTGATAGATTTACAGTTCTTACATGGTTATTACGAACCTACATTATTAATTTTATATGAACCAGTAAGAACATTTTCAGGGTAAGATGTGTCTCAATTTTATTAAAAATATATATATATATGTAACAGTATAATATATTGACAAGAGAAACATTAATTCTTATACATAGACGCATTGCGGTGAGGCAAGACACTTGTGCAATGGTTGCCATATCCTTGAACATTCAGCAAAGAGTTCATCCTATCATTTGGTCTGTTTCTAATTTACCATTTGACTGTTATCAAGCTGTACCAGTGAAGAAACCACTAGGTGGTACATTGATAATGGCAGTCAATTCACTTATTTATTTGAATCAGAGCATACCACCTTATGGAGTATCACTTAACAGTTTGGCAGACACGAGTACAAATTTCCCATTGAGTGAGATACATACATATTTCTAATAATAATGATATTAATAAAATATTTTGATCATCATTGAATGTATATATATTTATCATTACTTATTTCTACTTTTGTAGGACCACAAGATGGAGTAAAGATAAGTTTAGAAGGAGCTCAGGTTGCATTTCTGTCTGCAGATCGTTTAGTCATTTCCTTAAAAAGTGGAGAATTATATGTTTTATCTCTTTTTGCCGACAGTATGCGATCTGTACGTGGATTTCATTTTGACAAGGCTGCTGCTAGTGTTTTAACATCATGTGTAAGTATTTGTGCTTATCATTTTGCTACTTTAATTCAATATGAATCGAAGTAAATGTAAATTTTCTTGGCAACTTGTGTTTGTTTTTGTTGTATAAAGGTGTGCATGTGCGAAGATAATTATCTTTTTCTTGGTTCTCGACTCGGTAATTCGTTGTTGTTACGATTTACGGAAAAAGAACCAGAAACTATAAAAAGTTTGGACGACGGCGAAATTAACATCGAAGACAATGACAACGAAGAACCTCCAGCTAAAAAGGCAAAGCAAGACTTTCTCGGTGACTGGATGGCATCTGATGTGTTAGATATTAAAGATCCAGAAGAATTGGAAGTGTATGGTAGTGAAACACATACATCCATTCAGATTACTTCATATATTTTTGAGGTACTGAAAGCTTTTTCCGTCTTATATAATGTATCGTATAACTTAATAATAATAATAATAATATTAATAATAACAATAATAAAAATAATACACTATATTTAAGAAAAAAAACAGCAAAATTCTTTTTGAACGTTAAATTTATATGTTGATTATTAATTCTGTTTAGATCATTGTTTTTATTTTTTATTTCCAGGTCTGTGACAGTCTATTAAATATTGGACCATGTGGGAATATTTCCATGGGAGAACCAGCTTTTCTGTCAGAGGAATTTGCTCACAATCAGAATCCCGATGTAGAGCTCGTAACGACGTCTGGATACGGTAAAAATGGAGCATTATGTGTACTCCAACGTTCTATACGTCCTCAGGTAATCTATTTTAATTCTATTTTTATTTAATATTTAAAAATGCTGATTTACCTTTTGATACCGTATATAGAAATATTAAAATGATTTTTTCTTCGATGAAAATAGGTCGTGACAACATTTGAATTGCCAGGCTGTGAAGATATGTGGACTGTTATTGGTTCATTAAATAATGACGAGCAAGTTAAATCAGAAACAGAAGGATCTCATGCTTTCTTAATATTGAGTCAGGAAGATTCAACTATGGTATAATAGTATATATTTTCATTTATAGTTGTTGTAAGAATTATTGCGGATTTTTTAAACTAATATCTTAATATTTTGAAAATTTTACCTATGGGTACTGGTTTGTTTCATAAAATATAAATTACACTACAAATTTTAGTATGATGAAATTTTAATGGAACGTTATATATATAAAGATTTGCAAGAATTTCTGCATCAATAAATATCAAATTATATGATAAGTAATGCTTGAAAATATCACTTTTTTCTTTTTTATTCGAAGGTATTGCAAACTGGTCAAGAAATCAATGAAGTAGATCAAAGTGGATTTAGCACACAAGGGAGCACAGTATTCGCAGGAAATCTTGGTGCTAATAGATACATAGTGCAAGTCACACAAATGGGAGTGCGTCTTCTGCAAGGCATTGAACAAGTATGTATATAAATTCTTAAGTGAAATTGTATTTTGTGAATTTTATTGAGGTATGTATATTGATACAAACGTATGATGTATATTATTATAGAGTCAGAAACAGAGAAAATTATTTTACACGTTTATTTCCGATTATAGATTCAACATATGCCCATAGATCTTGGCTGTCCAATTGTGCACGCGAGTTGTGCCGATCCATATGTAATTTTACTTTCGGAAGATGGACAAGTGATGCTACTGACGCTCCGAGAAGTTAGAGGCACAGCGAAATTGCACGCTCAGACTGCAAATTTATTGTTTGTGAGTTTAATTATTTTGACATCAGTCTTTAAATAGCATATTTGAATCATTGATATCCGAAACAACCCCTTTTTTATTTTGATAATTTACGATTGTTATAATATATTTGTTTTAAAACATATTTATTTTAAAACTTTAAAATCTCAGTTATATTTTCTAATGACATCAAATTGCATAAAGTATTAAAAATTTTATTATTAATTTTTTTATGTATATGTTTAATATAAAAAGAAATTAAATAGCAATGGGTGAACTATCCATGTTTTATATCTATGCAACTATATGTAACATCTATATAATGTCTATGTAATAGCGTCCCCAGATAGAAGCATTATGCGCTTACAGAGATGTAAGCGGCATTTTTACGACACAACTGCCGGAAAGCGCGGAAGACGAGCAAACTGAAGAGGAGCACAACGTCGAGGAACCATCGATAATCGGCAATATAGATAATGAGGACGACCTCTTGTACGGCGACGCACCGGCATTTCAAATGCCCACGCCGTCACATCCAAAAACGGACGGAACTACAAAGAAAATACCTTGGTAAATTTTCTCCAGTTACATACAATTTTCTATAATACTAAATACATCTTCTCGTTTTAATGTATATTTTCGTGGCAATAGGTGGCAAAAGCACTTGCAAGAAATTAAACCCACTTACTGGTTACTTGTGTATAGAGACAGCGGAACATTGGAGATTTATTCGTTACCTGATTTAAGATTGTCTTATCTTATTCGCAACTTCGGCTATGGTCAATATATGCTACACGATAGCATGGAATCCACGACTCTGCAATCGGCACCGATCAATGAGACTCTCAATCCTGAGTTGCAGGTATTATTTGCATTTCCTGATACAGCTAGTTGTTGACATAAATTTAGCGTTATATTGTTCGAGATTAACGAACATATACTTCTATAGGTTCGTGAAGTTTTAATGGTCGCTCTAGGACATCACGGGAATCGACCTATGCTCTTGGTACGTCTCGATTCAGAGCTGCAAATTTATCAAGCTTACAAGTATCCAAAAGGACATCTAAAACTGAGATTTAAGAAATTGGATCATGGGATTATCCCCGGACATTTAAGGTTCGAACGATTATTTGATCAGGCATTCAGTATAATAATTTTGATCTTAGATGACGTTTCAAGAAATGTATTTTATATATAATGTTTATTTCCGTTGAAATGTAATAGCGTTTCCATTATAATGCATTTTTCTTCCTTTTGTTGCATGCCACTCGTGAATAATTTTACACAACGTAATAATTCCTTCTCTTCCGCAGTCGGAAACCAAAGGAAGAAGACGTGCCAGTGAATGCAAACGAAACTCGCATTTGCATGATGCGTTATTTTAGCAATATCGCTGGATACAACGGAGTATTTATATGTAGTGATTATCCACATTGGATATTTTTAACAGGGCGCGGAGAACTTCGCACGCATCCGATGGGCATCGATGGCTCTGTCACATCTTTTGCTGCTTTTAACAATATTAATTGTCCACAAGGTTTCTTGTACTTTAATAGAAAGGTATTATATTGTTTCTTTTGTTTTTTTTTTTACGTTGCATAAATCTGTTATCAATCAATCTTTTTTAAACTATTAGCGGTTTAGATTCATTGAACAGAAACATTGAAACGGTTTATTCTTTATTTTTTTTTCTGCGTGACTTTAAATTTTATTCCGCTCAAATACCAGGAGGAGTTAAGGATATGCGTTTTACCGACTCATTTGTCTTACGATGCACCTTGGCCAGTTAGAAAAGTACCTTTGCGGTGTACACCGCATTTCGTTACGTATCATCTCGAGAGTAAAACTTATTGTGTCATAACGAGTACATCGGAACCTTTGAAAAGTTATTACAGATTCAATGGTGAAGATAAGGTATGAATAAAAACGTTGTGTGTATATATCTGTAGCATGTACTATTTTATAGTTATTGCAAAGAATATTTTACTAATAATATCTATTGTCAGTACTTATCTATTGAAAAGTTCAAGAGTGACATTAGATATTAAAATATATTTTTACAAACGCATCTTAAGAAATGCCTCATTATTAAACAGGAATTTACAGAAGAGGATCGTCCGGAAAGATTTCTTTATCCGTCTCAAGAACAATTTTGCATAGTACTGTTTTCTCCAGTTTCATGGGAAACTATCCCCAACACAAAAATCGAATTAGATCAATGGGAACATGTCACATGTCTGAAAAATGTTTCTCTGGCATACGAAGGAACGAGATCTGGTCTGAAGGGTTACATTGTACTGGGAACGAATTATAATTACGGCGAAGATATCACCAGTAGAGGACGAGTAGGTCTCACTTTTTAATTAAAATTCTTATAGATAAAATGGTCAATCGAATTTTACTGATGATTATTTTATAATATTTTTTAATTCTCAGATACTTATATTTGATATCATCGAAGTAGTACCTGAACCGGGCCAGCCATTAACGAAAAATAGATTTAAGCAGATTTATGCGAAGGAACAGAAGGGTCCCATAACTGCTATAACGCAAGTATCTGGATTTTTAGTCACAGCAGTTGGTCAAAAGGTACATTTCCTTTAATTCATCGAAAAATTATATTCTACAACAAGTAACTTATGTTGTTCTATTGCAGATTTATATTTGGCAATTAAAAGATAATGACCTCGTAGGAATTGCATTTATCGATACTCAGATTTATATTCATCAAATGTTGAGTATAAAAAGTCTAATTCTGATAGCAGACGTGTACAAATCGATTAGTTTGCTAAGATTTCAAGAAAAGTGCAGAACGCTCTCTCTCGTTAGTAGAGTACGTATGGTTTATTTAATTTCATTTCATTTACATATCAATTACATATGTATGAGTATATATATCTCTAAAATTCATATATCTTTTTCGTTATAGGACTTTAGACCTGCGGAAGTATACACAATAGAGTATTTGATTGATAATACAAATTTAGGTTTTCTAATTGCTGATGGAGAAAGTAACTTAGCTTTATTTATGTATCAACCGGAATCTAGAGAAAGCCTTGGTGGCCAAAAATTAATCAGAAAGGCAGATTTTCATTTGGGACAAAAGATAAATACCTTTTTCCGTATCAAATGTAGAGTTACTGACGTTGCAAGTGACAAGAAGCATTTTTCTGACGCAGATAAGAAGCATGTTACAATGTATGGTAAGTCGAAATGTACATATTTAAATGTAGATTTAGATGTAGATTGTAACAACAAACGTGCTTGAAATAGCTTGTCAATGGAACATGTTATTCATATATGAATGTATTTTTTTATGTACAGCATCGTTAGACGGAAGTCTGGGTTACGTACTACCAGTACCGGAAAAAACATATCGGAGACTACTTATGCTACAAAATGTATTGGTGACACATATTTGTCACATTGCAGGTTTGAATCCAAAAGCATATCGGTAAGTATAATTTTAAGGATAAAGATCTAATTTAAAAAATTAAAGAACACTTAATTTCAAACTGTCTTAAATCCTTATTTTTAAAAAACGGAAATTGTATTATGAAAAGTATCATAAGTTGTTAAGATTACTAAAAGTTATTATTGGTTATTGTGGTTTATTGTGAAAGTTTCTCACATTATTTTGTGAAATATAATTCGTATTCTTTGGTAATGTTGATTTAATATAATTTAGAAATTAACTTTCAAATTGTGATGATTTTGCTTTATTATAGCACATATAAAAGTTATGTACGAAATCAAGGTAATCCAGCAAGAGGCATTATTGATGGTGACTTGGTTTGGCGCTATCTTTCCTTGCCTAATAATGAGAAAGCAGACGTAGCCAAGAAAATCGGAACGCGCGTTCAAGAAATTATTGAAGATATTACGGAAATTGATCGACAGACAGCGCATTTTTAGACATAGTTGTATTATATTTAATTAGATAAACGCGTATAATTTTTATACTACTTGCTTTAGGGAAAAATTTGCATCATGTACCAATACAAAAATGCAACAGTACATCTTGAAGTTATAGAAGCAATACTTCAATTGTTTAATTCAAGCATCATATCGAGAAATATCATTGAACTTAAATTTATGGGACTTTAATACAAAATAACAAATAATTTATACATTTATTTTGTATAAAACGATAATGTTTCATGGTAATAGTTTTCTGACGGACAAAAATAAACTGACAGAGTATTTATAACACATGTATACCGAGATTTAATGATTATAAGATATTATCAACATTGTTATATGAGAGACATCTTCTCAAATGCATCGATCCTTTGCATTAGCCTCCACGCCCCCCAGAAGAAGTATTTCCGAAAAACGTATAACTAGACGAGAAACTTTAAGATGTATGTGGAGATTTTATAATTATATATAAATTACATAATTATATATACACATATTATACGTACGTAAAATTAAAATTTTTCAAAATTTTTAATACATTATACATACACACACACACACACATATATATATATATATATATATATATATAAATCAATAAGTGTAATTACACAAGAAATCATTACAACATAATTTAATGTAGTAAGTACAAGTTACTGTGTTTGCGATTATACGACTTTTAAATCAATGTTACTTATTGATCAAACAATTCATGAAAACTAGTGTCAAGAGAATTTGTACATATCGTTTGCTTCTTATATTATATAAGTTGGATTTTTTATTACGTGTCAGTAAGTATTTTAGTAAGAATTCCTAACACACATCGACGTGTGTGTAACAATCAATGTTTAATATTTTTGAAAATTACACGTTTAGTGTCTGTTGAACCAACGTTATTAGAAAGAAGATTGTGCGAAGCATTTGACGTGTTTGATAATGCTAGAAGTGGAGAAGTAGATGTTAGAGATTTGGGAACTATAATCAGGGCATTGGGTACTGTTTATGATAAAATGAAATTTTTAGTGAAATCTAAGTAATATTTTGTACATTTCTTATACATAGCACATCTTATATGGTTATATTTTTTTATTTAATAGGATGTGTCATCACTGAAGCTGAGTTACAAGAAATACAAGTGGAAGTCGAAGACGTGGAAAATAATTGCGTGCCACTAAACAGATTTGTAGAATACATGCGCAAAGCGATCAATGAACGCAAGTAAGATGATTGCAAATTTTTTTATTATTAATATGTGGATAAATCAATCAAAATAGTATTCAATGTATAATATTTCGGTTTTTGATTATCAAGCCTTTTTTCATTTTCAATAGCTTTATTTATAAAATACTTGGTTCTTAGGTTTAAGCCAGCAGAACCTGAAGATTTGTTCAAAGCATTTCAATTATTAGATCCTGAAAATCGTGGGTATATTATGAAAGATGATTTACAAAAAGCAATTATGGAAATTGGAGAGCCGTTTACAAAAGAAGAAGTAGCTGACATGATGGCTGTAGCTTGTGATGCGGAAACTGGGAAAATTAATTATGAGCATTATATTAATTTGTTAATCGTACGTAAAAATACGTATTTGATCCTGATATTTATTTCTACAATTTATTCATCAGGAATATTTTATGTCTAAAAAAAAAGTTTTATCAAGTTAGTAAAAATTTATCATTCAAGAAATTCTGATCTTTATTCTTAAAAAAAATATATAGGCAAAAATTCCCGAAGATCTTAATGTATATAGCATTGTTGATAAAATAGATGCTGCGAGACTAGCTGCACCTAAAAAACGCAGATTGAAAAGTATATTTTATAAGGACTAAATATTCTATAAGGATTGTGTGTGACTAAAGAATTTTACCAAAAGTAACTTATGAACAGATTAACATATGCAAACAATATACTAACATTTTTTATTGTTTAGGAAACAATTATAAAAATATAAAGTATAATTTATATGCATAATACATATAAAATACTATATAGTTTCAAGATATTAAAGCATCTTTTAAATATCCATTTATAAGAAACATAAGTATCCAAAGAATATCATATACATATATACATACATCCATATCTTATTTAAGAAATAATATATCTAGTCGTTCCATAATGATAAAATATTATAATTTTGAGAATACTGGGGGTTCGCCCTTAGTAATTTGTGCCATAGCTGCATTTACAAGATCTTCACTTTGAAGCATTGCCTGGTTATGCATCGCCTACAGATATAAATCCCAAAAAATTAAAACCATTAAATATAAGAAACCATTTTCAATTTCAGGTAGAATAAACAAAAAAGGAACACTCACGATATGTTCTAGTCCCTCTTCCACAGTATGGTCTCTAGAATATACCATACTTATCTTTGAGCCTTGTATTGCGACTGGACTTTTTTTCGCAATCTCTTCAGCAATTTCTATCGATGTTTTCAATAAACTAAATTAAAAATATAATATCGAATTAATTACATGACATTTCTATTTGAATGATTATTAAATGCTTATATTTTGCATTTTAGTGCATTTTTCTTATTTTACCTCTCTTCATCATCTAACATGCGATTTACAAATCCATCTTTTAGTGCTTCAGCTGCTGGATACTTTCGTGCTGTATAAACAAGCTCTCTCACTAAGCTATCGGATCCTACAATCTTTGGAAATCTCTGTAGTGTACCTACATCAGCTGCCAAGCCCATATCAACTTCTTTTATTTGAAAATATGCATCAGAAGAGCAATAACGTATATCAGCTGCAGATATCATATCCACACCTGCACCAATACATGCACCATGTACTGCAGCTATCACAGGTTTTGGGCACTGTCAAATAGTTTTGCATTATTATTTATATAAAATAAAAAATATGCTTCTAAATTATTTTTTCAATTTAATTTTTAATACTCATTAGTGAAAGTTTGATCTTAAATTATTTTATATAATTTGCACAGATAGTAAAATACCTTTTCTATAGCAGTAAATGAGTCCTGATAGTTTTTGATTTTGTCCTTGGTAAATTTACACTTACGTGCAATATCATCATACTCTGCTATATTCTGACCTAGTTTTATCATTTCTTGCATGTCGATTCCTAAAACAGTTTATTGTATAAAATTTTATTTTTACACGTGTATGCATGTGAATATAAGTAACTACAATTGTTCAATAATTTACCTGCACAGAATGTCTTGCCAGCAGCTGATAGAATAACTATTCTACATTCTGAATCCTTTCCTAATGTTTCAAAACATTCTTTAAATTCCCTATAATAAAATTATTTATAAAAATATAGATATTTAATCAGAACATTCAAGAAGAACAAGTAATTACATACTGCCACATAGTTGAGGTCATTGCATTTCGTTTCTCTGGTCTGTTCAATTGGATCATATAAACAAATGGTTTTGGGACAGATACTGTTAATGTCTTACATTTGGTAAAAGACATTTCTGTAGAATATCTCAGTGCAGCAACACCTTGCAACTCTAAAAATATTCATAATATTAAATATATCAAGTTTATTCAATAGTTAGTGATTTAATAATATAATATATTTATGAAGTTATATTATGCATTAGATAATGTTTATCTTGTACTCAGTGCAGTAGAACCTTGCAATTCTATAAATAATATAATATTAAATATGTAAATTTTATTCAATAATTACTTAGTAATATAATATATATTAATAGTTATCTAGTAATATAATATATCTATGAAGTTCTATTATACGTTAGATAATGTTTATTTGGTACTTAAGCTTAATGAGTTTTATTTGACTTAAAGTTTGCTTATGAATTTATTACAGAGAATATAATAAATATATACATATGTTAGAGAGAAGAGAAATACTTTTATTAAATGGAAATGTACATATAAAAATGTTAAATAACAATATTACATAATATCTCTAAAATTTAAATTATATTTCTAATATATTACATAACATCATATTACACAATATCATATATATCTAATATTTTTAAGGGTAATTTAAATATACCTACACTTCTCTACATATGTACATATACTTACGTTTTCTCATTGATGTTAATAATCGATTTCTCATGATATTTGTCGCCATGTTGTTTCACTACAGATATATGCATTATCATTAAGGCCCAGTAGTGGGATTCTTTAATTCGTTATTGGAGTTCACACTTTCGTTATCGTTGCGCAGCTTTTCTACGGTATAGAAAAGCTGCGCAACGATAACGAAAGTGTCGTTAACTCCAACGACGAGTTACAGAATCACACCACAGGGGGTTTATTCCTGAAACGAGGACCCTAGATATCGCATGCGATATCGCCATACGATAGCAGAAATGATATTGTTGAACGAATGAGATACATCGCATGCGAGAAAATATCGAACGATTCATATCGAGTGGTATAATCCATGCGATATGCAAGTCGCATACGATAAATCTAGTAATAAAAGCGCTGTTTTCGACAAAAATGAGGTTATACAATGTGAGTGAGGTGAATTAAATTAATTGTTTTGCAATGAATATGGCATATCAAAATGCTGTGCAACTTCATATCGCTGAACAATTGGAAAATATTTTCGATCATAATAAAAGACCGCGTTTTCATATAAGGGATGATCCATTTGAATTATCAGAACGACAGTTCATAAATCTTTTTCGATTGAAAAAAGAAACAGTAAACAGACTTATTAATATTGTGGAAGACAATTTTGTAGAACTATCACGATCTTCAGCTTTGGACGCAACTGTACAAGTACGTACAACACATGCAGAATATAAATTATTTGATATAATTATTTAATAAAATTATTATAGGGTTTAGTTGCATTACACTTTTATGGGTCAGGCAGCTATCAGAATTGCATAGGAAAAAATATTCACATCGCTATTAGTCAACCTTCGGTCAGCAGATGTGTTCGAAATGTGATTAACATTCTTAATTTACCAGAAATATTCAACGATTGGGTGTGTTTTCTTAACATCCTTCAGAAGCTGCAAACTATGTAACAAGTTAGTATATATTCAGAAAAATTAAAAAGCATAATGTGTATATAATTATGGTCTGTCTGATAGACTCTATGACCTGTATTCTGAACTCTCTTTTATTGATAAAAGCGCCTCTAAAAGTGGCATATAAGCTTTGTGATTGGTTATAAGCCACTTTTAGAGGCATTTTTAGCGATAAAAAAGACAACTCAGAATGCAGGCTTATGACATTGGGTACTTTCCATTTAGCGACACAAGTTGACTCAAGCATCATCCCACACAACAATATGACGTCTAAAAAACGTCTAAAAAACGTCTTAAAATTTTTTAGACGTCTTAAAAAGTTATCAGAATGACGCCTTTATGACGTCTTTAAGACGTCTTATGTCCCGATTTAAGACGTCTTTTAGATATTATTTTAAGACGCCTTTTAGACATTATTTTAGACATTAATTTAAGATATCTAAACGACGTCTTATTTAAGATAATTTTAAGACGTTTATAATCTAATAGTTGGTAATACAGGTTACCGTAATTTTAATAAATAATCGTAATTTTATATAATAAAATGTGATTTTATTTAATATAATATAACATAACATAATATAATATAATATATAATATAATATATATAATATAATATAATATAGTATAATTGATTTGGAAATGATCTGCACCATACGTTTGGCAAAGATCCGGATCACATTCCCTGACAGCCAGATAACGAAGACACTGCTTTGTATTGCATTGCGCCTTGCACCTACACTCAGGAAATTTGTTCTGGCATTTGCTGCTGATAAAACTTCTCGCAGAAATTTTGTGCTTGTATACGTATATTTTTACTTTGATATTTTTATGCTTATTTCCTTTCTAATATTTCAGCTGTATGTATTCGCTTGATGCACCATTTATACGTGTAAAAGTCCATATAATATATATACATATATTAGAGAAACTCCATTTCTCGCTCGATACCGACGAATTTTAATTGTTCCATGGTCTATATCTGAAAATTATCGCATGATTTTAATTGTTTGCAATTAATAAATTAAACAAAACATTACAGCGACATACCTATAGTCAACAAATAATTCTTCACCAGGTTGAATCGCTCTCTTAGCAAAAATACCTATTCTATGATCATCGTTCACCATCATTACTTTCACATAACAATTTGGAATTATCGAGTGATTAGCGAACTTTATTTTATTCCCTTTCCGTGTCGCGTCTACAAAATCTGAAACCGACCAAAAACCTTTAAGTTTTATTATTTTTCAACATTTAATTAACCACTATATCTATCTCTACTTACCATTGTTAATTAAGATTAAAAAGGAAACTACACATATATTTATCATATATTTTTCCCCTCCTGTCAGCTTCGTCTTGACTGATAATTTCGCTGCAATATTCCGAGATGAATTCATTCTTCGCTGCTGATCTTTCAAATTGTATAAAGTATATTTCAAATCAAAAATTCGACTCATTGAGATTATACTGATTTTCACTCTAATAAATTAAATTTTTCGATACTTATAAAGACCACGTTGCACGCTGACATTTCCCACACAGCACTGCAATATTGCAGCAATATTGAAGCAATATTATAATATCGTAGCAATATTACAAAATCACAAGATTATTATATAATATTCCAGCAATATTATCACAATATTACAGAGTGATATATCAAATTATAATATCACTGGAATATTACTGCAATGTTACAATGTGACTATCGTATGGCAACATAGTGACAATATTACAACAATATTGCGCGATGATAAATCTCATTGCAATATCACAGGAATATTGCCGCTATATTCCAGCATGATAGACCGCTACGTAATATTTCTGATTATCGCCGTAATACTGCAGTGTGAAACAATTTATATACAGGGTGTCCCATTTTAATGTCACATCACAAATATTTCAGAAACACTGCGTTAAATAAAAAAATGTTTCAGACAAAAGTTGTTTGGCTTGAAGGAGGACAAGAAAGCGATAGCATTTTGTTTATAAATGGTGCCGATTTTGAGATATTCACTGACAATCAATTTTCATAAATGGAAATCCGAATTTGTTATTATATTTTCTTTTTCTATCAATTAATTTGAACAATTTTTGTCTGAAACATTTTTTTATTTGGTTGATTTTTTTTAGATATTTAAGGAAAACTTGGTAACTTTTTCAACATTTAACTTACGATATCTCGCTAACTATTCGTCGAAAGAAAAAATAGTATTAGACTTTTTTACTTTACTTACTATCAAGAATATATTATTATAATAGTGCCCTAACTTTTGTTAACTTATCGACCTTTGGAAATTTCAAAATTATTAAATTAACAAAAGTTAGGGCACTATTAATATATTCTTGATATTAAATAAAGTAAAAAAGTTTAATACTATTTTTTTTTTGTTAGTTTTAGGATTGAGGAACGTGAGAGCGGCCAACTATGGCCGCTCTCACGTTCCTCTCTGCTATGAACTAGTTTGTAAACCGCGCTCATAACTGTAAAGCGATGGGAGCCTGTACTCAGCATCATATCTCATATATTTTAAAAAGAAAAAAAAAGCAATATCATATGATGAACTTTGCATTAAAAAAAGTTCAAACTTTTTCACTGCTCTGATGATAAAGAACTAACGCCCGTAAAAAAGAAATATAAACCCAAAAATTCTTCTCTCATTTCATCATTTCTTTCAATTCTTCATCATTTATTCCCTCATTCTCTCTCTTTCTCTCAACCTTAAAGGAACTTTCAGCAACTTTGGCAATTTAATCTTATTTCATTTTATTTCTCAATAATGCATTTTAATAAAGATAATTAAATATCTCCTAGAGTTTCTACAGGTATTTACACAAAATGCAAAACATTGATTATCCTTATTATTAAGAAGCCTTTATTCTTCTTCATAATTCAATCACGGCGAGATTGTTCTTCTCCTCTCCTTTCTTCTCCTTGCCTCTCTTCTTCTTCCTCGTCTTGTTCCTCGTTATCAGTTCGTTCGCCTTCTTCGGGTGGCCTCGTCCACCTAATAGAATAATTTCCTATATGCATTGACATTCTAAAAATACTTTCAGTTTGCAAAGTAATTAGGGCAATGATCTGACCTGATTAATGTTTCTGGAGATCTGTAGAGGAAGATCAATTTGGCAAACAAGTCTTCCTCGAGGCATAAGTCACCACTTTCGCGGACCAGATAAATATCTAAGCATAGGCGGAGGATTCTATCGACGTAGGGCAAATCATCGAACATGATTTTCGGTGCCATGTCGCTGACGATCTTTCGCATCATCTGGCTGATGACGATTACTGCCGTGGTGTATAATCCTAGAATTCTGTTTGCGGGCGTATGAATTTCAGTCAGCAATGAACCACAGAAGTGATTTCGCAAATTCGTCGTAACGCTCCGTATGAAACTATGCGTAATAATTTTTATCATATTGTCGAACTCACCCGAATCCGCTGATGAAGCTTAAACTTTCGGGAAAGGCTTTGTCGTTGAATAAGAACATCATGATGTCCTTGCAATTGTTTAGAGGCACCTTGTTCAAAAGAACGTTATACAAACGGTCGTTGCATTCCTCACTCACCACCCACCATTGTTGATGAGCGCAACAATCCTTATCCATGGATAATTGGACGCTGATGTTTCTGTAGAGATAGTCGTCGCTGTCATCTTCTCTTGGAGCTAGAAACACGTTATAAACGATGATTCTGTATTTTCAAACTTCACTCGAGTAGAACAATTGTGTATTCACACACTCACGTAACAGTGGTGACCACATTAGCTGCGGTACAACGTTGATAGTTCTACCGGTAACTTTGAGGAACTTTGGGAAAGCATTTTCCAGCAGTATGGTGGCATTCGTTGCTGTAGAGTCTTGCATACTTAACATATCCACCAACGTTTTTCTAACGGGATTGAACTCTTTGTTCACGTAGGGTAGCAGTTTTATATCGCGAACTCTCGTGGTGATTCCACTGGCATCTTTCGCATCTGTTCTTCTTGAAACTGTCCATTCAACGTGTATAATTACCGTCGTAGTGTTAGAAGCCAATTCCGATTTCAATCTGACGAAAGAAAATGATGACAAATTCATCCATTAAACGTCTTCATAAAAAGAAAAGATAAAATCTGATCTGTCAAAATTATTTAGTGTTATTAATTTTGTCTCAGATAAGTATTGTTAAATAAGGGAAAGAATATTCACTGTTTTCCATCAGCTAACTGATCATCTTCAGATAATCATATCTTCAAATTATTATCTTCAGATTAAAGATGAACTCTTTCAAGCTTAATTTTTCCCGGATAAAGGAGACAAACCTTTCTCTATCAGGTGGAGAGATGCCCCAAAATCTTTTGGAGAAACCGCTAAATCTAACTGCAGCTACGTCAGAGTAGACATAATTTTCAAAGAAAGTGACCGCTGATTTTTCCTTCGTGTAGATATTCGTAAGATCGTCATATTCAGCTTTGGTGTATTCACGGATTGAACTGCCTTGCGCCGACATCGAGTAAATGGGTTCGTACGGACCGATCTGAATCTTCATAGATACATCGTAAGGCAAGTTCGACGCGCCGACGGTACCACCCAAAGCGAAGAGGAGCAAAGGAAACCAAATTAAGCCAATTATGACGAAGAGAGCACCTCCACCGACCAAGTATTTGCTCATTTGTTTCTTTTTCACTCCTCTTGGTTGAGGGAAGTCTGATTCGACGCCTCGCATGCACTGAAATATTGATTCAGAATTGAATGATATCATCTCTCACCTGCTATTTCTGCGTGCTAAATTAGTCAAAGCTTCATTATGCAAACGTATGAAAATTACTGGTAAATATCTGAGTTTTAAGACCGATGTTACGTATGATGCATGTAACACTTCTCTCTCAGAGCTTACCTTAATTTGATAGATGCTGGCAAAGATATCTTCCATCTTAAACCAATCCATTATGCTCATAGATGTATCCGTCCAAATCCAATCCATAACAGCGCGAAGCTCGAACAGGAATGGGATCAGCATAAATCTGCGAAACGACTGTCAGGTCAGCATAGATTGAATCGTAAATGTCGTCCCGTAACAAACGTTTTACCGACCCTTTAAATAAGACATAGTTCACGATGCTGTACGTTTTGCACAAGAAGTTACCGAGTATTCTTGTCGGGTACCCCTGTCGCAATTGATAAGCTGCTAGCAGAAGATAAAAGCATTTCACCATGTACCAGATTTGTGGCGGGAGATTCTCGTTGAATTGTCTGCAATTATATGAATGTATGTGTATGTGTGTGCGTGTATATATATGATACACGTTAACATAAATATGAATGTTTCCATATAGCACAAAAGTTGCAGCAACATTACAACATTGCTGCAACGTTGCAGCAATGTTGCTATAACTTTCTGTGCTGTATGGATTAACATGTATGAAACAAAAGAAAATCTTACCTTTCGGTTACGCTCGGTAAAATAAAGAACATCCAGAGATGAATACCAAATACTAAGCAATATTGGAAAATTAACTTTCCTACGATGGACTTCCTCAGGTAAAGGGCCCTGTCGATGACTATCAGAGCGAATTGTAACAGCAACATCAACAGGAAGGGCATAGGAACTCGATTTTCTTGTAAGTAAGCTGTTACACCGCCGTCGCCTTGTTGGGTCTACGATTACGAATTGATACACGTCGAAAATTACACGCAGATACAGATAGCTGTGCGCATTTCGCGAGGTGATACACTCACCCCAAAGGCGGAGAATCCGAAGATCAGCAGGAGGAAGTTGAAGAAGTCACAGAGAAACATATAAGCGTACACATTTGTCTTCTCTTTGCCAGCTGGGCTGATGATCCTCTCGAAGAAACTTTTTATTGGTTCGCTGTATTTAGTAACGCTGCAACGTCAGATAATGCAATAGGATTTAACGTGAGAATCAAAGTATGATTTCAAGGTATTAAAACGTCATTCTTCTGGCGGTTCATACAAGATGTTAGGCGGCGGTTTAGACGTTAGAAACGAGCGTCAAAGTTCGCTCGAGTTCGTTTAGACAAGATATATCGGCGGCTACTCACGTCATATCCATCGCTTTAGTGAATACTTCATTATGAGGGTGCATTTCTTCTCCTTGCACAGCTACGAACTTTTCGTCTTCGTTTATCGTCGGCGCAGTATTGTCCGCGGAATCTCCCGCTACGTGGACGCTCAAGGATCGCCCTTGAGGTGTTACTTCCGCACGAGATCTGTGTGTTGAAGAATAAGCTTAGTATATTTGCGAGCAAACGTCGAAATGCGTGAAAAATCGCTTCCTAAAAATTATCGTTGCGTACTCAGCTTCGACATGCTCAACTTCGGATTGCTGATATTGCTGCGTTGAAACTGCATTGTCATGTTCTCCTTGTCCTTCGTGCGAAGGCGGTGGTTTCGACGGCACTACGGTTAACTTGGAAGGAATGATCTTCCTCGTTTTCATGGACGGACTTGTCCACTGACCCAGGGATTTTAACATAAATCTGTAGATAAAAAATGTATGATACGTTATTCCGTAGATAATATCTTATCACCCAAAAAAAGAAAGTATTCTATTTGTAAAGTGATTTTTCCCATAGTCTGATATTCTAAGTGAAGTTTTACAGAGAAAGGAAAGCCTTTTTCGATAAAGCGATTAAAGTGAACCATTCATCTGATATTTATTAGATATTATTCTAACTATTTTCCTCTTATTTTAAGAGGATTTTCTCTTATATCAATTGACTTTCCTCTTATATGAAGAGGAATATGTTGATTTGAATGTCAGCTTCTTTTGTTCAGTTATGCTCTACCTCCAAACATGAACGAAAAAATAATCATATGCTCATGGGTCAGAATATTTGGAACGCTTTTTAAAAAAGATATGTGTGTTGTTATAACATATAATGTTGTATATGTGTTGCTGTAACATAATGAAGATAATTTATCTATATTTGGTCAAATACAATTTATAATCGATTGCAAGAAGTTGAATAATATATTCTTTCTTTTCTATTCTATGTTTCATACAATTGATTATGATGAACATCTTTGTAGCTATGAAGTCCATAACAAAACTGATTGGAAATTCACTTGTTATGATGACCTTATTTCATTCGTGCCTACTTATTGTAGAACTGGAGCCAGAAGTACATCTATATATGTATTACTTTTCGTTATACATTACAATAAATTTTTCAAATTAACTAGTATAACCAGTAAGAATAAAGTACGGTAAGAATAAATAATAATCCTCTTAAAAAAATATTAAATAATCTGTGTACAAGAGGAAATTTGTATTAAAATCAACAAGATCTGCATTATACGTATAACATATAATCCATCTAACTTTAAGAATAATGTGTTTATAATATTTTCTTCTTAATCTTAGGGGAAAATCCTCTTGAAGCCATATATAAGAATAAAATCCTCTAAAATTTAGATGATTCCGCTTGTTCTGAAATTACTTTTTTTTGGGTGTATATGCTTTATCATATTCGTTTCTCCTGCATGTATATACTACATACCTATGGAAGAATAATATGAGAAGCAGCAATAAATCCCAGAGGGCATAATTAGGTTTCTGTTGAATACCCATAATTCTCGGCACGAATAGTGGATGGTTCGGCGGAGCATTTCGATTCCAAGGGATCAGCTCCAGTTGGAAGATACATTTTATTATTACAATGGCCTGAAAATGAGATATGAGAAAATGAGATTTCTGTCTTTGCTTCTGTATATGCTATATTTACAGCGGAATGTGTTCCTCACCTCGATATATGCGATCAAAGTGACCCAGAAGGTTTTGGAAGGTCGCGGGATGGTCAAAGAACCCCACAAGAATACCATAAGTGGCAATGGCGTCGAGAGTACGGACGCGTGCATAATTTGATGGAGAAATACCATGAAGTAACAGAGTAAACTGGAATGCGCCAAGATTCCGAACCAAATGGACGCCGCCAGCTGTATAATAGGCGGCTGATCCACTTCCGAAAGCTCCCTCATCTCCTCGTCGCACGGGGCCGGCAAAGCTTGCGAGAAAAGCGTGCTGCGTATGTGAAGTACTCGAATTAATTAAGTTCTGCGGTTGAATACAAATGGTCCGACACAAATCTCGAGAAGAAAGATGATCTGTCTTCCACATGTCACATCAATGATGTGTGTGTAAAAGAGAAACAGGAGTCGCAGGGGACATATTTTTAAATTCCTGAATCCGCGGAAGAAGAGAGAGAAATCGGCACGAAAATTCACACGCTAAGAAACGCCGTGGCAACATTTTGTCTCCCCGAGGCAGATAAGAGTATACTTCCGGATATCCGGAGAATTGAAATACGCGTATATATCATTATTAATATCGAGATGCATCTTTCCTCTGTGTAAAGTCGATATCGAAAGCACACTCAAAGCCCAGCTCAGGAGCCACGAAGTCACACCTGAAAATGAGCTGAAGACACATTCGGAAGTATTAAGGTGTTAGCTACACAATGAACGTCGTTCGTTACTGCCGTTCACTGTGCGCGATGATCAAAGAGACTCGCAATTGTTCATCGCGAGCCAATTTTGACGGCCGTCGCATGATCCTCGTCGTGTCTGGAGCGAACGTTTCTTTTTCTTTCTTTCTTTCTTTTCTTTTCTTTTTTTCTTTTTTCAAGCGCTCAAGGGACTCGCTACAAAGTACGGCATGCAAAATAGGGACGGCAGGCAATTGAATGCTAAGGGATCGCAACTGAGGTGCCACATCATGCGTGGACGGGCGTGCAAATAGTGTGTTCAAGGCAGTAAACAAGCCGAGCATTCAGGTGTCCGGGTTTTACGACACACTTTCAGTACCTGGAGGAGGACATGTCCAATCCTCGCTCCAAACTCGGCGCCAGGATTCGGATGTGCGGCACTGCCAGCGAGCTCCCTTTCCTAACACAAACAACACCACGCTCTTTCTACGTTTACTTCGTACATGTGTAATTCGAGCACGGGCAATTTTAATCAAGATTCTGAGATCTCGCATTACCGATTAGCCGATTATACGCATTTTTCTAGGGAGGCAGAAGGTGAGATGTAATGACGAATGTTTCGGAGAAATAATACGGGAAGAGAGATAAATACGGAGAATATCGCGTTAGAATATATTAGAGCAGGGGATACGCTAAATTACTTGTTGGTGTTAATAAATTTCAGGGGTAGGACTTACGGCAGTTGCTTCGATCCATCACCCATGAATCGCTTCTTACATTTTTGATACCACGTGTATAGCATGCTGTCGGTTAGAAGGGACGATCAGAGCGATCTCAGCTACATTTCTCGTGATTTCTAACAGGGCTCGGGATACTCAAACGTGATACAGTGTTTTGAAATTTTCTTCAAATTTAGCTCGATCTTTCGACACAAATCTTTAAACACAAATCGCACAACATGTTCTTTATCGAACGGATGGGAAAAGTTGTAATTAACGTAGTAGTAGTATAATTGACGCGTGTCATTCTGTGAAACAAATTAACATCCAAATTTTGGAAACAGATTAATTCTCAAATGTATCAGAACCAGAGAGTAACATTTCTCACCATTACTATTATTTCTCTTTTCTCCTAAATTGTACCTTACATACTTTATAAATTGACGCTCCACATTAAAAATCTAGTCCAATGTTTCCCATTTCTAGATTTTTACCATAGATTAATTTTCACTTTGACGCAAACATAAAAATCGATTATTTTCGCATTTACATTATCATGCCAATTAATCCTACTTCATAGAAAAAGCGGTTTTTGTTTCAAGTCGCTACGACGTCTAGAAGCGGAGTTATCGACGTTTGCGTCGATCGCGCTTTCTCGATCGAACGCTACCGTTACGGCGTCGCTCATACGTGCGGAGCGAGACGCACGTGGGTGAAGAACAATAGCCACATTCCGCAGACCGTCACTCGACAAAGGCATGACTTCTGCTGTATGTGACGGCACGCAGCGAGCGCGGTCTCATCTTCACTCCGTGACCCCGACAAGCGTGGTCACTCGGCCATGCGATCGTCGCTCAATGCCGACTATTCACCCCAATCAGAGAGATAAGGACGGCGCGAAAATAAATATAGTGCGCCGTCACGACGGCAGGTGTCACTGGCGCTGCTCCAGCTGGCAGTTCCTGTCTGTCGAGTTTTAGTCGCGACTTTAAACTGCTCTAACTTGCTAATGAGTCGACGTAGCGACATGAAATAAAAAGCAATCTCTTCGTCATACGCTTCCGCACACGTCTATGCCGTTTTTCTAATACCAATTTGGAAGAATCGAGCGTCAAAATCGGCAGACACGTTCAGATTCTTTTCTTTGTCTCGTTTATTGTAATAGCAACGAGACTAATATTGTTACTGTGGATCGACATAAAGAAATATAATGCATAATATATATTCTCGATATTTATCAATTACATCGTTATATAAGGCGTCTAGATTTGAGTACGTTACCTGCAGTGTGCAGGTAGACTGTATCACAAACTGAATAGGAAGGTTTTACATCATTCTTCGTATGACTTCTTCATAGTCAAGGCCATTAATTAAAGAAAACTATGGCGATGAGCTTTAGAGTTGTCGCAGGAGACACGTCTTGGACATTTTTATCGAGCTGAGATTTACAAATCTTCTTTAATTAGTATCTTGATGATTAACGGTGGTTGTTTACAAAGTGGTAAAGGAACTTTGGTTTATTATGATGAGCTCTACCTACATACGAGCGTTGTGTCAGACACGTACTCTGCGTGTACATGCCCCAAATGAATTATTAAAAAATAAATTATTAAAATAGGAAATGTGTTGGAGATAAAATGTAGAACGTGAAAATTTATCGGTGGAATTAACATCGGTTTGCAACAGGAGGATCATTTATATGTAGCTGCGCACGAGGGGGATAAACTATAATTTCATATTAAAGCTTTCTTTAAGCGAACCAAATGCTCTTACCTTTTTTCTTGCGGGCGTGGTTGGCTCGGGCCTTCGCCAGGATCGATGGATGTTTCCTCCGCCTCGTTATTTTCAGTCGATCTGTTACAGCGAGCACATTTACTACTAGCACCTACGTATATATTTTTCATTTTGGAATTGCTAAACCTGCATACACACTTATCTTATACTTACATATTCTTTAAATACCGCGGCACTAGACTTTTTACTAATTTGTAATCCAATGGGATATCGAAGAGGATCACGAGCTCTATGTACTTTCGGACGCCAACTAGTTTCGAAATATGCTTTGCAACATGAGATAGCGCCGAGAATTAATTCCTTACCGCATAATTTCTCTGTTTTACGACCGACAGTCTGTTGTACAACCGTGAACTTGTAACGAGACTAGTAATCACCCATGAGTAGAAAGTATCTTCAGGAACTCAATTTTGACCATAAATATGCGGTAAAGTATTAAGGAGATGAAAAAAAAAGTAATCGAGGGGATAAATGTCACGTTGCGCAATATATTCACAAGAAGTCGGTGTCTTGCAAAGTTGATCCTGATATGTATCTGTTTGCACAGTTATTTATGCAGAAAGCGGCAACATAATTATAGATGATTTATACAACTACATATTTACAAGCTAACGCTTGAAAAGCCGGAGTAACAGCGTGAGACTAATTAATACCTATGTCAAAGCGGTTTCTCAGGTGATTAAATGATAATATAATATAAAATTTCCTAGATGAAAATTTTATCGAAGGGTTTCGTTATAGTAATAAGGCATATGCAGTTCGGCAGTCCTGATAAACAAACATAACGCATTCTATCCCTATGATATGTGATGATTTGTGGAAAGTGACTTACCGTTCCTGTATCATCGGCTGCCACATTTGATTAATTCCCAGCCGTAATCCCATTCTAAAATCTGGCTTCGCCTAAACATAGAAATCGCCAGTATCAGCGTATCGCATTGATGTTTTAATCGCAACCTTCAACTGCAGAGATATTAAATGACCAGTATGACCCTCTTTGCTGAGTTATTTTTACAATTATAAAATATTTTATAATTTGTTGATGATCCAGATTTTCACAAATTCACATTTTTTAAAATTTAAAAAAAATACCACACGCAATACCACACACATTGCAAGTTCAAATCGAGTAAACTCGATCGTAGCAAGGCCGCCATTTTTTTCCACACTCGAGTTATCTCGACCGTAGCAGTTAAAGTGTTAATATGTATATATACATATATATTCTCTTTTGAGTTTGTTTGAATAATATAAATTCATAATATTATATAATTTTTACCTTTAGATTAGTCTTCTCTTTCATTAAAACTTTGCGGATGAATCTGTAATCGTGGGAGAACCGATTTAGATATTTTGTCATCGAAATTAGGCTGCTGTTGATCACCGCCAAGAGAAATTTGAGGTACGTGAAGACCGAGACTTTCTTCTGGTCTCCCTTTTCGTCGTCGCTCTTTTTATCTTGCGGTTTTTCCTTCTCTTCTTTTCCTTCTTCGTCTTCTATGTCCGAAGGTTCGGGTGTTTTAGCCGAGTCTACGCCCAGCATTTCCTTCTCTTCAGTTTCCATTTCCACTGAAGTGAGACTCGTTCGATCGGGACCCTGATTAATTTTATAATCCAGTTACATATATTGTGAAACGTTAGATAGTACATAAATTATTGCAGTACATAAATTATTACAGCGAACTTGAAAACAATCAAATTTGTCAATAAAATACGGGAGTTTGTACATTGCGCGGTAATCAATCGTTACGTTTACAAATTATGAATTTAGAACGATACACACTTTTAGAATTTTATTATTAAAATTAAAGCTACTCTTTTATTGTCGTAAAGAGTTTTGAAATATCTTATTTTATAATTTTCAGCTAATATTATTATTTATGCAATATATTGACAGTATTCGATCATGATCAAGATTCGTACTTTTACAATTATTTATTTAGTAGTCGTTATATATATGCATGTGTATATATACATATATATCTCTCGTTACGCACAATAAGCATATAATTACAAGAGCTCCAATTGATATAAAAAGACGTGAAGTAAAGTAAGCTAGATCTTAAAAAGAATTTCGTACTTTGTACGAAATTTGCATAGACCAGTACGACGAGTACCTCACCATGATTGAGCGATTACAATCAGAAACAGAAATAGTAGAAGTGTTAAACAATATGAAGACGATAAAGACGATAGAGAGATATCGCTTCCAACCACTGCTTCTACGAAGCTGAAAGCTGAAGAGAGAAGAAAAGAACATAATCGAAAATAAAGCGTTGTGTATAATAAATACGAGAAAGTAGTTCAGGTGCCATTACTGTCGAAGTACGGGCTGCGGTTATAATTTGCACTACGTGTTATGCATCATTAAATTATACTTAGCATAAATATAAAATATAAGTAAAAAATATATTTGAAAGAGATCACATGTTAAAAATTAGATATTGCATATATATACATATACGCTTTAAAGATATATTGAAAAGTGAGATTAGAAAAGAGAGAGGGCGATATTATGAAGAAAATAATAAAAGTATAGTAATAATACGTTGTCAGAAATAAACAATTAAAATGTATCAAAATATTGCGAGTGCTGTAGACAATAAAATTCAGATGTCGATAAATTTCCGGTGAGAATAGAAAATAAAACGGACAGCTTTATCGTTAAGACAAACAGTAAACAATATTCCTAGATGATCGAGAAAGCACATAATGCAACGTGTGATACAGGAAGAACAAATAATAGTCATACAAGATGTTCCATAAAAAGCAACAGTCAACAACTGAATTATATTGACGTGAGGTAATCTGCAGTTGATTTGTTCCCAGCAGGGAGTCGACAAGAGAGAGAAGTCTTAGCTTGTATTCACCGAAGTACATAAATCAAAATCAAGAACTGAATTTTACACGCGTGTGTATGTGTGTGTGTGTGTTATTTAATTGTCGTTAGGTATGAATACGTTGCAGAACCTAAAATTAAATCTCCCTTAAAAAAGGGTCAACCGCACATTATGTCGACAGAAATATCTGGCGTTTGCTGGACGATCTTTCTGAGACAACGTTAAAGACAAGGATAAAAGGTGACGAGTATAGGCTGATTAGTGCCTGCAGCGATGTCATGCAGCCTTTTAAAGGGGAAAGGATTGTCTCACATCGGTTGCCATGGCAGTGTCGGTCTCGGAGCGCGCGCTCAGATAGGACATGGACGATTTCTTCCGTGTCAAAGGTACGCTTCTACGTCGAAGTCTCAGGGCATCCTTTTCGTTCCCTCCGTACATGGCGACGTGCGTCGCAATCTCAATGTCTGTTTTAATCAGCGTGTTCATCAACTGCAAGGAGACTTACGCGTCAGTTTCCATGTCCATACATCGGTGTCGTGCGTCGTTGCTGACCGGTAGAGGTACGTGTCTTCTCCTCATGGAGAAAAAGAGTGAGAAAGAGAGAGGGAAAGAGATAGGGAACAGGTAGAGATAGGTAGAGAGAAAGAATGAAAGAGAGGGAGGGTGAGAGAAAGAAAAGAGGAGAATAACAGCGAGAAAAGAGATATAGACAGTCTTGATGGCACGCATGAAAAAAATGTCGTTTGTAATCATCACACGAAGAGATCAGTTAGTCGAGTTCATAGTGGTGGTCTACTCGAGGCGTGTTCTCGGGAAAATTTCAAAAGAATCTCTTTTAGCAGACCTATTGTTAAACGTAATTTCCCTTTCTCTGTATAAATATGATATAAATATAAATATTATATATAATAAAAAATATTCCACACACATACATATAGATATATAAATTATCGGAGGTAAATTTTTCGTATTTGGTAGCCTCGGTGGACCATATCTTGATTGGAAGAATTAGTCAAACTTAACGAAAGAAACTTCATAACATGACCACACTCAAGTTCATATCCTTAAAGAAACAAAATGGCAAGTGACCCAAGACATATGTTTCTCGGTTTTACATACCTCCGAGACAGTCATTCTCCTTCCCGACTGGTCCTTCTCATGGGGCAGTTTCTTCTCTTTCCTTTCACTCTCGCTATCGGGAAGCAAATCGGTGACGTCGTCGTCGTCCAGATCGTCGAACATGTAATAGTCGCCCGATCTGATGGCTAGTTGTAAAAAGAATTGTTTGTATAATCTTTAATATCTCGTGATTCTTATGCTACATAAGCGAAAGCCATGCACGGTGACGATAGTTGAGAAATGGTGCAAGGAGTTTCAGCAGTTCTCGACTATTAAGTTGGATAATTTTGAGACAATCAAATGAATATGTTTCCACTCTTATAGATGCAGACAGAGATACACACGCAACACGTCGATCGAAAAGTGACTACAAAATCTACATTTAAACATCTATCTTGTAGAACTGTGTGTGTGTGTGTGTGTATAACTAGAATTTTATATTACATTTTACATGTTATGTACAAATTAAATCACGATTGGGTGTGGGACTAACACAGGAACTCGGTTGCTAGGACAATGCCTAGGTAGCTGTAAAATATATACATTTACCCTCTTTATTCGTCTTCGGCGTACGAATTCTGTACAACGGCCGTGTTGTTGGATAGAGTTCATCTAATAAAAAGACATAAAAAATAAAATAAAGACACAAGCTGAGAAAAAATGGCGGTATCGATGCAGAGCATATGATATATTACACGTTACACTTATGTTACGTCAGCTATGCGGTTCAACTCATTCGTTTTCGCTGCTGACTGCGAATTCGTGGAGAGAAATTATGGTCTAACAGTAACAAAGTCCATGAGAGACGTCGTTCGGGGGAGTTGGCCAGATATAGATTTCAAGATCTGTATAGATCTTAAGATTTAGGAATCACAAGATGATGATATTTGCATGAATATAACGACAGTAAAAAAAAGTATATATATATATATATATATATAAAGAGAATAATAGGACGAAATTATGATCTAACAAAATCCATGAGAGACGTCGTTCCGGGGAGTTGGCCAGATTTTGATTTCAAGATCTGTATAGATCTTAAGATTCAGGAATCACGGGATGATGATATTTGCATGAATATAACGACAGTAAAAAAAAAGTATATATATATATATATACATATATATAAAGAGAATAATAGAACGATCATGGGCAAAAGCGAATGACAGCGCGAAGATAAAGGAATAAATTCTAAAACAATATAGATTTACGGAACAGAAGCGTCTTTCGTATCATTTCTATCGATCCTCCTACAAGTATATGCACGAACAAGTAAGTCTACAAATACAAATGCTTATGTACAATAGTATCCCCTGGTATCGTAACTTCGATTATAAAGGTGTCACGCAGTACATGAAGAAAACTGTCAGATGAACCAATTTTCTGGTGAAATACGAGCCAGCGACCCAGAAGTTCCGATCGAACACACACCAGAGTTCTATTCAAGTCAACCAGAAATCCTGACTGATTTCGACTGAACCTGGATAAGCTCAGCCGGGACTTCTGGATCGCTCGTGTCTCAGCAGAGAATCCCCTCGTTCAAGCAAACATTTTTCTTCGTACATAATCTCACTATCCAAGAGCAGATACCCAGTGACGCTAATCGCTGCTAAGAGGACGAGACGAGACTAGATCGGACTAGGTCAGAGGTGATGTGTATCGCGTTCAGGGTTCAGATGTGCAGGCGTGAGGAAGCGTATGTACAGGACACCGTATGTAGCGCACGGACGACGAGGACGATGTTGCTGATGAGTGATTACACGTGTGATGCGAGTGCGGGGAGCGAGAATTCGTCGAGATGATGGACTGGCGCGGAGTGTGCAACCCGTTCATCCACGGCGGCCCGATGAAGCTGGACTGACGCCGGTGTCTCACGGAGGACGCCAAGGACCGGTCGGCCGGGCCCCGATCGTACGGCGGCGGCGAGAACACCGGGAACGTCTCGTCCGGCGACGGTCCCCGAGGATTCAGCTCGCTGCTAGGCGGCGAGCCAAACGAGATACGGGTGGGCTCGAGGTAGCCCTCGAGACTGACCGTCATGACGGCGGAATTCGGCGTGGGCGCTTGCAACAAGGATGCCGCCCGTGGCGTCAGCGGGGGCGGCTCGTCGTCGTCGTCGTCCTCGTCCAGAGGCGTCTGATATCCTTGCGGCGGTGTGTGGCCCGAGGACACGCAAGAGCTCACACTGGAGGTCCTCGCCAGCGGCGCCTGACCTTCTTCTCGACGCATCAAAGATTTAGATATATTGGGTGTCACGACGGGTGAGCGAGTGTGGGAGAAGGGGTGATTGAATTATGCGTTGTTGTAACGTGGTGGGATTTTGGAGTTATGTGGTGGAGGTGAGGATTGATGATCGCGGTGGCATCAGACCGTGAGATTCATAGTGAGTGATTGTTAGGACAAAGACTTTGGACTTTGGATCGTTTTTCTTAACGGAGAATGTGATTAGCCACCAATCGGTGGCTAATTCAAGATGCTTCATGACCTAGATAGAACGAAAGCGCGCGGTCGCTCATTAAGGAACGAAATTTGTGTCGAGGCGTCTCCGATAAGGAGCAGCTCGTTGAACATTATCTAAGGGCACTGAGAGCGCATATCTTCGAGATAAGTGTCTTACCGACTTTGTGGATCTGAGGCTCTCTGTAAGATGGTCCCTGTATCTTTTGTTGGTTAGCCTTGATCTTATCCATCTTGAACTTGAGCTTCTCTAAAACAGCTTTCTCCACGCTCTCTTGAACTTCTATGCGCTTCTGATGCAATTCCTCGTGCAATTCCGCGCCGCGAGACGCTAGGATCTTCATGGCTTTCGTCTCGTCCACTATATGAAAGAAGTAGTAGCTCTTGAACAGACGTTTCTGTATCAGGAGGAAACCGAAGCACAGCCCGTCCCAGACCATGCCGATATTTTCACGGGGAACGTCGCACTCGGTAGGATCTACCAGTATGTCGCTCGTGGAACTCTTGAACTTCTTCAGACAGGCGATGCCCAGTAATTGTACTAGCCAACATACTGAACGTTCGAGCTAGTATTAAGGAATAAAGAGAGATAATGTAGCATCTGTTACAGGTCTTTCAATCATTATATGCTTGTAGTTTATTTGACTGTTTTACCTAGAAGAATAAGTTCATATTCTTAAGGGAAGCTTACGTCTTTGATGAGGACGCAGCCTACACCTTGAAGTAAAGCCTTCGCGAAGATCACAACGACGGTATATCCAATCAGTATATTCCACCATCTCAAGATAGTCCCTACTGGTCTCAAGTAAAAATCGCTCCCCTGCCAAAGGAACAGAAATGCTCCTATGAGGTAGCCGAGCGAGAAAATGTTGGTTCTCTCTGTCCCAGCTAAGAACATAATCGACAACGTCAGCCACATAAGACTCATCATGCCGCCGCGTTTGACTATGTCCAGCCATGAGTGGATCTGCGACACATAATCCTTCACAGGGTTCACGAAGTTCGGCTTCTCCATGTCTTTGAAGACGGAGTAGTTGTGGCCAGCTACGAAGTCCACGTTAGACTGCAGGTTCTGTTGCTCGATGTTGAAGACCAGACTCTGCCGTACGATCATTATCAGCAAAATGAAATCACCTGAATGTAAGCAGAAATTAAGAAGATAAGGTGTGTTTGTTGAAGAACATCAGGCGAAGCCTTTTTGTTAGATACAAGACGGAACTTACAAATCAGTTTCTTGGGATTCGGTGGGTAATGTGGATCAGGCAGGAACATCCATTCCTGTAATCTTCTCATCACCTCGGACTCGTTCCACGGATATTCTGAAAGACACACAAGTCCCAAGAGAGCCATTTGTTACTTGTCGCACCAAGCGAGTCCCACTACGAGGACTTAGCAGCACACGCGTCACGTTACCTATGCAGAGCCACGATGGCGGAGCCACGACGATGGCGTACTGGACAGGCAGGAAAATTATAGCGAAAACCTTGAAGAACGGCCAAAGTCGTGCCACGGCTTTTCTTTTCAACGAGAAGAACAGCAGCAGCCACACACAGTACAAGACGGAGTAAAAGTCCAGTCTAGTGCCGATCAACGCCACGATGGCGATGAGACATATTTCGAGACCGAATTTGTAGAAACCGTAGTTGAAGAGGAACTTCAGGCACTCCGGAATGCCCTTGTCGGCATCCGCCCTGGTGATAGCGGGAAACATCACCTGAGGAGTGTCCAACGGCTCTCCGCTGTGGAGACGATAAAACCACTGACGGACACTGATGATTTTCCGGCAGGTCGTCACGGTGACGATGCCGATGTAACCCGCCAACAGTTTCGGCAGTCCACCCGGCTCGGCTTTCTTCATCCCGAACCATTCAGCTATGTTGTAAACGGTGATGTTGCTTGCGTACTGTTGTTGATCTTCGTCGAAGTTACCCTGGAATGATTTCGCGCGTGACACGTTGGCCGGGCCAGGTAAAACAGAAATTCGCGAGAAGCTACGCGAATGTCAAGGCTTTGCTCGAGGCTGTTTTTTGGTAAACGTGTCTCTCACCGTGCAATTAACATTCCAGTTTTCGTGATTAATATACTTGATTTGATACAGCATCTTGGTAACTATAAGGAGCGATATAATCGTAGCCATCACGTTGATCGCCGTTACTTGAATATTTCGGTGCAGATTTATCATTATGACCACGGCGATGATGAAAAGAAAGTTGATCGCGCAGACCTGAAACGAAAATTCACGCAGCTCTACAGTCTTCTTAGAATCATACGGGACAGGTTAGATCGCGATGATTATACTTACATCGTAGATACACAGAAGGACAAAGGAAACAAAAATAATTTTCTGCACATGAATTTCGAAAAACAGCCAAGTGTAATTGTAGAAATTTATTATGTGCTTCTTGATTTTGTGCCACAGAGCAATCCTCTCCAATTTCGACATATCTGTAAGCAACGTTGAAGACGTTAACGGTAATCTTGAAGCGATGATTGTCTATTTACGCAACTGAATGAATAGAAACCATACGCTTTAATTGCTTCAGCGTGTACATCGTGTTCCCTTCGTCTTCTGTGAGCGTGACATCAGCCGGCGAAGACGCAGGAATGTTGTAATTAGGCGAGTGACCTAAGCTAGCATGTCTACCTACATTTTCAGACCTAAAATTCAGTAGGAGATGCTCGTCAACATCGTCGTCGTCATATCTTTGTGCACAAGTGTTCTCATACGCACTCTAGCCTGTCGATATTGGTGACTTGAAGGAAATCGTTGTGAAAATAATGAATCTGGACTACGGTAATGATAACGAAGAATGTGGGCGTCAGCAGTCGAACGAACAGATCTTTCGTCTCGTAGGTCTCCAGTCCAATGTCCATTTGCCTGAAACGAAGTCGATGTACTCCCAGGAAGATCGATCAACAAACAGGGTGATAATTAGACGATCATCACTCACAAGTCCTGGTCTATCCCGAGGTACTCCCAATACGTCGGGAAGTTCTCAAATTGGTAGGTGTACACGAGGATCAGCATAATGATGGAGTATCCGATCAAAGTTATCCAGAACACATACATCATCCTCCTCCACGCTACCCATGAGACCTGCAACGCCGCGCGACTCCGCCGTTAATACATTTTCCGCAGTAATTACTCGGGAAATCTACATTTTGCTACACGTCACCTGGAATGTAATGACAAAGACGAGGAACAACGTCATGTAAACAATCCTGAACATTGTCATACGTTCGCCCATAATGCCGCAGATGAACAGCGTGATTGCCACCACAGCGATCCAGAATCTCGTTAGCAGGCTCCGTAATCGCGTGCCGACTTCTTTCATGAATTTACTCTTGATCTCGGGCGTCTCATGGCTCATGACGGTCGTAGCAGTCGAGACAGACACGTGTAACGGTGCCACCATGTCCCTCAGCGCGGAAGATCGCTGCTGTTGTTTTCGTTCTGTCATGTACTGCCGCATGGTGATCCAGAACATTGATATAAACAGACACTGCAAATACGAAGGATACCAGGATTAGATCCAGCCGGCCAGTATGAGGATACATCAATGGGTGTAGATACAGCACTGTTCGTACAAGTAAATCTTCACAGGAATAAATTCACGTAAATCTTGTAGATCGAAAATGCACGAAGCGCCAAGGTCGTACCTTAACTATCAGATGCCAGCGGCTGAGTTTGTCGGCTTTGATGAAGCCGATCTCGGAAATGTTGACGCCGTTTACTTCTCGCGGCAGTTCTTGGTCATTCAAGTCCATACTGTAAACATATTGTCCGAGAAGTAGGAGAGTCGCGTAGAATACGATGAAAGGCGAACACTTCATCATGGAAGCACGTTTGTTGGGGACCATCCACAAAATCAGCGCCCAGAGCAGCAGGACGAACGTCGTCCAGCTGTGATACATTATACTCCAAGTCTGAGGGATTGTAAGACGATTGTATCAAGTGGAAGCAAAGTGGATTGCAAAGAGAGAAATGAAGAAATAAAGAAATAAATAGTAATAAAGGAATTGCTAAGGTATGATGTGATTTGATAGTTCTCTTTTAATTTACCACTGGTGGTCCTTATTTTGCGATACTTGCCATCATGATTATGTTTGTAGCGAGGTACGACGAGTTGACTATCAATTGGAAGATTGAGTACACCGCCATGATTATTTGCTCGACGACACCTGGCGTCTCGTTAGATGCGCCTAATTCGTAACATCGTCGATTCCAGTCACATTTGCGCATAAGAATTATCACACATTTTCATAATCACGTCATTACCTTCGCTGAAACTCTGCATCTGCGTGCTATCCTCTTGATGGCTATCCTGAACAATGACGCTCCCCGTCGAGTCTTGAAGAAGCCCTGTTCTTCCTGATCCAAACCGTAAGAGCTGTGTGGAAAACACCAGGCTCTACTTATCGACTATCCTTACGGTAATTATGATATATCATCTTGTTCGATAAACTTTATCACTAATGTATCGCTAGAAGTTGACACTAAAGTCTTCTAAAACGTTTACTTTGCCGGGATTGCATGCAAAGTATATGAAGTAGTGTATGCATTTACCTTCACCAATGTTTATCAATGTTCGCTAAGAATGTTTCGTAAGAATGATGATTGCGTGTGTAAAGCTTGAGTATGTAAAGTGCAATTCGCGCAAATGCGAATATCCCGCGGTCATTTGCCCGAATTGACACTCGAGCCGACAGTGTTAAGAAGAAGAGAGTGAAAAGAGGAGCGGGAGTCGTTAATAAGTTAATAACTATTATTGAGCATGCATATTCAATTGGTATACGTACAGGCATTCGCTCGTCGGGTTCGGGTATTGTCGACGACCGACCTAAGAGCGGCTTCTAAAACAATGGCAAACTAAACATAGCGGCATCCAAACGGAAAAGAGGTTTGCTCAGCGTTAAACAACAACAGCACATCTGTAAGGCGACAGCAAATAAGGATACGGACAGCATCTTAGAATAGACACGAAACGGTGTTCTCTTTCTACAAACAAAATATCCGCGAGAGTAGAGACAGTTTCGATAAATTAAGAGATTATTGATAAATTAATTAAGCTGTGTGGTTCGTGTCAGTAACTTCTCGATTTAGGATAAAATCGAAAATAGAATTCGAAGGAATAACATATCATGCGAATAAAATATCATAGATAATTAGTAAAAAGAGTCACGATAAGCCGATATTAATCAGGAAGCGTCCGAAAATATCTAAAAGAAAAACAAGTGATCATAAAAGTACGAACGTCCGTCGTAAGAAACGAAAGAGAGAACAAGAAATTTCAGGCGTTAAGAATGTTGAATGTATGAACAGTATGTTCGACAATTTCAGCGAGCTCGGAAAGACGTCGAGAAGTTAGTGAAACTCTCTTTTTTCTGAAACGAGCGGTTGAATAATTAGAATTGGAAACTGACATTCAATGTTGCGTGTATCAGCGAGATATCTGAAATAAAATGTAGCTGAGGGGGAGTTGCGTGTTCACACAAACATATCAGATCGTATGTCGAGCCGGCTCTTGTGAGACAAATCCTTACGCGAGCCTTACGTCGCGCCGATTGCCATCTTTGAGAAGGTGTCCTGCGCCTGATGGACACGTGTCTCGACAACGGAGTGTCCAGGTTCTCCAGTTTGCCGCTTAATCGTTTCGCTTTCTTCGCCTGTAACGCCTCGTTAGTGAAAGCAAGATGTTTTCAACGGAGCTCACACACCATCAACCGGAAAGATCGTTAAGGAAATTATATTTCTACGGATGCTTCGAAACTTTTCCGAACACTTCAGCATTCAGCTGTTACACTTCGGCGTTAATATTCAATAACTCCTCATACAAACGAGTTAATTAACGAAACAACTCTTTTCACCTGCTTCGCCGATATTTCTCTTGTCTCCATTTGTAATCTGACGGTGAAATAAATTACCGTTACGAGGATATCATTCTCTACAATCTTGAAAAGAAAGCCACGGACGACTCGGTATCTGGCGGTGCAATTTTTACCTGCAATCAACCTGACACGTTCGAACCGGACACGCGAGCACTCTTCACATCGGAGTTAGTAGTAGTCAGAAGTCTTGTTAGGCATTCAGCTGTTACACTTTAGCGTTAATGTTAATATCCTCCTCATACATGAACGAGTTAATTAAGGTACACGTAAACAGGCAAGTGTGACGTGTAGCGTTGAGACAACGAAGGCTTCTAAGTTAGGTAAAAGTTATGCCCAAGTTCCAGGGAGAAGCTTTAATGGAAATGCAATTCGGTACGCTGGTCCTAAGGAGATTCGATAATCGCGTGAACTACAAGGTTTGCGACAACGTTTAGTCTTAGTTATGTTTCCCTATTTCTACCGCGAAATGATCATGAAACATCATTAATCAGCCAAATTCTCACCTCGCTCTAGGATCACACAGAGGCTCCTTTCTCATCGAGATTATCTGTGTCCGAATATCTCTCTGACTGATATGAGAACAGCACAATCGCGTTAATGATTGACAGCGATTTGAACAGTTTTCTAATAAAGTAATAAATCGAAGGGATATACTGCCTCAATTCCAAGGTACTCTAACGAAGCATATAATACGTTACGTTAGAACTCCTATTACGACTTCTATTGCGATCCAAGCGATATTCGTATATCACGCACTATCCTAATTTCTCTCTCCTGAGAGACCGCCAATTCTTACAATACCGCAATCAGACATCATTGTTAGATCGACGAACATGTAAACACTCACCGGTTGCTTCATGAGAAACTGGGCTTGCAACGAAAGAACGTAGTACAGCCAAAAGAGCCTCAAAGCGTATCCATAGATCAACCAGTCGGCGTCACCCGTGTATTCCACGTATCGCGGATGACTGCAATTGGTATGATACACTGCGGTTAACGCGAAATAACGCGACCATGGGCCACCGATCGGCAGGAGTTCCTGCGGCCATTGATTCTGGTAGGCGAGTAACGCGATGATGTGAATAATCACGACGACCATGACGATCCTACAAATCGTCGCGAAACCCTTTCGCAGTTCCTTGTTGCAAGCCCACCATGTAGCCGCGCCCAGGAACACCAGGAAGTAGAAAGCTGCTTCTATCGACGGCTTCAAGGCAGCGGCGCAGCACAACGACACCAGGACAACGTAGGTGCCGATACGTCCCAGGAAGTTGATTATCTGAATCGTGAACATGCGTGGGCGGTAAATTATCCGGTGCGATATCGATTTTGCTAACGGCACGCGTTAGTCAGGTTTCGCGCACGCTGTCGTGTTCAAATCAGCCTGTCAGCCATCAAGTGAAATTTTTCAAGGACAGCGATATTATCCTTTTGTATTATTATATTTTTTGCATTATTGGTGAGAAGCCTTCCGTATATAGAAACGTCATTACCATGCTGGTCTTGTCCTCTGTCTTCTTTTGCTGAGTTTCCTGATGAAGAGATATAATATCCTCGTTATTGTGTCTCACCATAAGGGCACGACATATGAGATATATCGCAACCACGCTGGGTAGGACTATGAATTCCGGCGTTAGCCAATAAAAAACTTCCCAGACGGACGCGCTATCTAATCTGACGAAACCTATGTGTCGCAACATCTTCTCCAGAAATTCGCCTGGAAAGAGATTAATGCGGTAATTAGAGGTCCTCCGATATCCTTGTAAATTCAACTATACGATCTTCAGTCGGATAGCATGCCTTACCGTTTAACAAATTACACAATGTTGTGATGCTTACGAGAATTATAAAATCATCATTAATTTTTTCGGCAATGTTTAACCCCTTGACTGATAAGTTGAATTTCGTAAAAGTGCTTAGCACAGCAACAGATGGATTCTTAAAAGTTAAGCAATATCATATTAAAATTTCGTGTCTTGGAGCTTTCGAGGTCATCGTTTTTACTAACATGAAGTAAAAATTTTCAAATACAAAATACTGAATCCAATATACAGCGACCAAAACTATTATTTGAAGATGGCAAACTAAGCATATGCTTAAAAAAATAAATAAATAATGAAAATACGTAAATATAATTTATAAATGATATATAATATGTTATATAATATGTGAATAATACTTTGTTTTGGTCATCATATTTGAGAACTCGCCATTTCGAATTTTTATTTTTAAACTCTTGAACCATTGAAAAGAGCGCGACCCCTCAAGAAGCCTAAAATATTTCAAAATTTTTGTAAAGCTTTTACATTTTTTTCAATTTTAAGTCGACCATATTATATTCGTCATTTTATGTTTCGAACTTTCAGCAGTTCACCACTGAATAGAGTGAGAACCGTTTGAGTACCCAATTTTAGAAATACTAAACTACCAGGAACACCGTATTGAACACCATGAAACACAGTATTGAATTTCCGTCAGTTAAGAGGTTAACGACGCAATATAACGTTCCCGTTAGAGGCTTGCTTACAATTCTGGAGAAAGTGTCCGTAGGGCGGTAGTGATAGGAGAACAATGTGAAAGGCGATCTGAGCTATGGCTATCAGGAAGGCTAGGCAAATGCAAATCTTCAAGTATGTCGTGGTGTGCTGCGGCATGATTCCGCGCATTGGTATCGGAATCATCGGGGAATACAGCATTAACCCCAGATAAACCGCTGACAACCCCACTGGCCGCCATATTGTACCTGTAAGTTCGAAAATCGCTCGTTACACTAGGAAAAATGTATTGTTGCGTGAACCAAAATTTTGTTGTAACAATAATTTGGTTGGGTAAAATATACTCAACAAAACTGTATAGTTCCTGTAAACAAATATCTCGTTTGATTACGGTTTGTTCGTATAATGTTTTGTTATACTTTTGTTATAGCAACCAAAAAGCTTTAACTATATGAATTTTGCATAAAAATAGTATAATTTTTTTTTAATATATAAAATCTAAATTTCAGTGCACACAAAGACAAAATAGTATCCATTGGGCATTATTTTAGTTTATGTAAAATAATATTTCGTTATTATATAATTTTTATGGATAAAATAACTAAAATGCTTAATTTTTATATATGAAGTCTAAGAACAAAATCATTTGATCCAGAGAACAAAACAGAAAAATATATCTAGTTGGGACCAGTAAATATTTTGTTATATAAAACAAGATATTTGGTTGCTATTAAAAAATGCCTCAACTGAACAGTTTTGTTAGAGATACTAAATTTTCTTTCCTAGTGTACGCTTCCCACGTAATTGCATAACTCCTGCGATTATTGCGCGTGTTTGTGCAACGTCGCGATCATCACACGAATGAAAACGAGCTGCATCGCTGCATATGTCGCAATTCTAATTGGGATAATCAGATCTTCCGACAGAACCAGAACCGCTGCTCCCTTGATCTACGTCGATTCTTAAGCGCGACTTACTCCACTTTTGCTTTCGTCGGGCAGACCTACGCTCTCGACGGCGCATGAAAATGTGACTTTAGATGGTATCGCGGCCACAATCATTAGTACGTTAGCGAAAAGGTCATTTACGAGGGTGGGGAAATTACTCAGCACGCAGTCAATAACGAGACGTACCGAGAAATGACATTTCCACCCCTGGTACCCGAGCGTTTTATCACGACCTTTGCGTCTTTTGTTATTACTTCATGTTCGTTTTACTGACGCTTCGACTCTACTGGATTGCTGTCGCACCGGATGCTGCATACTATGTGCATTTCTTTACATTTGATTATGTTAAGAAGATCGTAAAAAACTGTGATATAGACACATTGTTGACGCGGACGTTATTGAGACATCGCTCGATGTACAGCGTTGCTTGGAGGAGACGCGACCAGATAATTAACGCGAATCGTCGTAAACGAGTTTAGTCTGCTGATGATAATTACTATCGCGTCACAAGTAGCGTTGCAAGTGTTTGACGAGCGCAAGTGTGTGCCTGTTCGGCTGCCGCTTCACGCCAGCTATAGCGAGTTAGACGGGTTCTTTGAACTCCTCTAAATATTCACGCGACTATTGTATTGCTCTTGTTTGTCGCGGGCAGAGCGACTTACTCTATTCGCGGCATGTTGGTTATATTCGTCTAACAGGCATAAACAAGGACATTGTGTCGCTGCCAAACGAAGTCCATCGCGAGCTACATTTCGTTGACTCTCTCGCACAGTCTCGCCGCTCCCTCGCCCTCCACTAGGGAAAATGTATTGTTGCGTGAACCAAAATTTTGTTGTAACAACAAAATAATTTAGTTAAAATATGCCCAACAAAACTGTCTAGTTCCTGTAAACAAATATCTTTCGTTCGATCTTACGGTTTGTTCGTATAACGTAATACTTTTGTGTTATAGCAACCAAAAAGCTTTAACTATATGAATTTTGTTAAAAATACTATAATTTTTTCTCAATATATCACTCAATATATCAATATTTTCTCAATATATGATATAAAATCTAAATTTTAATGCACAGGAAGACAAAATAGTATCCATTGGGCATTATTTTAGTTTATGCAAAATAATATTTCGTTGTTATGTAATTTTTATGGATAAAATAACTAAAATGCTTAATTTTTATATTTGGTTGCTGTTAAAAAATGCCTCAACTAAACAGTTTTGTTAGAGATACTAAATTTTTTTTCCTAGTGTGGCGATAATCACGAGCGATCACGGGCTAATTATCTATCGATTTCGTCGTCCCGTCGATTGTAATATGCGGGAAACGAAAGCGAGTGGGACGACAATTACGGCCCGCATTACGGCGTCCACGTGCGCACGAATGTGTCACGCGTGTCACACGTGTTCTCTTTCTTCCTCGCGAATGAGGTCACAGTTTCGGGCTAAGCCTAGGAGGCAGGTCCGACCATCACAAAATTCACTCCGGAAATAAGAAAGTCGCACGCACGATACGCTTTCGTAATGTTCCTTTGGGTGTTTACGCAACGCGAGGCTAACCCTGACGCGGATTAATTATCACGGTTGCCTAATTGACGTGACATTAAACGTACTGTTATAATTATTGTTTCTCGTGAAAAACGTGATCCGAATTAAACCGAGAAATATAAAACGACTGAAAAGCGCTGAAATATCGTTTTCATAATTCGCGTAATCGCGAGTCGATCCTGGCGAGTTCGCAATTTGCAGCGCAACATTTGTAAGAGACTTTCCGCACACTCGCGAGGAAATGTTTAGACAAAGTCAGCGGCTAATTTGGCCGTCATGCGATACGGATATATGAGTTTAAGCACCCGTTCCCTAATTTTAGAACCCCTCAAGTCAGTTTGAACGCGTTTCCGTGCTGCCGACTTGGAATTTATGAAAGTACGTTCCCGTTCTATCACATCGCATCTGTCTGGCGTATTTTATGTTGTTCACGACATTGCTTACAAATCAAGCAGAAAGAGATTTACAGTCCAGCGTCTCGGAGTCACGTCGCTGCCAGGTACAGAAAATAAAACTGCTGGAAATAACAAACGAAGTTTATCGTTGGTCAAATCGTCGGAAACGGTTGAATAGTGAATGTTACACGGGCAGGATCGTTGGCAATAGTAATACGGTGACATATTGCAACTAAGTCCACGTGTGCCGAGGTGATAACACACTGATAAATAATGACCACATTAGTCATCGACCTATATAATAGATCGATCAATACAAGATACATAAAACCGCTGGGTAGATTCGCCAACATGCTGTTATCTTACAGACATATATATATTACGCAGTTACGCGTATATGATACCGAAAGAAATTATTTAAAACCGCATTCATACGTGTGCGTGCAATAAGTGTCTTGAAATTGGCAATTGAAATCGAGAATAGTTTCTTTTCGTGTAATTTATTTTGCTACGAGCATAAGTCTCGTATATCTGTCTTTTTCTATTTCACTGGTTATCCGCGAGAAATATAATAATTATAATACGTACCAACATCGAGATACACGAGCAGAATGTCGCGATGGAATGTGAAGTATAAATAGCGAACACGTAATCGGAGGAAGTTATATCGACGTATGTATTTCATTCGCGGTATCGCTGTCAATTAGCATAAGTCTGAATATGTTTACGTGGAGAACTTTTTAAGCGGTGAACCCACGTCAGATTTCTCGACACGATTCTCTTTTCCAGTCATTCCGCTGCGGGACGCGATAAAGCGTTGTTTTGTATCTTTCGTTTCGCCGGTTTTTTGCGTCGACGAAGAAGCTAAGGTCGTTAGTGAAGTCATAGAATACGGCAATAATATTGCCTAATGTACATTCATTATTATTATTATTATACCGAAGATACGGGGAGATATTACGAGCCATTACGTAAAATATTCCAGCGATTTACAGCAGCGAATGTTTTTATTTCGTTGTTTCGATTACATCGCGTTTCGTGTCATCGGCTTATCAAATCAACACGCAATATTATGCGGGAGTACAAACATTAATTTCTGTAGCAAAAATTGTACATGACAATTCAGTAATGAATGGAGCGATGGAATAAAAAAGGATAAAATACGATAAAATTTATGACGGCGGGATAATAAGATTGAAAAGCTCGCAGAGGATCGATAACGCAGAAATAAAATATTTACAAAATTTATGAGAGAATAGGAAAACAAAAGAAAACAGAATAGGAGAGGAGGATCATCTTCATACTCACATCCGGCTAAGATGACTGGTAGAACGATCCTGAGAAGGATCACGCTCAGCCAGTACTTCGTCATGCTTCGAACTGCCCGGATGACCTTTCACCCTGGAAAAAAAGGAAGAGCGTGAGAGAAACGATAAGTAGCTGAATTTGAATTCTTCCCTCCTCTTCCTTTTCTCTCCGAAAAGTTCTAAGATACGCCGACATGCCGCGGCTCGTAAACTCTCTTGAAATCGATAAAGCGCTGCCGCAGTCGAACACCTTTAACCTGGTTTTGCCATGAGACGCAGTGACGTTCCGCACTACGCTCTTTCGGATCTAAGAACTTTTCATAAACCGGTTTCTATCACCGGGTTTCACATGATGCTTCCTGCAGCCGTCGCGCTGCTTGCTCCCGCGTGATATCATCGTACGACTATTACATAAGGGCCTAATGAATTCGAAGTTGACTATCCTTGCTCGACGTGAAATGCTTGCTAAGCGACTGGGGTTGTTAAAAATAATCGCACGCGTTGTTCGGGAACATTATCGGGAACGATTACGAATACATGTTACATCCAAAAAAAGTACTCTACTTGTAAAGTGATTTTTCCCATAGCCTGATATTCTAAATGAAGCCTTTTGCAGAAAAAGGATTCATCTTTCGATAAAGCGATTTAAGTGAATCATTCATCTGAAATTTATTAGATATTATTCTAATTATTTTCCTCTTATTTCAAGAGGATTTTCTTTTGTATCAATTAATTTTCCTTCTGTATGAAGAGGAATATGTTGATTTGAATGTCGGCTTCTTTTGTTCAGTTATGCTCTACTTCCAGACATGAATAAAAAAATAATCATATGCTCATGAGTTAGAATATTTGGAACGCTTTTTAAGAAAGATATGTGTATTGCTGTAACATATAACGAAGATAATTTACCCACATTTAGTCAAATACAATTTATAATCTATTGCAAGAAGTTGAATAATATATTCTTTCTTTTAATTCCATGTTTTATACAATTGGTTATGATGAACATCTTTGTAGCTATGAAGTCCATAACAAAACTGATTGGAAATTTACTTGTTACGATGTTCTTATTTCATTCGTGTTAGAGATGTGCGAATCAAGAATTTTTATGTCGAATCGAATCGAATCGAATGAAATCGAATCGAATCATTAAAAAATTTAACATGACTATTAAACATGCAAATAATGATGGGAGATTTTAATATGAATGGGAATATTGATATTGTAATATCATCTTAAAGTAAAATATATATTTAAATATTTAAAGTAATTTATAATTGTTATTAATTATAAGTTAAGTTAATTACAAGTTAAGGGTTCAAACATACAGACCCAGATGGGCCATTTTGTAGCTGATGCACGCAAACGATAATGTATTTGATTCCTATTCGAATTATTCGGATTCGAATCATAGGGATTCGAATTCGAATAGTTCACACATCTCTAATTCGTGTTTACTTATTGTAGAACTGGAGTCAGAAGTACATCTATATATGTATTACTTTTCGCTATACATTACAATAATTTTTTCAAATTAACTAGTATAACCAGTAAGAATAAAGTACGGTAAGAATAAATAATAATCCTCTTGAAAAAAGATTAAATAATCCGTGTATAAGAGGAAATTTATATTAAAATCAACAAGATCTGCATTATATGTATGATCCATCTAACTTTAAGAATAATGTGTTTATAATATTTTCCTCTTAATATTAGAGGAATTCTCTTGAGACCATATATAAGAATAAAGTCCTCTAAAATCTCGATGATTCCTCTTGTTCTGAAATTACTTTTTTTTTAGGTGTACTTGATGTACTCGCGTGGAGTGCCATCGAACGGTCGGCTAAACTAAACGACGCCGAAGAGTTCCCGAAACGAGCGCCATTCAAGGAGTTCTGGAAAGTTCAGGAGAGCGAGTATGTTTTTGGTCATCAGAGGATTCAGTAAAAAGAGGCGCACCCACCTTAATTACGGGCCAATTACATAGAGACGACGTCGTCGCCGGGAGGCGCGCCGGTTACGCTTTTATCGCATGAAGATGCGGACGGTAATGATGTACGCGGTAGAAAGGGGAAAAAGTGACGTCGCGTGACGATATTATTCCGCCGTGGGTGATATCAATCAATTTCGCCGAACAGTTCTGTGCGAGCCTCCTGCCGCCTCCACGGCGCGCGCGCGCGCTGCGTGAGTCAAGAGATGAAAGGCCGATGAAAGCTGAACGCGGTAATTAAAAACGGAGTACTCGACGGAGTATTTCCTTTAGTAGCGGCGCCGGTGGCTTGAGATTCTCCCGTGCGATTCTGAGGTAGCCTTCAAAATCGAGACAGACAGCTGCCGACTCCCGCGGGAAAAGTATCCTGCGGGCGAGCTAAGTGAGAAAGCGGCTGTTACCACTCAAGCTTGTCGCGCTAAAGCAGATTTGCAACTCGACTTTCTTTCGCCAGATATTCCGCCGTTATATACCGTCGGATATTGTTAGATATCCGTCGTTACGCGATTGTCAGATACGCGCCATAAGGCGCGTCTAATGGCTTTGCTTATCGGTTCTCCCCCCGTAGGGAGAGGATGGGCGCAGCGACGCGTCTCTTCTTCCATGTGATAAATAATATATCGCTATCGATAACACATATGTGTAAATATGTCGTGTGGTTCACCCAAAAATATGATCGTTTTATTCACAGGATATCGAGAGGGGGGAGGGGAGAGAGAGAGAGAGAAGGGAGAGAGAAAGAAGGAAAACACTACTCGTGTTCTTTCTCCTTTCGCACGCACTCCCTGACATGTAAATTTCACGAGGTTCCAAAGTCCAAGATCGAATGCAAACGTGACCAAGCGGTATCGAATGTTCGCATCGAATGCTCGCACGTAGCTCATGTGTCTCGTATTTTAATTAGCTCCTTCGTCGTGAAGTGTTTATTTGAATTGTCGTACACCCGCGGCGCACTCCTGCGATACCCGAAGCGCCGCAGAAATATTCGAATTTACGTGTCTCGGGAGCTCTCGTGAATGAAACTCGCTTATCTCGCTCATGTCCGCCAGTCGTTTCACTGATCTCACGATCACACTCGCTGCCGTAAGTAGTCTTGCGTTCGTGGAATTGAGTAATGTGGAAAAAATCACCTATCGATGTTGATTACAGATCATTGGTTATCGCGGATATAACGTGCATGCATTATCAGATCCCAAAGCGTGCAATCACCGGGGCCGGGCAAATTGCAACGTTAAGCAGCGTGAATCGCCGATGAATCTATAGTTACGGTAAATTGATCGGACACCATGAATAACAGCTTGGCTATCTGACGAAGCATCGTGACGAATCCGATAATCGACTCGAGTCTAAGGACAACTGTCTCTCATCGGCGTCGAGCGAGCGTCGAGCGAGCGTCGCGGACGACAGTTTGCAAGCGACAGTCGTTGGATCGCAGCACCTCCCCCAGATTCGTGATTAATGTAATGAATTCACAGATATCTCCTCACTCCCCCTGCTGTTCGTTCACACACAGCGAATTACCTGTTTTGATTGAACTTTTCGTAATAACGATACTCGAGATACGAGCGTGGGTTGCGTGCCGAGTCGACGCGCGTTTCGCGCGGGGATGCGTGTCACACGCTATAACGTCGAATTAATCAAGAGAATGCGCGATGCGGCGGCGGTGGCGTTATTCGAGGGGAGAAGTGCGCCGGCGAAACAACGCGCTGGATTCCCGTTGTTTTGATGAACGATAGCGTCGAATTATCGCGCGACGCGGGATCCTTTGGCCGGCTGAGATTGCACGTGGCGAAAGCCGCGACTGCGGTTTTCCCCACGTGCTTTACGATCGGGTGTGACCACGAGAGAAGCGCACGCCGAAGGCGTCGCGTCAGGAAGCACGAAACTCTCGAGTCGGACGACGTTCGTCAACCGATTGTTAATTACGAAGGACGCTCATCACACGCGCTCAGCTGGCGATCAATCGCGCCAGGCTGACGTGATAGGGAAGAAATAATCCGACTGGAAATTTTGATCACCTAACTAGGTTCACCTAACATTGATAAGGACCTAATAGGGTGAATGAAAGGTAATCCTAAGTGAGTGATTATGTGTAATATGATTTGCATTATCAAGTTTTAACAAAACAATTTTTGGGTGTCATTTCCAAATATAAAGATGTTTTGCATTGAAGAAAACTCTTCAGATCACTCGAATGTATTTGTGAAATGCTATAGAAACTATCCTTTTTTTAGCAGTCAATAAATAGTTGTAAAATTAACGTGACATGCAACTTTTCTCTTTAACACCATTTTATGTCTTGTCACCTTGTGATACTTTATGATCCTATGATATTTGTTTTATGTTTCTTTTCCGAAAAACATTTTACAAGTATGCTCAAGTGATCTAAAATATTATTTCATGAAAATATCTTTTTATTTGGAAGTGACATGAGGGAATTTTCAGCGTGTCATTTCTTATTTCTAATGTCATCCTCAACAAGCCTTCCGATTAGAAATTTATCCCATGGTCCTGATCAGATTAACCTCATTTGGATATTAAGTCCCAATAAGGTAATACTATCGGGTCTTAATAAGTAATCGTGTCAACGCAGCGTGGATATCAGGACCTCGGTGAGGTTCATAGTCAGGTCCTTATTGAGTTACCTTACGGAATCCTTATTACGTTTTCTTTTCCAAATTATGGCTCCTGATTACTCGCCATAGCTATATTGGATGATGACATTGGAAATAAGAAATGTCACGCTGAAAATTCTTTCATGTCATTTCCAAATAAAAAGATATTTGCGTGAAATAATATTTTAGATCGCTTGAGCATACTTGTAAAATGTTTCGTCACAACCAATAAATTATCGCATGACATAAACACACATTGAGATGCACGCAACATGCACGCACAGAGTAGGCGACTGAACTGCTTCTCGAGCGTCTTTTGTCTTGTAGGCCCATATGTGGACAAATGCAAGACAAATGAGAGCTACAGTGCGCACGCCGCTACAGGCAACTCGTCGTTACGAGTCTGATAAAATCTGATAAAAATTGAACTGTCTCTAATTATATGTGGTGCATTATAAAAATATTTTTTTATATTACGTCCAGTGCTATTAAAGTTTTACAAATACACACACCCATACATGCGCGCGTGCGCATACACACACATATTCATATTATATACATATAAAATTAATTACAAATGGTTTTTGTCAAAACTTGATGATGCAAATCATATTAGGTACAATAAATAAGATCCCGACAAGGATCTGATCAACTGAACCATATTATATCATACACTAGGTTGGTACATCAAGATCCTAATGTGGACCCAATCATTATAATCTTATAAAAGTCTAACTTACTCATTTGTCGTTGCATTGTCGACATTATAAGGACTGACTTACTTAGGATTACCTTTCATTCACCCTATTAGGTCCTTATCAATGTTAGGTGAATCTGATCAAAATTTCTAGTCGGGCTGATGACAGCTCTCGAGTGGGGATACCACTTTGCGAGTGTGAGTGACAGACGAGAAGAGTTGATCATAAGTGCCCGGCGATTTTCGAGGCAAAGAAGGAAGTCACAAGGAGAATCAAGGAGGAGATCAAGAATTTGATACCGTTCGCCATTCGCTAATAATTGCACGCAACGGAACAATGAATAAGCCGCTTCGCTTCCCACGTTTTTTTATCGCGCAAATGCAGTCGCGAGTGTTTTGCGGGAGACCTTGTGCGCGCACTTGTGCGATAATCCGGCGGATGTAAAAGTGTGAGACTGCGTTGGTGTGTCTCACACGTGCACAGTCGGCACACGGAGAGAACGCGGCGCGCGACCGCGCAATTCGGAACTGTACTCTTTCGGGGCCATTTCGCTTGCGAAATAATTTCGTGGCTCGCGCGCTAAGTCAGCGCTGAGGAACGGCCGTTGTTCCCGGCAGCGCGACCTACGTTCCTGTTGAAATTTTCCATATTTCCGTCTATCGCAATCATTATCGGCAATGTCAATAATACACGATATCGTGGTCGCGCGTCAACGTTGTGCACCTCCTCGATGGACTTATCTTCGGACGGGCCAAGCGAATCTCCGCGAAAGTCCGCCTAAACAAACCGCCTGCCAAGGCGGTTCTCCGGACTATCCTAAATTCGTCGGATCCCGCTCGCGGAATTCGCGGAAAATCTCTCCGCTTCACGAGCGGAGGAGCCAGTTCGGTCGGGAATTATCGGTGAGGGAATATACTTCAGGTTCGGGCTGAGTCATTTCGTCGAACGCGATAAGACGAATTTGTCGTGTCGCAGCACGTCCTTCGCCTTCGTTCGCTTATCGACCAAGCTCTCTCTCTCTCTCTCTCTCTCTCTCTCTCTCTCTCTCTCTCTCTCTCTCTCTCTCTCTCTCGGTGATTTGAAAACCGAGCGCGACGTCTTTCGAGCGCGCTCTCATTTCTTCTCCTCATGACCCTCTGCGACTTTGCAACCGCGAGGATATCAACAAATAGCGATAAACAAACCGGTGCCCGGCTTGCCGTTATCCGGAGAGGCCGCGGATCTCCTGCTCGACGGGGGACGTCCTGCGGACGGCGCGTACCTTGTGTGAGTACGCTGATACGCCGTTTCAGAGCATTCCCTTCCAAGGACCTCGTCCCAGCTGTCCTCAGGCCGATCGAAGCCCGAAGGGAGCAACATGCGCTCCTCGCTCCGCTTTTCAGCAACCGTGAAAGCAACGCACCAACACCACCTACGCCTCGCACACGGGCAACACCGTATCCACAATGCGCTCTCCGCAACCGTACTCCTTTGTGGTATTGATTGTGACTTTATGAATGATGCCTCTCTCTCTCTCTCTCTCTCTCCCTCGCGTGCGCGTACGCCCACGTGTCATGTATAGCCGGCAATACGCTTGGAGCATCGGCCGATGCTCTTGACTCTCTTTCACTACCAACTTCAGCCGACCACCGACGTTTGATGACCGACGCCGGCTCGCCACCGACTGGCTGGATAAGCAGCCGCCTAGCCAGGAGTAGTCTGACAGTTACATGTATTTGTGTACACAACGGGGCCGTGTGTGTGTGTGTGTGTGTGTGTCATGCGCAGCTTTGTGCGTCATCGACAGTACCGTACAGCTATATAGTGGAGTCTTTTTCTTTCGGCCACCTGGTGCGTTCGGATGTTATTGATAATAGTACTAATTGCGGCTTAGTCAGATGTTTTTCCAGCTATTTTTCTTTCCGTTCTCGAGGTCTCCATTTGGAGACGAGACTCCGAAGCGGACTTGATCTCCGTTTGTGCTTGAAAATTGTATTTACGAGGAAAAAAACTCCTCCGATGAGTCAGAAAACGCAACGTTATCTTCTTTCTCCTTGTATCGTTGATTTATTATAAAAATTGAATTTGTTACAAAATACATGAAATGGTTCCCCTCTGCGAGACCTCCTGGTCCACACAGAGATGGCGCCCGACGCTCCGCAGGAGGAGAAAGTCGCGGTTGCCAGAGAGAAGCGAAATCTGCTCTACCGATCGCGCGCGCGAAGTGTGTGACTCCGCGGTTAGAATCATGCATTAAGCGACTAGAATGTATAATTATCTCATACATATGTGGTATTTTATAAAAAATAAATCCACTTTCAGAGGGGTCGACCAGTCTCCCCTCGCGGGCCGCAAAATCCCCTCTGTTCGGCTTGAGTCAGTCTTTCGGGCTGGAGGAACGCCTTGATTAGATTGTTCGATCCAACTGTCTCATCACGTAATGGAAAAACGCGAGTATCGAGAAGCTGAATCCCAGTGGTATGCAGGTGGCTTTGATCCACGCCCACACGCTGCAAACAGGCACATCGTAACGCGCGCGTTAATGCAGAACTGCGAAGAGTCCGAAAGCGCTGCGTCATTAGGATAATAATTTGTTCGCCTAGCTGAGTGCAGCGTGACATGGCGGTGCGACTTGACAGGTGAGTGGGTAATGTGCGTCGAAGAATATATTTCCAAATACATGTAGCGTGCGAGCGCCATCGCGAGTTCAAAGTCTACTTTTACATATGGCCGTCCACAGCGATCTCTCGTCTTCCCGTTCGAGCGGTCGCGCCGGATAGGCAGATGTTGATCACCATCAATCATCAAGCAAACATGTAATATGTAACATGTACCTGTTAGTTGTGACTTCCTACTCAACAATGCGACTGTTTTGTACAACGCGTCCGCGAGAAGCGTTGTGTTTGCTGGGATGATGATACATCAAGAGCGTAGATCGTCGTTGAACGTCACACGTTATCGAAGGAATGCGACCGCGTGAAGAGCGAAGCCTCTCAGGAGCGTGTAAAAATATAGCGCATTTCACGCGAGCTTCTCACTCAACTAGTTTACCGTTGTTGTTGCGCCTCGCGGCGTCTACAGGGTTGTTACGCAAGTGCAAACTTGCCGGCGTCTAGACCGCAATTAACGCGAGGACCTTAGCGATCTACGGGAAGGTTCGGGAGAGGGCAGAGGGTGCGAGCTAATGTTGAGGTCGCGTCGAGAAGATTGGATTACTCGTAAGGGTTGTCCGATATGCTGTACGGTTCCGTCGGGAGGATGCCGCTCTCGTAGATCACCACGGGGACGAGCGGAATGTCGTCGCTGTCCGTTTTGGTCTGCTCGATCTTGAAGACCACGGCTTCGCCGCTGACCACCTAGGGAAAAGATGTCCCAAAAGCGTCAAACTGATCATTCGCGTTCCCAAATATGCCGTCCAAAATACCGAAGAAATACGAAGAAGACGATGTTGCACTGATAACAAGTTAACTTTTATCACCTTGCCGAATATCGTATGATGGTCGTCCAACCAAGGTGTCGCTATCGTGGTGATGAAGAATTGGCAGCCGTTGGTGTTCTTGCCGGCGTTCGCCATGCTGACAAACAGCGGCCCGCTGTGCTTCACCTCGAAGGTCTCGTCGTCGAAGTACTTGCCGTAGATGCTGATGGAACCGGTACCGTCGCCATTCTCGACATCACCGCCTGCGACATGTACTCGTGAGTATCGATAGGAACTGTTTGCGCGAAGGTTTATTCGCAAGTGAGACATGTCTCAGCGGAGGCAGAAGCCCGTAACCTTGAATCATGAACTTCTTTATCACGCGATGGAACTTGCTGCCGGTGTACTTCTTCCCAGCCACGCCGGTGGTGGCGAGGGTGATGAAGTTCTTCACCGTTTTCGGAGCGATCTCACCGAACAGGCCGATAACGATTCTCCCGACTGGATGGTTGTCGATCATGATGTCGAAGTATACGGTGTCCGTGACCTTGAATGTTTCCGCCTAGAATGACACACACACACACGCATTTCTATGAGCCTCTTTTCAAACATTCTGTCATTTTCTGCGTAGTCGAGTACGCTGCGCGATCATTCACTTAACGAACTCTTTTCATTTTGCTCTTATAGTAGCTCTAAATGTTACATAACGTTATAATCTGTGATGGAAGTCCTGTAATCATTCGCACAGCTTACAGCTTTATTCTTCTTTACTCTTCTACAAGGTCGCTCCCGCGAGTGCGCAAGCGAAGGAACAAACCAAATAAATAGCGCGCTGTTTCGCGGGAGGAAAGAAAGAAGAAAAAGAGGTCGACGACAATTCCGCGGGAGTAAATTGAATTAGTCGACGAGGCTGAGCGCACGATTGCGAGAGCGCAAGTGCAGCGCAACCGACAGAATGGATGCAGAATGGAGCCATTAATTTAGACCCGTGTGACTTGCTGGACTCGCGACGCTCGAACATACATTCGTCGGGGAATCGCTCGAGCGCGTCTGCTGGAACGTAACAAGCAGGGAAACCTTACAACATGCACAGGCGAAACTAACACATACACACGTCTGACATATATTACCACCTCCCTTGTATCTGTTAATTTCTGCCCCCAATCCCCAATCCGTCTCAATTACTCGAATTAAACGGATCAACTTATCTTAACTTTGTGTCGCGATAAACTCATGCAGCCATTAAGTTTCACCACTTGATCGACGAGATCAATGTAATCGCTGTTTATCGCAAGATCCGTACACGCACCCGTTCGTTCGACACTCGACGTTCAGCAAGAATGCCTTTGTGACGAAGATACGATGTGTGTAACACAATCCCGCGAATCCCGCGATTAAAATCGCGGCTTCTCCTTATCGATGCGCACGCGGTGCAAAAGGACGCAGCATGTCCGAGGCAACACTCCCAGATCGCGATCTGACACGAACAATGCGAAGTGGCACGAGCGGCTGATCTTTACTCTTGACAGTCGTTTACAATTAGCGTCGCACATTAACGGTATCCGAAAAAAATATAGCTGCGATTTGCAGCGAACGGTACCTCAACGACGGTCGAGACGGCAGCCACGAGGACGACGACGGTCAGCAGGCGCTTCATGCTTTTACGATTTCGTCCTGAATCCGCTGCTCCGGAGTGGATGTGGACACGACTTCGCGGCACGAATTCCTTTATTAATCGGTCCCCGCGCTGCGCTTGTATTAAGCTGCGACACGTCGACGTGCGCGGCCGTTTACTCGCGGTGGAAGTCGCGCGTCTGCTCGCCGATGTGCGCCGTCGCCGACGGCCGCGTCGGCGCTTTAAATTGAACGAAGCGGCCGTGTGTATCAAAGGGCCGATTAACATCGCGGATTCTTGAGCTAACGTTCAGGATCTCCCCCACCTTGGTCTTCGTTACGCCTGTTACGCCTCGCGAAAAGAGCAACGTCTCTGTGATATTTCTTTAACGTTCCGAGTAGAAAAATTAATGGGGCTCCGGTATTTTTAAGGGCCTGATTATTTTTCCCTGACATTAATCGGATCCTAGTAGCGATAGAAAGACAAGGGCCCTGCAAGACGTGTAGCGAGTGGTTTAACGGCGAGTCCTTATAAGGCAATATTAATAGGACCTTCTAGGAAGATATTTTTATTATTGCTTGAGTAGTCGATGCTTGAGTAAGAATACTCGATCTTTTCATTCCAAGAAATTTAGGCTGCAATTTCTTTATAATCTTGTTAATATACAACAAGAATTTTTTGTCTTAAAAATATAGCATATTTTGCAATAAAATATAGCATTCTTTACACATAAATATCTTGTCACTGTTTTTACTAAAGTTTGTTGCATTTCGAAACGAAGGTAATACTAGAAAAATCCTTGGAAGAGACTAATGAATATGGCAACTAATGAAACTAAAAAAATTTGTTTTTATTTGCAGTATAATTAAAAAATCTTTAAAAGAATCAGATAGAGCATACTTGCTAAAACAATATTAAACTATGACAGTTTTATTACACGCTTCAGATCTTATTAATTTTTTATAATATAATAAAACTTGATTTTATACATCTAAAGCGTCCTTAAAGGTCCTTCTAAAGTCGACATCAGTTTTCCATGTTGAAGCGTTATTTCGTGAAATCTAAGACATCCCTAAAAAATTTTTCTAAGACCCTCGTCAGTTTTCCCTCTAACAAAGCCTTATTTATTTAGATATAAAGCACCCCTAATAAATCCTTCCAAGGCCCTCATTAGTTTTCCTTATCAAAGTCTTATTTCACAAAATAAGAGAATCTAAGAGAGAGAAAATCTAAAAGATGGATCCCTAAAAGATCCATCTCGAGGCCTGATGTAGTAATAATGAGGCATCCTTTTTTAGGGCATCCTACTTTCGGCCTTATCAGGGCCTTATGCTTCATGAGGATGGCCCTAATTTTTTACTCGAGATAGCCTTCAACATCGAAGGCGCTCCGATTTTCTTTTCTTCTCAAAGATTCGGCCTCAGATCTATCGTCGAAGCACTCGAGTCCATCGATAAGATGTTCGATATCGAAGAGTTCTATTTGTCGGATTACTGCTTGTAAAGATGTCGAAGATATACGTCTATGAAGAACGTGATATTTCCTGCTAGGCAGATAAAATTTAACAGAAAAGTCAAATCACGTGTTCTGAAAAATCTTGCTTCCTCTTCGAGGAACGATATTTCTTCGTAATTCTATGTGCAAATGAAAGGGCGAGAGGAAATCAAGATTAGGGAGGTAACATGGAAATGATAAATATCAAATGAGATATTATATTTGCCGAAACTTTATTTCTCGTCGAGAAGTATTTGGCTTCCAGAATATTTTATCGTTTCCAAGATGTTTGGTCGAGAATCCGAGTTCAGTGAACTCGATCTATCAGCGGCCGATTGTTTCGGATAGAAAGGGGACACACACACACACACCTCCGTATTATTTATACTTTTCTGTCGGGTTTCGATCTACTTATCGAGTATAGATTGGAGACTGGACAAATTTTCATTGAGTTAATTCGTCGTCGGAGGGCTGTTGTCAACGTACATTGAACGAAGAGAGAACGTGGCGCTGATCCATTGCGCAATAGAACACTAAAATCTCTGCCTCGAGGGTCAAAGATCCGCGTCGTACAATCGTAACGGCTTCGACAATCCTCGGAGCATCGATCGAGCAGTCCCGTTATTCTCGGGACGCCGAGCGCGGCGAGTATTATAAAAGCGGTGAGCGTCCTTGCTCTGAAACGCAGTTTGCGGCGAAGATGAAGAGCGGAAGGCAACAGCCACGGCAAGAATGCGTGAGATGGACGACGCTGACGGTGGCGGCAATCGTCATCCTCGTAGTCGATGCGTTGCCTGCCGCTGAGGTCAGCCGGCAGTCGAGCGAGAAGCAGCTGAAGGATGTGGTCCACGAGCAAATCACTTACGACGGCGATCAAGTCTGGAGAATACACAAACCCCAGGCGAACAACAATTATGTGAACGAGCTGGTGCAACGCTACGACGAGGACGGTTGTACGTAGTAGTAATCTCGCCTTAGAAGCACGACGAATTTCCCGCGCAGTCAGAATTGTCACTCGACATTTTTCTCTCCTTTACCATCACAGCGTACTCGATATGGTCGAACAACGCGTCGGCCGCTGATATTTTGATACGAAGTTATATGCTCGAGCACGTGGAGTCGGTGTTCAGAAACGCTGGGCTGAACTACGACGTATTGATCAATGATGTGCAACAAGCGATCAAGGAGGAGAACCCGCCGCTCTCGCCGGACGCTCAGGAGGAGCTCGAGGGACGCAAAGGTTCGAGATCCTTTCTTTTTATTAATCTTACTCTCCATGATTATATTTCATCGATAGACCGAGAAATAAGTTAGCCGGCGATTACGGTCTTACGAGGAGAAACGTTTGTTCAGAGTCGCGATGATGATTATTATCATTGTCATTAAGAGGGGAATTACATGCGGAAGGCTGTTTTCGAGGCTATTTTTGCGAATTTTTTTTTAAATAAAAACGGCAAGATCAATGGATTTGAAATTTTCACAGTGTATTCATTAATGTGTTCAAAGTATAAAATAAATTTTATTGAATCTCAAGGACCGATCTAATTTGTAATTATAGATAAAAATGCAGTCATCCGATTGCAAGCTCTATGTTTGTTGTCGACATAATTCCAGGCTTCTCACTGCTCTGAAACCAAAAAAAAAATGAGAAAGATTTTTAAAATATGCAATTGCCATTACCATTGCCCGTACCAAAATGAAGGCAGTGAAGTCAAGTTTTGGAAAAATACTGACCGTACAAAAAAAGTATCGAAAATTAAACTTTTTTCAACGTGTAAATCATGTTTAAAAAAATGAATAAAATGAAATATAACTGTGTTCGAGATAGGAGCGAAAATTGTATGTCTACTATATATTGTGTAAAAATTTCAAGTTGTTCGGTTCAATAGTTTTCACGTAATCGTGTCGACAGTTTAAGAAAATGACGTTTCCAGATAAACGCGTTTAAAGCTTTTTATGTGTGTACTTTCCATACAGATAGTAACAAATTTATTTTATACTTCGAGTATTACTGAATACACTGTGAAAATTTCAACTCCACTGATTCTACCGTTTCTGTTAGAAAAATTCATAAAAGTACCCTTGACAGCGGCCTGCTCCGCATGTAATTCCCCCCTTGATACTATGAATTTTCGCGAGCTACTCGCGTGAGCCGCTGAGCGCTTCCATTAACAATTTACGAGACCGACTAATCGCCGCTGGTATCGTTTGTTCTTCGGTATACCACGCATTGCTCAGTAATTTTCTTCGTCCTGACGAGTAGCTGCGACGAATAAATAAGATGGAGGAGAAACTGGGTCGCGATTGTGCCGGCTTGCGTCCCACTGACATTGATGAAAGTCGCGCGGAAGAGCCTATTGTCCGCTCGTTGCTCAAGCCTGTCACGTAGCGACGAAAGCTAGTGAAAATGAATCCAGCGAACTAGTCCTTACCTGGAAGCACATTCGAAAGTGAGACTCGCGGGGAGTCACCGCTTGTTATTAATTTCAGGCCACTGTCGAAAATGACCGTGTAACATGTCGTCCGAAATGGAAACCAACTGATGTCCCGGCGCCGGGACATGTTCTCGAACAATCAACTCGTTGTCGTTTAACGTCATGACAATTGTCACCTTGCAATTGTGCTTCTTGATAAAGCGAGTTAATCATCGGGGAATTTTCGTATCCGAGATAAATCTCTGCAGCGAGAAAGTTCGAGCGTGTTCGAGACGCACGCGTGCAACGGCCGCGCGTTGTCTAATTGTCGCTCGCTCATCCACCGCGAGAAGAAATAATTGGAGACCAATCGGGGTTATCGGCCTCGAGAGCGAGCCCCACTCGGCAACTCGGTTCCGCTTCGGCGCTGATTAACATTAACAGTTATGCTTCATTTGTACACGCGTATATGTAAAGCGCGTGCGAAACGTCGCACGCAGTCGTGGCACGTACGCGCGTTCTGCGCTATATTTCGACGTTTTTCCATCGTCATTTGCATAAGCACCCGTCCGATCTCTCGATGCCGTTACCCGCTGCAGACCGGACGAGGCGCGCCTTCCGATTGTGAATAACTCTCATGGAATTCTGCTAGAACTAACGAGCGATTTGGCAGCAGAATTGCCGATGGAGATCTTTAAACGAACAGCCAAATCTTTCGTCACTTCGAATCGCGTGCTACGTGACGCTGAGCGGCGAGTCAGAGCACGGACAAGGGGAAAAATGATTGCTTGGATGAAGCGATCTTCCGGTGAAATATATATACCGGGCGTTTCAGACCATGATTTTTGGAAATTTCAAAATCATCAAATTAACCAAATTCAGGGCGCTGGATATATTGGAACAATATATTCTTGAGACTAAATAAAGCAAAAAAGTCTAGTACCACTTTTTCTTCTGGCAGATAGTTAACGAGATATCGTGAGTTAAATATTGAAAAAATTATCAAGTTTTCCTTAAATAACTCAAAAAATATTAGGTAAATAAAAAAATGTTTCAGACACAAGTTGTTCAAATTAATTGCTAGAAAAATATAATGTAATAAAAAATTTGAGTATCCATATAAGATTTTTATGTTGATCTTGACTGGATTTTTCAAGGTTAGCCTAAGGTCAAATTCATAGCGTCAGTAAATAGATCCTTCGAAGCCCTACAACTTTTGTCTGAAATATTTTTCTCTAAAATGTCGCGTTAACGAAAAAATCGGGTGACCCGTGTGGTCTGAAACACCCGGTACATATATATGATGAATGACTCAGAAATTCCGATGGAAGATACCAGAATTCTGTTGAAGCTTATCCCAGCAATCTCGATAATTCAAGTTGAATTTCAGCCAAAGTTTTCAAGTCGTTCATATTTCAGCAGAAAATTCCGTCACTCAAGCAAATATTAAATTAATTCAAATTACTAAACAAACATGAAAAGAGAAGAAGAGGAGTCCTTCCGCCTTCTCTCTCGGGTTGTAACGCGAGAAACTATCTCATTTTTCGTATTGGCAATTCCGAATTAATTTAATTTCCGTCCGTTAATTTAAGGATCAGTCTCAGTCGCGTGCGCGAAATCGAGCCACTCACGAGGTTAACGCGAGGCGAATTCCGCTGCGAAAAGTCTCCCTCGCTTTTCCCGTTGCTTCACAAGTTGAAGCAAAGCCTCGCCCTCGCCGTGTCATCGAAATATGCGCGACGTTCTCTCGTCAGCGAAGTGAGGCTTTCAGTCGTTTTCTAGCTCGTTACGCTTGGTGGCAGGCAGTCAGAATTAGATATCCACGTCCTCGTCCTCTTCGTTATCCTGTAGCTAGTGTACACGGTGGAGGTGGTCCTTGGCATTTTAGGGCAAGTTTTCGGGGTGAGCTTCCTCAAGCGCACGCGCGCGATTCGCTTCGTCGATTCAGAATGGTGCTTCGAATCCACACATTTACCGAGACATGACCACACACGACGCGCGACACCACAGCCGAAGAAGAGCGAAGCTCTCGGCTTGGCACCTTGCTTTGTGTCACTTGATCTGAATCTACGGAGCGCTTGATGAACGGTCGCACGAGGGCGCGCGAGGTGCAAGCTCCGAGTAATCTTGTGAAGCTGTGACCCGCCAGGTCACAAAATGGAGTGGACCAGTTACCACCGCCTGAAGGATATCCATGACTTCTTGGACTACCTCGAGGAGACTTACCCGGATATTTGTTCCGTCACGACCATCGGCTACTCCATCGAAGGCCGGCTACTCAAGGTACCAGCGTCGCTTTTCACTTCCATCTTCATCGTCGAGCAAAAGTTCCAGTGTCAGATGATCCCGTTAATGTTAAGGTCTTGAGGATCAGCAACGGCAAGCCGGACGTACCGGCGATCTGGATCGATGGCGGTATTCATGCCCGTGAGTGGATCTCACCCGCGTCCGTGACCTACATCATCAATTACCTGGTCGAGAACAGCGAGAACCTGAAGGCGGACTATTACATCCTGCCTGTGGCCAACCCGGACGGCTATGAGTACACTTTCAATTCCGACCGCCTTTGGAGGAAGAACAGGAGGACAGCCGGTTACAGCGGCTGTTCAGGTGTCGACTTGAACCGGAACTTTGGTTACCGCTGGGGCGGCAAGGGCACCAGCAAGGATGTGTGCCGCGAAACGTACTCGGGCGCAGCGCCCTTCTCCGAGCCGGAAACCGACGCCATCCGCAACTTCTTCGAGGCCAGCTCGGCGAACTTCAAGGTCGGTTCAAGTCTGTCTGACTTGTTTCAATTTTTCGCTCTTCCCACACACTTCGTGTGCGTCATCCTTTTGACACCCAGACAGATATACATCAACTCGCCAACATTTTACCAAGCTTCCAATTTTACTTCTATTTCCAACAAATCTTTTAGTTCTAACAAAAGAAACGGTCGCGATACGACAGCATCTTTTTGACCCTTTTTTAAGATTTGTTAATCCTCCATATTGAGAGTAAACGGCTACATTCTTACATTCTTTCGTCCCAACCTCGGATCAGACTCCAGGACGATCCGTAAAATTTCAATAGGTGACACTCTGGCATTTTCCGATAGGCGTACCTGAGCTTCCACAGTTACGGCCAGTACGTGCTGTACCCGTGGGGCTATGATCGACGTGTTCCGCCGGATTACATCGATCTCGACACGCTCGGCCGCCAAGCAGCAGCGTCCATGAAACAGGCCGGTGGTGCTGGGAGTGTTTACACCGTCGGGAACAGCGCGACCACGTTGTACGCGGCCAGCGGCGGCTCGGACGATTGGGCGAAGGCTATACTGAAGATCAAGTACACGTACACTATCGAATTGAGAGATACTGGCAGATACGGCTTTATCCTGCCGGCGCGTTACATAATTCCCACTGCCAAAGAAGCGCTCGCCGCGGTGGAAGTGGTTACGCAAGCTTGTAAAACGGCGTAACCGTCGACCGGACTGCCTGCAAAATCGACTGAGGAGAAGTCTGAGCAGTTTTTGTGCGGAGCATTTTACATGCGAATGTGCCCAACGAGAGAGATACTTTCTGAAGTTGTCTCGCACTCGCAAGATGTGGCGAATATTCCGTGAGCAGCTGTGAGCAATTGTGAGCAATTGTTCATCCGCGCAAATTTATCGATCTCCGCTGAATATCAACAGCGCTGTACACACACGGAGAAAAATGTTTGGTCGAACGAAAGAATTTTCCGATAAGATACGAGCGATGCAGAGATTCTGATTGAAGATAAATTAACAGCGCTTCTGTTTAAGTTCACCACAAGTTTTGATATTTTAGACTTAATTCTGATATCTTCGATTGAAATTTCTCAATCATTTATATTTCACTAGAAAAAAAATTTGTTTATTCAGCTAAGTTTTTTTCTCCGTGTATGATCTTCGTGGTCGTTCCGGAAGCGGCTTCTTTGCTGTAATTGTCCGTCGTTAATCGACCGTATTCCCGATCTAGCGTTCGTTTCGTATCACAACGTTTGTGTGATCGCGTATGTGGGAAGATAATCTGTAAATATCGCCGAAGTGTCTGCAATAAATATTTAACCGATTCATTAGTGGACTCGAAATCAACGATTTGCGCCAAAACCGGAGAGCGAATAATTTCGCTACTCTTTACATCCTTTATATCCTATAAATAAAGTTTCTTTTTTTTTCATCAATTATTAGAAGCCGTCATATATTAGATCCGCTATTTTAGATCTTGCAATTTCGGCTGGATTCATCATCAGCAACCCAAAAAACTTGAACATATCGAATATGATCTTCTCCAATAGAATAACAAAATTAGACACTTGGAATCGCCATATTAAATATTAAAAATTAAATATACAATAATAAAATATTAAATACTAATAATTAAATATTAAATATTTTTCAGAAACTAACAAAATTAAGTATTTAAACGCTGCTATCTTGGATTCGACATTGCCAGTAAACTGGTTAATAAATGCCTGATCCCGCGACGGCTTTGAAGACACGATTTCAGACACAATTTCTTTCGGTTGCTTTTTTCTCTTTAACAGAAATACACACTGCGCCGATTCATGTGCGCATGACTTTGTTACTTATGAAATAAAACAAATTGTGTGAGTCGCAAATCGTAAATCTGCTCTTCATCGTCCGATTAGTTTCGCAACTAATCGCGATTGCGCGATTTGAATGTCAGGTAAGTTCAATAAATAAGGAAAACTCAAGGCTAGCAGTGTACAATCTCGTTTATATTTATCTCGCATATCACTGATCGCCGCGCGTTAAGGGCGCTACAAAGTTTCGCCGTCATTGTCGTTATCATCGATTAGTTCAATTCGATCATTGTGTTATTAGTTGCTGCTGATTGTCTTGCTGATCCAGTCGTTGTACTTGGATACTCCGGTGTACACAGATGGCGCACCTTTACTGCCGCACGGCATAACACCCCAAGACACAATGCCGATGAGTGTAGAGTCATTTTGAGTCTTCTGGATCAGGGGGCCGCCGGAATCACCCTGAAAAGTCAGCGGAGAATACGATGCGTTGAATTGTCGTTCTAATGAACAACGAAAACAATCGAATCGCAATTCGTTAGAGACACTTACGCTGCAAGCGGAGATCGAACCGTCCAGTGGGCCTGTGCAGACATTGGTCTCGTGAACTGGGGACGACCCTGTAAGTTTCCTAATGGCATCGCTGCAAGTTTGGACGTCGATCATGGGCAGTTGAACATCCTGAAGCTTGTCTGGCATATCCGGCCAGATGGTTCGCGACATGGAACCCCAGCCGCTAAGAATCGCATTTCCAGTGGGCTTGCTGTCCTTTGCCGCTATTTTGATCGTCTTCACCTCATTCGTGAATTTTAAATCTTTCTCGAGCTTTAGCAAAGCGATATCGTAGGGTGCGACTCCACTGGAGATTCAAAAGTATTAGGCATTAAATTGCGTGTGAATTCACGGGAATATTGATCAGTTGGAAATAATAGCGTAAGCGCGAGAAGCGTTGCGAGTGTCGAGTGCTTGTTTGAAGACTACATAGTTTCTCTAATGATCAAGTCTCAAGTGAAATAATCGCGTTATCTATGTCTAAATTGTTTGTGTCCAAATGTATTTCTAGTGTATCTCTTCGAGGTTTAGGCAGCTGCTGTGAGACTGGAAATGTCATAATAGCTATAAACGAATTGTCAGTCTAAGAGCTGTGAGTTTGCGAGGATATGGATAAGCGAGTAATAAACGAGTATCTTTAATACTCTTGTTGCTTTGGATTTACGATAATACATACCCTGGGTAGTTTTCATGTACAAAGCTTGCCGCGACATTGACCGTCTGTTCAGTGCTCTCGGTACTTCCAATGCTGTGTTTTCCAGCTTTGACGACGAACTTGCCCAGACTTGGAACTGCCTGAACGCAGTGTGCTGCAGTTATGATCCAACGTTGGTTAAGGATGGTTCCGGCACAGAAGTGTTTGACGGAAATAAGTCCATATTGCAGGGACACGAGATGCGGGTAAGCGTGTTTCTCGGCCTCCTTACCCCCGACCACTTGGGTCATGTCGAGTGGCAATCGAAACCCGAGGTACGGTTTCTCTGGAAGAGATGGGCAAGGTGTGTTATGAAGATATTCTGTCTTACGAGCGCATCGATATGTCGACGAAAGATTCATTCGACGGGGAAAAATAAGAAAAAAGAAAACATGAAATGTCTAACGGTACAGTTTGTAATACGAGATGAGATTAAAATTCGAGTTTCGAGTTTCATGAGCGTTTTCTCGGCGCTCAGGTATTCTTTAACGAGACACAGGAAGAATTTCGCTTTACTTTGTTGCTCACTCACAGTTAGTTTCCAGTTAAGATCGATTGACTCGGTTGGCTCGCACCGTGATGAGTGTACTTGACCGCGTAAAATTTGAAGAATTGACTTACCGGCAAACGCCACCGCCACCGTCACCGCCAGGAGAGCAAAGACTACGATTCCTTTGGGAGTCATCTCGATGTTTGACGAGGATCGGTTTTTCCGATCTGCGTTTTATACCCGTTTTGCCAAGAACATCCACGAGAGATATCGATGATAACGTTCTATCGATAATCTATTGTAATCTAAGCGAATCCTCGATATGCCCAAGATAAGGCGATTTTCATCAAAGACTTGCTACGTTATCGCTACTGGAACAAATCTTTCTTTGATTTGATGTACTATATTCAGGATAATATTAAATTGGATTGTGTTAGATTGAGTTTAGAGGAAGCGAGATAATACAGGAGATATAACAATGCTGATACAGATTACTCAGTAAAAACAATTTTTACGAAGCTAGCTTGATACTATTAAATGCACAGAGTGTGTGCAATCTTTTTATAGTATCACTAATTAATTAATTATATGTAATAACATTAATTGGTTATAATAATATCAATTAATTGTTATAATATTTAATGTAAAATATTAGAATTAATTAATTATTGTTGTTTGTTTATGTCTTGTATTTGAAGTTTTACTTCAATCACAGATGAGGGCTAATTGAATTTTCATTGAATAAAATCAGGGAATACATATCAAAACAACAGGAAGAGTTAGGAAATCCATAAGGCAATTGGCAAAAGGGATATATCTTCATAATAATTGATTATATTGCATATGTTTCCAATTTATTTGATAATATTATATTTTATTAGAAAAAAGATTCGTTTATTCAATCAAATTTTTTTCTCCGTAATATGATCTTCGTCCGGAAACGTTCTCTTTGCTACAATCGCCCACTTCATCGTTATCGATCGAACTCCAGACCTAGCGTTGGTTTCGTAGCTCAACGTTTGTGTGATCACGTACTTGAGAACATAACCTGTAAATATTGCCGAGGTGTCTGCAATAAATACTTAATCGGTTCACTAGTGGACCCGAAATCAACTTTGTTTGAAATGAAATTTGTGCCAAAACTGGTGAGAACGAATAATTTCGTATTTTATATAGACCCTACAAGGGTTTCTTTTGGATTGCTGATAACGAATGCAGGATCGAAATTACAAAATTCGAAATGGCGGAGCCAACATTGCGATTAAGTGGCTAACTATGGTATTCCATTATAAAGGGTGTCCCAAAATTCACGCAAGAAGTAATTTTGGTAGAAAACACAATTTTATAATTAAAAATTGTAAATTTTTTATTGATTCATAAAGTATACAGTATAGGGTTATGTATGGAATAGCATATCGGGTAAATGACCTCCACGGTTTTGTTGGCACATATGCACTCTCTTGTTGAAATTTTCCATAACCGTTTTGCATAAATGTGGCTGAATTTCGTTGATACAGCGCTCAATTTCCTCCTTCAAGGCGTGGGTGGTCGTGGGCTTGTTGGCATAAACTTGTTGGCATAAACATTAGACTTCAAAAAATCCCAAAGAGAAAAGTCCAACGGCGTTAAATCGCATGATCTGGGCGGCCAAATCTGATCACCAAAACGGGAAATTACACGATCAGGAAATGACTCATGCAGTAATTGAATTGTTTCTCGGGCTGTATGGCATTTGGCACCGTCTTGTTGAAACCACATGTCGTCCGCATACATATCTTGCAATTTAGGCACAAAAAACTGGTTTATCATGTCGCGATAGCGAGCACCATTAACTTATTATTGCCTGACCAGCCGCATTTTCAAAGAAGAATGGTCCGATGATGCCTCCAGCCCAAAATCCGCACCAAACAGTGACACGTTGTGGATGCATTTGTTTCTCAACAATCACTCGTGGATTTTCTGAACCCCAAATGCGACAATTTTGTCGATTAACCAAATCATCAAGATGAAAATGAGCCTCTCATCGCTGAAGATGATTTTGTTCGAAAAATCAGCATCCACTTGTTGTTGTTCCATAATCCATTCAACGAACTCTCTTCACTGTGGCCGTTTACCCGATATGCTATTCCACACATAACCCTATACTGTATACTTTATGAATTAATAAAAAATTTACAGTTTTTAATTATAAACCTGTGTTTTCTATCAAAATTACTTCTTGCGTGAATTTTGGGATACCCTTTAGATAGGCATCAAACTTGGTAAGGTTTTTGATTGTAGATAACGACGTCATAAATCTGAGATTTTCACCAGAGCCATTCGGCAAAAAAGTAATTTCCTTCAACATATTTCATTCGCTAATAATAAAAATAAAAGTATCCATAGTAGAACATTATAAGTCACTAGAAGCCGTTGTATTGGATCACTTTAGATTTTGCAATTTGGACTGGATTTATCATCAGCAAAAAACATGAACATATCGAATATGATCTTCTCCATAATAAAATAACAAAGTTAGGTACTTGGAGCCGCCATATTGGATCTGCTATTTTGAATTTTGAAATTAAGACACTGGGTCAGTCACTAGCGACTCGAGAAACTTTCTATAATGAAAATTTCGCACAAAATGCAATAGAGATATCAATTTTAATAAATATTTTTCAAAAACTAACAAAATTAAGTATTTGAGCGCTGCTATCTTAGATTCGTCAGATTTGCCAGTAAACTGGTTAATAAATATTCGGGCCGTGATCCCGACGACTTTGACCACACGATTGGACACAATTTCTTTCGGTTGCCTTTCTCTCTTTAACAGCAATACATACCGCACCGATATATGCGCGCATGATTTTGTTACTTATGAAATAAAACAAATTGTGTGAGTCGCAAGTCGTAAATCTGCTCCTCGTAGTCCGATTAGTTTCGCGACTGTGCGATTTGAATGTCAGGTAAGTTCAATAAATAAGAAGAACTCGGGGCTAGCAGTATACAATTTCGTTTATATTTATTTCGCCTATCATTTATCGCCGTGCGTTAAGAGTTTCGCTACAAAGTTTCGCGTCATTGTCGTCATCATCGGCCAGTTCAATTCGATCATTGTGTTAGTTGCTGCTGATTTTCTGCGCGATCCAGTCAGTGAACAGGGATACTCTGCAATACGCGGATGGCGCACCGCGGGTGCCGCACGGCATAACAGCCCAAGACGCAATGCCGACGAGTACACGGCCGTTTGAAGTCTCCTGGAGCAGAGGGCCGCCGGAATCACCCTGCAAAGTCAGCGGAGAATGAGATGCGTTGAATTGTCGTTCTGAGCGGACGAAAGCGATCGAATCGCTGTCGCAATTCATTCGAGGCACTTACGCTGCAAGCGGAGATTGAACCGTCCAGTGGGCCTGAGCAGACATTGGTCTCGTGAACCGGGGACGAGCCTACAAGGCGTCTGACGGCATCGTCGCAAGTTTTGCGTTCGACGATGGGCAGTGCAATATCTTGAAGCTTGTCTGGCATAATCGGGAATCTGGTTCGCGAGGTGGAGCCCCAGCCACAAAGAATCGCTTCTCCCGCGGGATCGCTGTTCTGCACCGGTAGTGCGATCGGTTGCACCTCCTTCGTGAACGCCAAATTTTTCGTCAGCTTTATCAAAGCGATATCGTAGGGTGCGACTCCACTGGAGATTCAAAAGTATTGGGCATTAAATCGCGTGAAATCGCGGAAACGTTCAGTTAGATCAGTTAGAAGCAATAGCGTAAACGCGAGAAGCGTTAGGCGAGTGTCGACGCTTATTTGAAGACTACATAGTTTCTCTAATGATCAAGTTTCAAGTGAAATAATCGCGTGTCTAAGTGTCTGTGTCTAAGTGTCTTGTCTAAATGTCTATGTCTAAATTGTTTGTGTTCAAATGTATTTCTAGGGTACTTTCTAGCGATTTATTAGGCAGCTGCTATGAAACTGGAAATGTCATAATAACTGTAAACGAATTGTCAGTCTAAGAGCTGTAAGTTTGCAAGGATGTGGATCGGAAGCGAGTAAATACAACTATCTTTAGTAGTCTTGTTGCCTCGGACATTTTCGGTGGTACATACCCTGTGTACTTTTCGTGTACAATGGTTTTCGTGACTCCGACCGACTGTTCAGTACTCTCGGTACTTCCGATGCTGTGTTTCCCAGCTTTGACGACGATCGTGGTCGGACTTGGAACTGCCAGAATACAGTGTCCTGCAGTTACGACCCAACCTGCGTTAACGATGGATCCGGCACAGAAGTGCCTGTTTCCAACTTGTAGGGACACGATGTACGGGTGACTATGTTTCTGAGCCTCCTTTCCCCCGACCACTTGGGTCATGTCAAGTGGTAAACGGAAACCGAGGTACGGTCTCTCTGAAAAAGATAGGCAAGCAGGTGCATGAGGATATTCTGTCTTATGAGCGCGCATCGATATCTCGACGAAAGATTCACCCTCGACGGGCCGGTAAAATAAGAAAAAAAAAGAAACGTCTAAAGATACAATTTGTAACACGAGATGGGATCAAACCTCATTCGAGTTTCCCGTTTCACGAGCGTTTTCTCGGCGCTCAAGTTTCTCTTAACGAGACAAAGGAAGAATTTCATTTTACCTTATTGTTCACTTTGTTTCCCGTTAAGATCGTTAAGATCGATTAACTCGGTCGGCTCGCATCATGACGAGTGTACTTGATCACGTAAAATTTGAAGAATTGACTTACCGGCAAACGCCACCGCCAAGAGAGCAAAGGCTACGATCACTTTGGGAGACATCTCGATGTTTGATGAGAATTGGTATACCCGATCCGAGTTTTATACCCGTTTTGCTAAGAACATCCGTAAGATATCGATGATGACGTTGCACCGATAATCTGTTGTAATCTGAGCGAATCCACGATATGTCCAAGATAAGGGAATTTTCATTAAAGATTTGCTATGTTATCGCTACTTGAACAGATCTCTTTTTGATTTGATGTACTGTATTCAGGCTAATATTGGATTGTGTTAGATCCAGTTTAGACGAAGCGATAATGCAAGGTGTACTCATTGTACACTTTGACATAACAAAGCTGATATAGATTCTTTAATAAAAATAACTTTTACGAAGCTAGCTTGATACCAAGTGCACAAAGCGTGAGCAATATTTTTATAGCAATATATATACTACTAAATAATTAATTATATATAATAATTATATTAATATATATTAATTAATTATAATAATATTAATTACTTGTCATAATATTTAATGTAAATATTAAAATTAATTGATTATTAATGATAATTAATGGGGGAAAATGTTGTTTATTTATGTTTCGTGTTTGAATCGTGTTTGATTTTATTTAAATCGCAGGGAAGAGCTTATTAAATTTTTATTGAATAAAATCGCGGAAGACATATCAAACAATAGGAAGAGTTAAGAAATGCATAAGGGATTGATATGAGAGATACCTCTCGATAATAATTAATTATATTTCCAATTTACTTGATAATATTATATTTGACCAGAAAAATAATTCATTTATTCAGCCAAATTTTTTCTCTGTATACGATCTTCGTGGCCACTCCGAAAACGGTCTTTTTGTTGCAATTGTCCACTCCATCATTAATCGACCAAACTTCCGATCTGGTGTTTGTTTTGTATCACAACGTTCGTGTGATCGCGTATGTAGAAACATAACTTGTAAATATCGCCGAGGTATCTGCAATAAATACTTAATCGGTTCACACACACATTTGGTGAACCTGAAATCAATAATTTGTGCTATAATCGGTGAGAGCAAATAATTTCGTATTTTATATGGACTATAAGGATTTTTTGGATCGCTGATGACGAATTTAGGTTCGAAATTACAAAATTTGAAGTGGCGGACCCACTGTTGCGAATTCAAATGGCTAACTTTGATATTTTATTATGGATAATAAATATTATGGATATTTTATTACGGATATAAAATTCGGTACGATTTTTGATCGCAGATAACGACGTTATAAATTCGAAATTTTCATCACAGCCATTCGGCAAAGAAGTAGTTGTCTTCAACATATTTCACCCGCTAGTACAGTTAATGGAGGTAAGAGCAGTGGAGGTGAGAATATTCATAATGGAACATTACTCTCTCAAAGTGAATCAGTGAAACTCATTATCAATCAGCGATTTTGCATTGATTGTCAGTGTTAAATATACCACTAAATTTTTCAGTGGTATACTGATTCACTTTGAGAGAGTATGAATCATTAAAAATCGTCATATTGGATCCGCCATTTTAGATTTTGCAATTTTGACTCGATTCATCATCAGCAACCAAAAAAACGTGAACATATCGAATATAATCTCCAATAAAACAATAAAATTAGTCACTTGGAGACGCCATATTAGTTGGAGACTTGCTATTTTGAATTTTGAAATTTCGATCCCGAATTTGTTACCAATGACCCGAAAAATCTTCTGTAAAGAAGATTTCACGCAAAATAAAATGGAAATGTCAATATGTCAAATCTTAATAAATATTCTTCAAAAACTGACAAAATTGAATATCTGACAGCCGCCATATTGAATTCGCCATTATTAATTTGGTATTAAATTGGTTAATAAATATGAGACGTCCCGTGTCAACCGGATCACGTCAATGCGAATCATATGCCACAGTGCTATATGAGATCGGAGAAATATCTCAATCGCCAAAAGCGGGACGTCGCTTGATAAGCAGAAAATTGTAAGAGTGCACGAAATTAGGCATAATTAACTGAGCGATGTTTTTTTGCCTTGCCTTAACTGGTCGGACAACGTTTTGGTCTTGCCTTAACCGGCTGGACAGCATCGCCAGTCTTACTTTCAGATCGTTCTTAAGGATTTTTGAGATTCTTTTTGTGGTTTGGGAACAACTGTAACGTTCCAGAGTGATCGTAGTATACAGAGTGTCCCAAAAGTAACGGACCACCCTAATGACTCTTCAGTATTGAAGTTTCAAGGAAAATGATCTGAATAAGAGTTGTAGAGATTTAAGTGAGCTACCTCACGATGACCTTAACTTTGGCCTTGATCTTTATTTTCAAGGTCATTTGAAAGTCAACTTGCGTTTTTTAAATAGAAACTCTTACTTTTTAATACACTGTTTTTTTCTATTAGTTAATTTGAACAACTTTTGTCTGAAACATTTTTTTATTTGTCTAATATTTTTTTAGATATTTGAGGAAAACTTGATCACTTTTCCAATATTTAACTTACGATATCTCGTTAACTGTTTGTCGGAAGAAAAAGTGGTACTGGACTGTCTTGCTTTATGTAGTCTCAAGAATATATTTACAGTTACAGTAGCGCCTTGACTTTTGTTAACTCGCTGACTTTTGGAAATTTAAAAATCATCAAATTAACAAAAATCAGGGCGCTATTGTAACAATATATTCTTGAGACTACATAAAGCAAGTAAGTCTAGTATAATTTTTTCTTCCGACAAATAGTTAGCGAGATATCATAAGTTAAATATTGAAAAAGTTATTAAGTTTTCCTCAAATATCTAAAAAAATATTAGACAAATAAAATATTTTAGACGAAAGTTGTTCCAATTAACTAGTAGAAAAAAATAGTGTAATAAAAAATAAGGCTTCCTATTTAAAAAACGCAAGTTGACTTTCAAATGACCTTGAAAATAGAGGTTAAGGTCAAAGTTAAGGTAGCTCACTTAAATCCCTACAACTTTTATTCAGATCATTTTCCTTGAAATTTCAATACTGAAGAGTTATTAGGGTGTTCCGTTTTGGGACACCCTGTATAATTTAGACTCGATGAACCAAATATTAGCATTAGAACCTATTTTGAATAGCTCTATATCCAACACAGTATTGGGATACCCGCTTTTGATCGTTTTTAGAGGTTTTTGAGCTGTTTTTGGGGATTAGATAAGAATTGCGACGTTTAAGGGCAATTCTGGTCTTAGATTCGGATTTAGCGGATCAAAATATATGAGTTATCGTAATTTCTGTTGAAAATTCGGAGATTCTCATGATTTGATTGAAAATGTATTATGGTTCTCGTGCGTCTTTCGATATATTTAGTGCCTTCTGGAAGCCACCACTTTGAATTTCCGGAAAGGCCATGTTGCTTCTGAAAGTACTCGAGTAGACAAACAATTCAAGCCCTCACACGTCCCAATCCGATGCGTCAATTTTTGAGGGCGCCGGTGATCCGGTTGACGCGGAACGTCCCGCAATACTTGTGCCGCGATCCCGATGACTTTGACGAGGCACGATTGAACAATTTCTTCCGATTGCCTTTTTGTCTTTAACAACAATACACACCGCACCGATTTATGTACGCATGATTTCGTAATTTATGAAATAAAACAAATTGTGTGAGTCGCAAGTCGTAAATCTGCTCCTTACCGTCCGATTAATTTCGCGACTAATCGCGACTGCGCGATTTGAATGTCAGGTAATTTCAATAAACAAGGAATACTCGAGGCTAGCAGTATACAACATCGTTTATATTTCTCGCGTATTATTTATTATCGCCGCGCTCTAAGGGCGCTAAAGTTTCGCCATCATTGTCGTCATAACCGACCGGTTCAATTCGATTATTGTGTTAGTTGTTTTTCATTATCTGCGCGATCCAGTCGTTGAACAGGGATGGTCTAGCGTACACGGATGGCGCACCGCGGGTGCCGCACGGGATAATACCCCAAGACACAATACCGATGATTGTCGAACTGCCGTCTGAATTCTTCTGGGCCAAAGGACCGCCGGAGTCACCCTGGAAAGTCAACGGAGAATGCGATGCGTTGAAATGTCGTTCTAATGACCAGCGAAAGCGCTGGAATCTCTGTCGCAATTCGCAATTCGTTAGAGACACTTACGCTGCAAGCGGAGAATCCACCGGTTTCCAGTGGACCTGTGCAGACATTGGTCTCGTGAACCGGGGACGACCCAGTAAGGCGCCTGACGGCATTGTCGCAAGATTGGCGGTCGACGATGGGCAGTTTAGCGTCCTGAAGCTTGTCTGGCATATTCGGGACTATAGTTTTCGAGGTGGAGCCCCAGCCGCAAAGAATCGCGTCTCCCGTGGGCTCGCTGTTCTTTTCCGGTAGTGCGATCGGTTGCACCTCCTTCGTGAACGTCAAATCTTTCGCGAGCTTCATCAAGGCGATATCGAAGGGTCCGACGCCACTGAAGATCCAAAAGTATTGGGCATTAAACTGCATGAATTCGCTTAGATATTGATCAGCTAGAATAATAGCGTCAGCGCGAGAAGCGTTGCGAATGCCGATGCTTGTTTGGAGGCTACATAGTGTCTCTAATGATGAAATACTCAAGTCTTCAGTGAAATAATCTCATTATCTACGTCGAAGTGTCTTGTCTAAATTACCTGTTTCGAAATGTATTTCTCAGCGGTTTAGGCAACTGCTATGAAACTGAAAGTGTCGTAATAACTGTAGACGAATTGTCTATAAGTTTGCAAGGGTATGGATAAGCGGATAAGTATGCATATCTTAAGTACTCTTGTTGCTTTGGAGATTTTCAATAGTACATACCCTCTATAGTTTTCATGTACATAGGTTGCCACGACTTTGATCGACTGTTCACTATTCTCAATAATTCTGAGGTTGTGTTTCCCAGCTTTGATGCCCAACTGGTCAACACCTGGAACTGCTTGAACGCAGTGTCCTGCAGTTAAGATCCAACGTTGGTTGAGGATGGATCCGGCACACAAATGGCTGCCTGCCCATTGCATGGACACGATGTATGGATAACCATGTTCCTTGGCCTCGTTGCCCCCGACCACTTGGGTCAGGTCGGGTAAACGGAAACCGAGGTACGGTTTCTCTGAAAAAAATGGGCAAGCAGATTTTATGAACGCATCGATATCTCGACGAAAGATTCGTTCTCGACGGAGTAGAATAAGTAAAAAAAAAAAAAAGGAACGTCTAACGGTACAATTTGTAACACGAGATGGGATCAAACCTCATTCGAGTTTCGAGTTTCATGACCGTTTTCTCGACGTTCAGCTTTTCTTTAGCAAGACACAAGAAGAATTTCATTTTACTGTTGCTTACTTTGTTTCCAGTTAAGATCGACTAATTCGGTTGGCTCGCACCGTGACGAGTGTACTTGACCGCGTAAAATTTGAAGAATTGACTTACCGGCAAACGCCACCGCCAGGAGAGCAAAGACTATGATTGCTTTGAGAGACATCTCGATGTTTGATGAGGATCGGTATTCCCGAGCTGCGTTTTATACCCGTTTTGCTAAGAGCATCCACAAGATATCGATGATGACTTTGCATCGATAATCTATCGTAATCCGTGTGAATCCATGATATGTCCAAGATAAGCGGATTTTCATTAAAGATTGGATACATTATCGAGCTACTGAAACAGATCTTTCTTTGATTTAATGTACTGTATTTAGGCTAATATTAAATTGGATTATGTTAGATCGAGCTTAGACGAAGCTAATACAAGGATAATACAAGGAGTAGTCGTTGTATGCTTCGATATAACGAGGCTATAACGAGGTATAAATTGTTCAGTGAAAACAACTTTTACGAAGCTGGTTTGATACTATTAAATGCACAAAGTGTGAGTAATATTTTTATAGTACCACTAATTAATTAATTATGTATAGTAACATTAATTAATTATAATGATAGTAATTAATTGTTGTAATATTTAATGTAAAATATTGATGTAAAATATAAAAATTAATTAATTATTAATAATAACTAATGGGGGGCGGGGAAATGTTTATTTATGTCTCGTATTTGAAATTTCAATCGCGGGTAAGGGTTTATTGAATTTTCATTGAATAAAGTCAGGGAACACATATCAAAACAATAGAAAAAGAATTAAGAAATGCATAAGCGATTAATATGTGGGATACATCTCGATAATAATTGATTATATTGCATATATTTTCAATTTACTTGATAATATTTACTGACTATCAACATAGGACAGACTACATTTAACGGAGAACAAATGACGCTATAGCTCGTGAAATATGTTGTATTGATAAATTTAATCTTCCCTCTTATTTGATATCTTTTTCGATGATTGTTTTAAATCGTGTCCTTTCATGCAAATCAGACATCAAATAAATCTGTCTCTCAACAATAAATAAAGAAACATTTTTTTAGCTCCGATATGACGCAAACTAAGTGATAATGATGGATAATCTCAGCGGATAAATATTTCTCAACGACCTTATCTGATTACGATCTATTATCCTGCAACAAAATAGGTTTAAAAGTATACGGAAATCTTCACACATCAATATCTGATTTGCTGGTTATCTTTGATGATAGAAAATTTGTTTTATCGAAGTATCTGTGAAAACCCAAGCGGACTTTCCGCAAACTCTCGATAAAGCAAATGATCGTGATTAAATGAAGGCGATAACGGAGGGAATGTGCATAAAAGTTAAAGAGGCACTTTTGCAAGGCATTTGCGTCTTCGACAGCTCCCGCTTGTTCTCGTCGCACTCATCGTTACTGCGGATGGAACTCTTCTGCGATATAAAATACGGTATTACGTAAAATAATGTTGAGAATAATATAGCACCGCCTATTAACAAAACATACGTATATTTACATTGTAACCTTTTATAAGTTAGTAATGAAAAAATAGGTTGTATCAACGTAAGATTTGCGTGTATCGAGATCCAACCAATGTGGTAAACGCGTGCAAAACAGAGCGCGATCGACATTGCGAGCTTGCCATTTGCTTTCGGTGACAATGAAAATATTATGAAAATTTGATATTTTTATACTGAAAAGTAATGCATTAAATATCTTGCAAAAGCGTGCAGCGGCAGGATCATGTATCATATTTAATGTCTTCAATTTTCCTAAAGGCGTGGTTTTTTCATTATTTTATGAAACACTCCTGTCATTGTTATTGAGGCAACTGTTATTGTCAATTGTTAGATTTTACAATGGGATTTATCTAACATTTTCTTTGCCTTCACCATTTTGCATGTAATTGTAGCCGTTACACAGCTATCAACTAATGTCGCTGAAATATCTAATATTTGAAGTGGTAACGCTTATATAATTGCACCTATTTATTGAGCAAAATGATAAATATAAACTCGGCCTTCTTATAAACCTTGCCATTTCCTCGGTTTTTCACAGATTTAGGATTTTGAAGTTGCCTCAATAATCGTAAATTTACCAAGCGTGATAAATTAATAATATTCATTACATAACAGTTCATGATGTGTGTGTGTGTGTGTGTGTGTATGCGCGCGCGCGTTTAATATAAAACTTAGAATCAATTTTAGTCGATTTCGTCACCAAGTAGCACATTGAAAGCTAAATTTAAAATAAAACTGTAAAAGAATCTATGCGCATCTATGAAAAAAAAAAGAAATTATCGTTATTCGAAATAATCGACGATCAGCTTCTTGTTCAACGCAATTTAGACATTACAGAGACTAAACATTTTACTCTACACTTCCGATTTACCTCCGCATGAAAAATCGTTTTCTTTTCGGTCGCACTGCGGTTTTTGATTTTACACGTAGCTTGTCGAGACGAATTTCGCTGCCGAAGTAAGCAACAGTCAGCATTAAGGTAACAGAAAGGATGTATAATATATAAAAACTGAAGACTGTCTGACGTAATGATTTTGTTTATTCGAAAGATTGCTATTCGCTCTTAATACATAACTGCTTGCCACTTCACGCTGGGTGGAACTTTAAGAAAAGTGTAAGTGGTGCACAGGTTCTCATGGACCATTTGTAAGTCGAAGCTTTGCATAAGAGCGCCGTAAAGTACAAAGGTAAGATAATATTCATGAGAATGAAAATTCAGGGTGTCACGGTGAAATGTACAAAGTCGAGAGTTTTATGCTGAGGCATCGATGAATGACATCTCGAGGAGCAAGACTTCTCTAAAATTCCCTATTCTTGTTGATCCAATCGGTGTAGGAGGACACGCGGGTGTAGACTGAAGGCATGAGATTCGCACCGCATGGGTAGATACCCCATGAAACGATGCCGATCTGCTTGGTAACTTTGTCCACGACTTGCACCAGCGGGCCGCCAGAGTCGCCCTGCAAGAAACGCATTTGATTGGCGAAAAAGGTTGCGTTAAGCTCGCGGCCGATTTTCTCCTGCGTTCAGAGAAGTCGTTAACGGGATAATTGTTAAGAATGGATAAAGCCGCTGTTCTGATGCAATGCAGGGTCAAAAAATGGTTCTCTTGATAGTGCGGTGGGACTCAACAGCGACTCAGTCGCAATCACATAGCGATCTGATGAGCACAGAAAGCGTCAATGGGTCTTACCGAGCAAGCGGATTCTCCCTTAGTAGAGTCAGTGCAGATCTGCGTGTCGAAGAGTTCCGGCTGCTTGCCGATAATGTTGTTCGGGAATCTCTTCAGACATGAGACGTTATCCAGTACGGGAACGGTGACTTTCTGGAGGACGGCGGGCAGTACTGGCAGGAAGTCCTTCGAGATCGAGCCCCATCCACTGAGTAAGGCATCTCCGGTTTCTAGCTCACCTTGAGGAGGCAACTGGATAGCGGATACTTTCTCGTTGTAGACGAGAGGTGTCGCCAGTTTTAAGATAGCGATATCGTGTTGAGAAATGTCTCTGAAAGAATATGGTATGATTCAGATCAAATATATGTTATTTTGCAATACATTGCCAGATATATCTGGCTACTGAGTTATCTATGGCCGACACACGGATGTGTCACGCCAAGAAATTATCAATACAGACATGGTAACGGTAATTGTTCTCAAATATCATATAATACTTCATACAAATGTGTAACTAACAATATGCTTGCACAAGTAATTATTCTATTAATAAAATTATTGAACGCGCGCTCAGATGGAAAATTAATTAGCATCTTTCAAAGTGTGATGTGTTTGAATGTCGTTCTCGCGCATTTTTGTGGATGATAGATAATGTCAGTAAAATCATTTTTATTTGCATAAAACTCTTGTTATTCTTAAGAATGATGTAACTATATTATTATTATTATTATTATTATTAATTATACAGTTTATTTTATTTTATTTTATTGTCGTTAATCAGTAATTATTATTGTTATTAATAAATTAGCTAACTCCATAATTTATATTTGTAATATTAAACAAATATATACTAATATATTGCACTGTTAAAATGGAATATTTTGTGGTTCTACAATATAATGCCACACATAATTTGTAAATAAATTTTAATATTTTGATGCTTTGCAGATAAGAGATTGTAATTTTTAAATATCTGCATAATAAAATTATTAATTGCTTGTTACGATATTCTGAAAGAATCAGTCGTCTGTATTTATCGTGAGATAGTGATCGATGAGATTAAATATTGGTTTATACTAAACTGAGACAGCATAAAACATGCCACTGATAGCAGAGCAATAAATATAAGAAATCGTGAGGATACATTTGACGTCCAGAAATATAAAAGTAAGTCGAAAGATTTGCTTATAATTTTAAAGCTGTAAGAAACTTACAAATCATCAAGCATTGTAATATTTGTACCACACAAAAATGTACTACATATGATATGCTGTAAATTACTTTTTTGTCCTCTTCGTGAAACGTTACTTTTGTTACAAATTCACAAACAGAGAGAGAAAGAAAGAGAGAGAGAGAGAGAGAGAGAGAGAGAGAGAGAGAGAGAGAGAGAGAGAGAGAGAGAGAGAGAGAGAGAGAGAGAGAAACATATTATATATTGAGAAAAAAATCCTCTCTTTTTCTCTGTTAGAATGACAGCTGGTAAATATGCGTGTTAAAGAATTTATTTTTCACTGGAAACAAATACATTGGAAACATACCCTTTAAATCCTTCGTGAACCTTGATTCTGTTGACGAGAGACTCCTGGTTGCTATCCTCTTCGATATCAAGGAAGTACTTGCCAGCGATTATTTTCAAAACGCCAAATTCCGGAATGCAGTGTGCAGCAGTCAAAATGGTCTTCTCATCCAGAATCGAACCTCCACAGGTGTGTTGATAAGAAATGAAAGGTGGAAAACCCCATTGAATAGATACTTGATGAGGGAATTCACCGGGCATGGCATCGCTACCGTCGGTGATTCTGGGGTCGAGAGAAAGGGGGCCAGCCAGACATGCTGCAAAAAGATTTAACGATATCTTGATTTGTTAAATATTTCGTTAATTTTTTAGTTTTTCAGACATTTGATCTTTAGACGGCGGAAACGACATTTCTCCGAAATTGGAGAATTAAATTTAACAAAAAGTCTTCCAATTTCATGTCGTCCTCATCGTCAAACATAACATTCTTTGTTTCAGAAAGAAATTATTATCGTTTCGTTTGAGACAATTCTATGGTTTCACTTATAAATGGTTTTGAAGCGGTGTATGAACATGCAATAATTTTGAGGAAAGCAACGTTCGCAATATTCGTTCGAAATTTTGTAATTGATATCGATTCGATGTATGTCTTATAAAGTTTCATTCGATGGAGAAGTGTGTTACAATCAACGGTATTATTAGTGAGTTACAAAAATAAACACTTACCCTGGAATACCAGGACAGTGGCCAAGAGACTTTGGAGCAGCATTGTCGATGTCTCAGCTATGAAAGCTATGAAAGCTAAGCAATGAAAAAGTGCTAACAGTTTATATACAAAAAATATCGGCCAATATACTGTGATAAGACTCTACGCACTTCGAATTCTGATAACATTTTATAGATAAAGTAGATAAGCGTTTGATATTCCTCTTTCTATTAATTCACTTCTTAAAAAACACTTAACATATTTTCGTGTTTGCCCCATTAAATAAATATCGATGAATCTTGAAGTGTGCATAATAATGTGTATAATAATAAGCAGCAGAAAATTAATTTCTTGGAACGTTAGAATCTTGACTGTATGATTCACCTGTGACCAGCGCTGCGATAGCGCTACGTTACATCGCTTTCACAACACAATCCATTGATACGAGATAATGCAATTAACTGCATTTAACTAATCACCTAAATATGCGAGCCAACAGACATCCATGTCGCGCGTCGCATTTATTCATCGTATCTCAGTTAGACCTTAGTTGAGCCTCGAAATTATCAATCAGCGGGGCAATCAACATGTTAATTTGGTTCCTTCGTCTCGTGACATTTCTGTTGAAATAACGACTATTTGGGAGTAACGCAGCGCCTAAAAGATCGCTTAAATAAATAAAATACCCGTTACCAGTATCAATGAGTCATTATTTTTACAAGAGAATATCGACATGGCGCGCCAGAAGGGTAGTAAATAATATCAATGTATTAATATTCTTAATTAGCACGCAGTGCTTCACGCGAGCGCGTTAAAGATACAAAAAAGGTACAAAACTTCATAGGCATTCTCGTAGAATGCATCTCCGTCGTTTCGACACATTGAGACGATTTCAATAAACGCAATCACCCCTCCCCTTCCCCCCTCCTCCTCATAATAAGCGTGTCTCTCCCGCGACCGAGCGTTTTCGCTCGTGAGCAACATAAAATTTTTCTCGCTGCATCTCATTCTCCTTTGTTCGTAGCCGAGAGCCGATGATGCCAAAGTAGATAACGCATATACTCCGCCTCTAATTAATTATAAATTTATCTCCCATCGTGATAGTGGCTCGCTTAATTATATTCCGAAAGCGTTACACTCGCTTCGATACCTGTCGCAGTCACAGGTATCGGTGGAGGTCGCGGCCGCTTCGATACGGGAAGGGCTCCGATACGCTTATCTCTCTGAGCGAGTGTCCGAACGTTGAATGTGAGGCCCAGGTCGGCCTCATGTGTTACACGTGACTAAACGGGCGATCGCGCGGATGCCCGCCCAGATCTCGCGCGCCGTCGGGATTATCTGCGACGCCGGCAGCAGGAATCCGTAGGTTCCGCGGTCGCGCAGTTCCACCGTGTACGCGTACTTAATCCCAGCGACGCCTTTCGCCCAGTCGTCGGATGCTCCTGCAGGCGGAAAAGGTACCTTTGACTCCTTTCTCTCTCCCTCTCTCTCTCTCTCTCTCTCTCTCTCTCTCTCTCTCTCTCTCTCTCTCTCTCTCTCTCTCTCTCTCTCTCGACGTTTCGTAAAGCTCCAATGATACACGACACTCTTACGACTTTACTGTGCCTAGCCACGAGCTTGAATATATTAGAAAGGGACAACAAGCTAGAGATAAGTACCGGAAGTTGGGTACATCAGGTCGGCCATTGTTCCGAGCTGGTAATGAGTGCCGTGAATTTTCGCGATCGCGTTGATCGCCTTCTTCGCCACGTTCGTCAAATCGGAGTAGTCCGAAGGCTTGGAATGTGTGTAGCCCCACGGCACCAGCCACATTTGCGAGTAAGAATGCAGAGACAGGTACATTCTGAAAACAGAGAGTCCCTATCAACGCGTTTTCCTACAGCTTGCACTCAAGCGATGAAATATCGAGGAGGTAGAGAGAGAGAGAGAGGTAGAGAGAGAGAGAGAGAGAGAGAGAGAGAGAGAGAGAGAGAGAGAGAGAGAGAGAGAGAGGAGAGAGAGAGAGAGAGAGAGAGAGAGAGAGAGAGAGAGAGAGAGAGAGAGAGAGTGTGAGTAGATGGAAGAGGAAAAACGCCGGTGAGCATTTCTCTTGATATAAGGAGAAAATTAATAGATATAAGAGGAAATCCTCTTGAAATAAGAGGAAAACAGTTAGAATAATATCCAAGAAATTTTAGACGAATGGTTCACTTTAATCGCTTTATCGAAAGAGGAATCCTTTTTTCCTATAAAAGGCTTCGCTTAGAATATGAGACTATGGGAAAAATCATTTTACAAATAGAATACTTTTTTGGGGATGTTCGATGCGCTTAGATAGAAAAATAAATATCCTGAAATATACTGATATGTGCGGTGCGAGCAAGATACCGGATGTGCTGTTTGTTCGCCAAAATGTAATTAGCTATGGCCTTGGTCTCCGGCTCGGAGAAGGCGAAGGGTCCAGAGTAAGTCTCGTGGCAGGGATCCGAGCTGGTCCCGCCTTCCCTCTCCTCTCCCCAGTGATAAGCGAAATTGCGATTGGGATCAACTCCCTCGCATTTAGTCCAGAACCATCTGGTGTAGTGCGTGACGAACTGCAGCAAATTAGAAGGCGTGTACCTGGAAAAGAGAGCAGTGTAGCACTTAATTTTCTCATCGCGCACAGCGTGCGTTTTTCCGCAGCTCTGAATGCGACAGGCGTAACTTTCTCCTTCTCTCCCCCCCCTCCTCTCTCTCTCTCTCTCTGCTGCACACCTGCTATCTTCTTGACTTTCCACGTGGTTGCTCCTGGTCTTCCGCCAGAAACGGTCGCCGGTGTGACTGTACTCGTAACCGTCGGGATTGGCGACCGGCAGGATCATCCAGTCCGAATTGTCCAGCAGTTTCGAGTAGCTCGTATTCTTCTCCACCAACTGACTCAGTATGTAGGTCGCCACAGCGGTACCGATCCATTCTCGTCCGTGCATGCCTACGAATATGATGACAATTCACCGAAGGAACGATATAACGGGACGAGTTACACGTAAAACGTGGGAAGCATGCGGATCCGATGTCGTCGGAAATCAGGTTGGCCGGCCGTCGATTCCATAATAACTGCGGCGCTGTAATAAAATTTTTACGACGCTACACAGCGAGTACCGCCCGAGCAGCAATAAACGCTCGCCGGTGTTTTACGGTCTTTCCCGAAATCTTGATCTGCATCGTTCTTCCTTCAGCTTATTTTTTTTTTATCAGCGCAGTAGGTGGACCAGAAATGACCAGAAGAGTCAGCGAACGCTCAGGCCGAACAGAAAATTACGATTACGCCAAACTGATGAGGAAAATTCATTTTTTTCGTCATTTTGATGTCATTATAATTTTCTGTTTTAATTGGGCGTGTGTTTCTTTCGTGCGGACGTGGCCTCTGAAATTATTAAGAGAGGAATTACACGCTGAAGGCCGTTCTCAAGGCTATTTTTACGAATTTTTTTAACAAGAACGGTAAGATCAATGGACTTTAAATTTTCACAGTGTATTCATTAATGTCCAAAGTATAAAATAAATTTTATTGAATCGCAAGAAGCGATCCAATTAATAATTATAGATAAAAATGCAGTCATCCGCTTTGCGAGCTCTATGTTTGCCGTCCGCATAATTCCGGGCCTCTCACTACTCTGAAACCAGTAAATGAGAAAGATTTTTGAAACATACGGTTGCCATTATAGTCCGTACCAAAATTAAGACAGTGAAGCCAAGTTTGGAAAAATAATGACTGTACAAAGAAAAAGTGTCGGAAATGAAACTTTTTCCAACTTGTAATAATGTTAAAAAAAAATGAATAAAATAAAATATAACTGTGTTCGAGGTAGGGGCGAAAACTACATGTCTACTGTATATGTTGTGTAAAAATTTCAAGTTATTCGGTTCAGTTGGTTTTTTTTGCGTAATCGTGTCGACAGTTTAAGAAAATGATGTTTCCAGATAAACGCGTTTAAAGTTTTATGTGTGTACTTTCCATACAGATAGTAACAAATTTATTTTATACTTTAAATATTAATGAATACACTGTGAAAATTTCAAGTCTATTGATTCTTACTGTTTCTGTTAAAAGAAAATTCGTAGCTTTGAAAACGACCTGCTCCGCATGTAATTCCCCCCCTTCTCTCTGTGCTCTCTGTGTGCTGTTTTACGTTTGATACGTGTCTCAGAGGAAGGAGAAGAATGACCCACGGATAGGAAATATCGCGTACACGAATTTATGTAATTTTGTCCGAGAAAAATAGATCATCGAGGAGGAGGAGAAGGAGAAGGAGGAGGAGGAGGAGGAGGAAAAAGAGGAGAAGGAGAAGGAGGAAGAGGAGGAGGAGGAGGAGGAGGATGCCGATGACTCACCGGCATCAATCCAAATCGCTGGTTTTCTCCCGCCGTCCTTGCTCAATCCTTTCGAGATCTTTGCCATTTTTATCGGCTGACCCTCGTAACTATGGCCGATGGTTGTTAGGTCTATCATTTTGGGATACCTGGAGGCCAAGTACTCTAAATAGCGCACGATATCTGCGGGAACGTATTGTTTTGTAACGGCATGTTGTCGAGTACGTAACAAATAAGTCATTCAGCTTATCTGATATGTATCGTGCTAAAAGCGATCGGCGTATTCGCCGATAAGATTACATTCAGATCAATTTGAATTGATTGACTCGGTGTAAAAATATATCTCACATTGTTTTACCTCCGTATCGGTGATAGCGCTTCCACGTCATCGTGTGGCCCTGAGTGATCACCAGATCCTCGCGCTGCTCTTTTGACATTTTTGGGTTCTGATAAGAGATTGCTTTCTGCCGGTCAAAGTTACAGGGTCACTCTCGAGATCTTTGGCTATCGATCGGAAATTGCGGCCGAGATTGCTTGTGTCAACAATAATCCGCGAGATCTCTCTTTGCAGATTCCGACCTGGCGGTCGTTAGTCAATGGCTCGCGCGAGTAATAACGACTGATACACGCAATGCCGGGAATCGCAGAAGCTGGCATTTTTACATGGCGAGCGATGGTTTATTCATCGCTTTGCTGCAATTTTGGTGTCTCTGCTTCGTAAGTAAGTCGGAAAGATCGGTGGCAAAGTGTGTCGATGTAACGCAGAATATCTCCTGCCGCGCCATTAGAATTCTTTTCCAACCGAATTGTGCATAATGCAGTTGCCCGGTTGCGTATATTAATCGCATTAAGACCGATCTCAAGATTACAATGAGCCAAGTGGGTCGTAATAAAGATTTCTGATCGCCTTGACATTATTCGAAACTGCGACATTCTTTTCGAAATACTTGAAAATTGTGATAATGACGTAAAGAACGGGGAACTTATTTTTACCTGAATGTCCGATATCAACACTTTGAAGTTGATCTTCCTATCTTTCAAGTAGGCCTTAACGTCGTCTACGAGATCCGGAGCAACGATGACGTCGGAGGTTCTGACGAACAAATTCTACTTTAGTGTCAGCGGAGAATAAATACATAAAAAATTTTTAGTCATCAAGTGGAACACGCGGGGAGTTTCTCCGGCGAAGGAAGGAGACGAACCTGTTGGGAATCGGGAAGGACCAAAATTTGAAGTCCTCGGGCTCGGCGTCTCTCAAGTCGCGCAGGTCCGCAACGTGATTCTCCGTATTGGGGAATACTCGGATTAATTGGTAATTTCTATAATTGATTCTTGTAACGCGCGGCCTCGGGTTCTTCTTCTCGGTGCCGACGAAGCTGTTCATCATCGTGCTGATCCCGCTCGTTACGACGGATATCATGGATTCAACTAGGCCGATTAGAGAAAAGCCTCTATCGTAGTCGTCGTCCCAGAATGACTCCCTAGGTACCTCTCGAAGTACATTATTCGCACCGACAAAACCCACTCTCTCTTCCCTTGCATCTTCAGGACTCCAAGATAATTGCGTTTTCTTTTCTTGATTACTGAGAACATTCTGCAAACTATACGCGATGTTGTTTAGTATTTTTATATCGTGAGTAATAACTGCAAACGGTAAAGAGGAAGTGAAAGAAAGCCACATGAAATTTGGACGAATAAAGGTTCGAGGAAAGTTTTGCAAGTTTCAAGTTCAACTCTTACGGAACGGTTTATACAATGAAGGATGTTTATACAATGGACAGGATGCGTACATCTAAATGTCTGTCTAAACTCCACAAAAACACTCACAGGATACATTATAGATATCGAAAAAATATGTAAACGAATTTTGATGCAGCGAATATATGCCCTCTAACGTTGTCCTAAATCTCCTAAACATTTTTTTTACTTTTTACTTTTTAATTTTTCTTATTCAAAATATTTTTTTTAAATGAGATTTAAAATGAGACCGTTGAAAACAATTTTTCAATAAACGCGCCAGCATTCTTAATCCGCTAATCGCGACATATTTTCTCTCATGGTTGTCGTCTTCCGAGGGCTACATCTCGAAAACCAAATTTTCGCGGATTTGCTCAGATCTTCTCGCTCGTCTTTCAACGTGCAATCTGTTCTGTAAGTTTGTCGAAAGAGTTCAGACTCACTCTGCACATCCGCTGCCATCCAACAATCCCTCGGTTACTTTATCACGAAGAAATTCCAAACGCGACGCGGAGTTATCCCAATCGCACGGCTTCGAAGCGCAATTCTCGCCAAGCAGCCTGCCGACACGCCGCGCGCGTCACGCGCGCTCGCCAGACGCCACGAGGAGCCGCGATTCCAGCGAGGAAAGGACAACGTTCGCTTCGTGATCATCGCGATCACGGTCCACTTCCTCACAAGGCGAACGAACGAACAAAGATAAACTGGAACGGATAGAGAATGTCCGTCGTCGTCGGGGCGCGAACAAACGTTTCTCTCTTAATTAACATAATTGAACGTCGCCGAGAGAGACGAGAGGCACGTGAGAGCGAGACGCGAGAATTCGAACGCGACGGAGGAACGATCGGCGAGATCACATTCTTTCGCCACGTAATAATAATCGCGTAATTTTACTCCACGACTCGCCGCACGGGAGGAAGAGGAGGAGAAGGAGGAGGAGGAGGAGGACCATCCTCGATGACTCATCGACGACACTAACCTACCGCCTTCCTCGTCCGAGACTTCGACTCCTTGGAGCGTCTCCGCCGCCGCCGCCGAGTACTCAGGATGTTGCGGATGTGTCAGCGCACGACAATCGCCGTACGGGCTGCCGTCGACCGGATGCGGCATGAGGAGGCTTCCTGAAAGCCCGAGGACCGCGCACAGAATCAACCGGACGCGACCGGCGCTCATGGTGCGCTTCGAGCCGGACGCCAGGATGCGCGGCCTCTTCGCTGGTTCCCCGCTGACTGACGAACCTGCAGCCGGAACCAGTTGCAAGACTGGTTCATATGCGCGAAAGACGTCGGTTTCACTATTCCGCCCCACGAGCTTGGCTTACGGGATTTCTGCTCCGTACTGGATAACTCTCATTCTTCAGTCACGCAGTGTCCGAGCGGATCACGCGCCGTCGGATTAAAAGGATAGGATGTTCGAGCTGTTGTCGAAATCGTCGCACTGTCGTGTATTTCCCTTCGAAGCGACCCGCCGCGATATTGATCTTTGCGAGTGAATCTGCAAGTTACGGTGGTAAGAAAACATGCGACATTTTGCCTCGTCACGGTGCTAACAAACTTAAAGAATTTGCAAATCCTTTCAAACCCTCGATGTCTTTGATGTTTGCCAGGACAGCGGCTGATCGGTTCTCGCGACCTCGCGATGTGTGCGCGTTGTTGGTCGAAATTAATAAATTCCACGAAATTAATTGTATTCTCCATGCTGTGATCTGACGAAGAACATTTTTCTATTTGTCGACCTTGGAATATATTGCGTAAGATTATTTAATCAAATGAGAACGCTGTGCTAAATATGCGAGGCTCGAGAAAAAAGTCGTGCATTTGTTGTCGATACTGAGATAATGGTGCGACGTGTGTGGAAGAAAAATTGCATGCTATGCAAAACACATTCCGGTAGATACGTTTGGCATGATGCGACGCGTAGTAGGTCAGTGAGTTTGCCGTTAGTAAAACACGTTTTCGCGATACCGGCGTGCAAAGAACCATAATTATATATATTAAATCTACCTTTTCCTACGCGTTCAGCCGCTCCTTCACTATTATCAAAGTAATATTAGGTGTGTGAATTAATTCGGTCCGTTTTTCCTTCCAGAAAAAGACTTTAGTATGAAGAAACATGAAAAAGTACACTAATCAAAGTATTTGCCATCGCTTGCTATTATTTTTTTCCCATCTGTCTGGCAGTTGTTGCATTCCGTGACGGAAAAACGACTCGTCCTTCGAAGCGATCCATTCATCGAGCCATTTCTCTATTTCTTCATAATTGTTGAAGTGCTGGTCCGGAAGCCATCGATCTGAACAAGTGATAATCGGATGGAGCAATGTCTGGTGAATACGGCGAGTGAGGTAAAACGTCCCAGCCAAGTGCTTCCAAGGTGGCCTTCAATCTTTCCAACATGTGGCCGAGCGTTATCGTGCTGGAAGATCACTTTGTCGTGTCTCTTTGCATATTCCGGCCGCTTATTCTTCAATGCGTTGTTTAAACGGATCAGTTGTTGTTGGTAAAGTTCGGCAGCGATGGTTTGGCTCTGTTTTAATAGTTCATGATACACTACACCCTTCTGGTTCCACCATATAGAGAGCGTGACTTTCTTGCCGTGAATATTTCGCTTTGGTATCGATGTGGATGGTTTTCCTGGGTCGCTAATGGATTCTCTTCGTTTGGGATTATCGAAATACTCGTATATCTACTTTTCGTCTCCAGTCGCAATGCGATGCAAAAAACCTTTTCTTTTTTGCCTGGCGAGCAAGATTTCAGACATGGCTTTTCGCCTCTCGATGTCTCTTTCTTTCAGTTCGAATGGCACCCATCTTCCTTCTTTGTAGATCTTTTCTGTGGCTGCCAAACGCACAGAAATTGTTGACCGATCAACATTCAACAATTGCGCGAGCTCATGTTGCGTTTGACACGGATCTTCATCGATCAGCATGCAATTCCTCGTCCTCGAACTTCTTCGGCTGACCTGGACGAGGTTTATCATCGACATTGAAATCATCACTTTTGAAACGTCGAACCATTCTCTGCATGATTTATCGGTGGGAGCACTTTCATCGTAAGCTTCTACGAGCATTCGATGGGAGCTTCAGCGGCTGTTTTCTTCAAATGAAAACAGAAAATGACAACTTCCCGGAAATGATGCTTTTTTGGCTCGAATTTCGACATTTTCGAATCAGATAAACACGATGTTATTGTTACAAACCCAAACGTGTATCAACTGAATATTATTGCCAGATATCAAACCTAAAAAATAATGCCTTTTGCAGACATTAGAAGTTAGAAGATTACATAGTACAATAATTGACCGCCAGATGGACCGAATTAATTCACACACCTAATAGTATCCTCGAAAATCTCCGCAAGCATAGAGAGACCAAGAGATAATGTTGCTTAATTTGCGCAAACGGTCATCTCTTGCAATAGCTTGCACATTCATTGAAGATCAAGTGAGCAAAGATTTGGTAATTTTTGCAAGAGGCTCGGCTTTAAAAATATATCCTGGGGCAATGCAGTGGAAACTATAGAAGACACATACGAGCCTTTTACATATAAAAATTCAGCTTCTGTATATGTCGAGTATAATAATAAAGAATGTCTTTTGTGATATATATTTACACACACACCACGTAGATATAAAGAGGTTTGTACAAGATTGATTGCTTCGCTGCATGACTTTCCGGACGCAAGGAACAATTTTCTCATAGTACAAATGTAAACACTGATTCATGTCGGCGGCAGTCGTGAAACTTATCGGAGTTTCAATATCGCCGATGTTAGATACCCTTGACAGCCTCCAAGCTGCGCGAGCTTCTGTCGAAAGAGATGTCGTGAGAAGAAAAATAGGACTTCCGTTGCAAGACATCTTTTATAGAAGTTTTACGGAAGTTTGTGCTATTTGGGTGTCTTTTAAGTGAATTCCCACAATTGCGCCGATTCTAAAAATATCTTGTGCCGATAGAACACAATTTTATTCTATTTTATTTTTCTTATCGGCTCTCTGAAGAAGACCATCTTCTTTCCTCAGAGGAATCTCTGAAACTTGATTGCAAGAACGGTTCGACGTGGCCGGGTAAATAATACGACTGATACGACTCACTGTGAATATGATTTATTGTTGTTACAACTATACGCGCGTACCCATGCGGCACGCAACGATACATTATTGCGTGAGCGTACGGGGAGTAATAGAGCGTAAACAAATAATAATATTAATAATAATTATTATAATGACTGAATGTTAAATTAATATTACGCTGTTAGTCAAGTTTGGGCGCGTACGAAAGGAAGTCCACGGAGGAGAAGGGGCAGACGGAGGAGGACGAAGAGAGAAAGGAGAACGCAAAGGAAGACACGGTCGGGTCTCTCAAGCGCGAGACAGCCTCGTCTCTTTCAGCGACGTCCGATTCGCACCTACGGGCCTCGAATCCGCGAATGTCGCGAGTCCGCCTTCTTCGCGTAAGGTAGTCGCACGCTCGTGAAAGGGCCCGGAATGGGCCCGCAGGACCATCTTCGCTTGACCATCGAATATACAGCACGAATTTTGACTAGCACGTTGCGCGACTGCGAGCTCTTCCTCTCGCAATCGGCTGGAGGAGCTCGCAGAGCGGAAGAGACGCCAAAGTCCCGACACCGACCTTCGCCCGGAAGACAAAAGTAGAAGAGAACGTGAAAGTATAGACGAAGAAGTCGACGGTGGGTACCGAGAGGCAGGCCGGCTACTGCCACGAGTAGCCCCGGCCTCCTCACCCCGCCATATTGTCGTAATTACAATGTAATTGATTCGATCGTAATAATTGACTGCTCATCGTCGTGCCCGTCGAGGTCGTGCTCATCCGAGGTCTCGACGGCACACGAGCCCGAAATGGCAAGAATCTACGGGTTCGCCGAAAGAATACGCGCGATGCTGCTCGTCACGTGCATACTCCTCCTCGAGTAGCCGCATTTCTCTCGACCTGCCGCACACCTGCGTGATCTCTCCGAGCTGATCCTAAAACGTAGCATTGCTTTTCCCGCGCGTCGCGGATCGCTCGCGCGCGGTCCGCGACGGTCTTCCTCAAGGTGTCTCCTCAAGGCCTCCTTTTAAGGCGACTTTATCCCGCGACACACGGCATATTTACAGTTATTTATAACGTTATCCTTTCGTACATCGAGGGGGCATGACACGGGGGATACCTAATGTGTATGTTTGTCTATGTGTGTGTACGTGTGTTGAGATGTACGTATGTATACATAATACGCTCTGCAAACGACGTAATATTTTCTGTCAAACATTACTCGAGAGTCTCAAGTATAACGAGATAAAATATATATATATATATATATATATGGATCTAAGATGTTCGCGCGTTACCGGACGACCTGTTCGCCGCCGGACGAACCTTCGATCGAAGCTGCTTTTTTAAAGATCAGCTCTCCGGACATTTTCGTTGCTCTCGTGATCTCGTGCGGTTTTTCGAAATCGGCTTTCGGTCGTCCGGAGTCGCCTCGGAAGTAAAGGTCTCTTTACTTCCGAGTGCAGAAACGGAAAGATCCTGCGGATACCTCCTGGGCGTAAGTTACACGCGGGTCGATTGTTAACGCGCGAGCACCGACCGACTTGGTTATCCTTCGCGTGACGATAGTTACATGTATGGTGTAAGAATGTATATAAGTATGTTCGTGTTTATACGCGGTGCGTAGAGATGGTTTCCGAAACCGAAGTCGCGCGAGATACGCTCGTTTCGAATGCTCGATGCCCTTCGTAGCTCGCGCGAAGGGCACGGTTGATTCTCCTCAACTATGACTACGAGCTATCGGTAAGTTCGCATGCGGCTGATCGAGCGACCGATCGTGTCCTAAGCGGGGGAAGATGGCAAAATTACAAAACACAGCGAATTCCACGCGGAGAATGCTTTGAAAGGAGCGAAGACGTATTAGTATCGTTCGGATATATATATATATTACAAAGACAGTCCCGAAGAAAAGGGCGAGGTTTCTCTCCGGGGTAATAAGAGCTGCATAGTAAAACGGTACGTTAAGGACAGTATCGATTTGTGTTACGGTAAATAACGTGTTACACGTAATGTATGAAAAACACAGCGGACGATTTTCCATGTGAAATCAAATCCGAGTCGCGGCGACGCAATCACACTCGACCATCTTACCTCTCTTAGAGTCCCACTTATTACTGCACTATTCGCTACGTTAATTCGCAACAGTAACGATAATCATAACAACAACTTTCTTCATCTTGACTGCATATTCGCGCGAGGCTAGAGAGAGAATCGATTCGCGCGCGCGCGCGCGCGTCGCCTCTCGTTCTCTTCGTTCTCCTCGTCCGAGGAAGAGAGGGGATCCTCGGCGTTAATTTATCCCGATGTTACCGATTATTATGTCGTCCCTACTGCTTACAACATGAATGTCCTACTGACTCGACGCTACTCGAAATGCACGAAGACTTATTACTTTGTGTAGTCAGTTAACGATAATGATTAACTCGTGCAGCCGCCGGCGACGGATCTTCCTTCCGAAGGATCCGCGCGCGTTTCTCCCACGCGTCGGCGGAATAGCCCGATCCTGCTGGTCGATTATATCGATCATTCTTCCCGCTATGTCCGACCGCTCTCCCACTGGTGTAATCGCATTCTTTGTTCTCTTTCTGCGCTAAGGATATGTGTCGGTGTCAACCTTGAAGGCGGCACCGTTATTAGTGAACTCGCGGTGGTGTTTGTGCCCGTTTCTGGCGGCATGTGCGCTGTAGATCCTGCGGCGGATCTTAGACGATGTTGGCCTTGACGATGGAGCTGCCCATCATGACCTTGTTGACGAAATTCACGATGGCTGTGGCCGGTTGTTCTGGCTCCAGCTCGGCGAACACGTGGCACTGATTGTCCGATTTGTGGGCGGGTTTCCTCGCTACGAAACCAAAGCAGCGACTGCAACAAGAATTCGACAGGCAAATTACTCACAGTTCAGAGCGATGTCTCGATCGGAATTTTGATCGCAATTAAAACCTTCGAAAAAAAGAATCACTCTCTCTCTCTCTCTCTCTCAATTGTTACATTTATGCCGCAGAATAATATTCTGTTTTATTTCTCACTGCATCGCGTGGTAAAAATATATTCCCTTCCGATGGAAACAAATGGAGTGGATACATACTGAGCGCTAAGGGGTCTGCTGGTGTCTTCGCTAGCGAATTCCCATGTGCGTTCCTCGGTGTCCAAGCCGCAGTAACTTATGTTATTCGTGGGGTAATGTCTGCGGAAGAACAGCTTCCTCGCGTTGTCGGTCAAGGTAATGCCCTGCGTGGAGACTTTGAAGTGAACGATCGTAGCGGCCGGCAGGGGTTTCTGCTCGAACAAGCTCGTGATGGCTTTCTTGATGGCCTGCGGCCCGGTCAGCGACTCCGTGTCAATCGTGAAAAGGTACAAAACGTTGCAGGCTGTAAAAAGAGCAACACATTCGAGAAGTTAGAGAGGAGAGAAAAGAAACAAACGAACGTTCCCTTCTCCACGACGGAAGGAGACGTCTGGTCGTAAACTCGTTGAAGGCACGAAACAATGAAATCCAGTGAGAATTGGATTTGCCTCCGTTTTGCTTAGTTAATCGCTCTAATTGAGAACAGCAGGCAAACGAATTAACCGGCACAACAGGGCTTAGGTCGTAATTCAATCTCGACCGAGTTTACGCTTCCATCTCCTTCTAATTTGACTTTATGCAAGAGTATCCCTCACGTAAAGTAGTTACCTGCTCCTTGCGCGAGAAGCTGCTGAGTGCTATTAGTACCAGGTGAATCCAAAGCTCTGGCGGCCGCTTCCGGCTCGGGTAGCAGCAGCTGGCAAGGCAGAGCCATGGCCATCAGGCTGTGCTGGTAAACCAAGGCCGATAGAGAGCTGAAGACCGGCTCGTTGGCGCATCCTTTCAGCCTGACGCCGCGCGATGTTGGCTCGATCAGGAAGTGCCTGACGAGCTCGCTCGATGGGTCCCGCGGACTGCTGGGAGCACCTGGAGGTGGCGTCGCTACCTTCAGGGCCAGCCCGAAGGCGCCCGGAAACGAATTGCTGTCGCGCACCACGAAAGTGCCGGGTGTCGCGTCCTTCAGCATTGAGATTGCTAAGGAAAGATAGTTTACTGTATTTTTGCGCTTCGTGCGTGAAAATCGAAAAACGAATATTTTCTTGAAACATCAAGCGAGGTAGTGTGAGTAGAGTAGAACTTGCGGGGATTTTCCTGCAGATATTACATCTTTCAGACCGTAATCTCAAAGATACTCGGGATATTTTCTCCCACGAAGAGGAATGTAACAGACGAAATAGAGAAAGGATCGACAAGCTCGGGACTCGGAGTTTTTACCTTGCTCCCGCGATATGTTGGGCTTGTACCAGATCCTACTGGTGTCGCGTACGAATTTCACATTGACGTCGGCCACCTCCTGAGGCTCCGTGTTGGAGTGAACGCTGGAGCGTCGTGAGCCGTAATATTGCACCTGCGGCGAGGATTGGCCGCCGCTGTTGATCGAAGTGTAGGACGTAGCGCTCTGCGAATCCGAAAGAAAGCGACGCTCGAGTACGTGTCTCTGTGTGCAAAATGTCGTATCCAACGTAGGCGTATTATCTCTCATCAAGAAAGATCGTAATCGCGTATAGCTCTGGAACTCCCCCCGGGCGGTGAGCGGAATTATTTTCGTTAAAGATTTACCTATTCCCCGCAGATGACCTTGATCTTGACATATTTTATCAAGGACACTTCCCTGAGTATCAATCAAAAGGTTTTAGCCGTCGCTCATTGTTTATTAAAAAATAATTAACAAAAGAAATTTCATAAATAGAATGTAAGTGTTTTCGACACTGTGTACACCGACACAATATATATTAAACAATGTTAAACAGTATATATAAGTGGGAGAGGGGCTTCGCCCCTCCCTAAACAAATCCTAACCTAAACTAACTTATTGCGTCTTTATATATTTCTGGACATTGTTGAACAACAAGTTCTCTTAAGATCTATCACCTAACCTAATTTAATTTATTATATCTGCATACAATTAGGGCGTTGTAGATTTTAAGGAAATCTTTTCGTATAAAGATGCAATAAATTAAGTTAGGTTAGGATTTATTCGGGGAGGGGGTGCGGGGGAGGGCGAAGCCCCTCTCCCGCTTATATGTACTGTTTCCTACATTTCTATATGTACACTGTGTTTGGATTAACTGTGTGGAAAAATTTATGAAACTCCATTTGTTCATAACTTTGTTATAAACAATGAGCGCGGGTTAAAACTTTCAGAACATTACTCAATACAGGACAACATTACAGAACCTTGATAACATATGTGAAAATTATTGACGTCGAGAGACAGTCCCTATTTCTACATAATTATAAAAAAAAATTTTTTGAAACTAAAAAGAACAGATGAAGTTGAAGGTCAGAAGTACGATGAATATATATTCATGTATAAGACATGTATAGCATGTGCTCATTCCTTAAATATGTACACAGTGTCGGAAAATTACATTCCATTTATGAAATTTCTTTTGTTAATTATTGTTTAATAAACAATTTAATAAACAGCGACGGCTAAAACCTTTTGATTGATACTCAGGAAGGTATCCTTGATAAAATATGTCAAGGTCATCGGCGGGGGGTAAGTAAAGATAAATTTACCTTATTTTCCATAAAAGCGGTGGAAAATCGCAATCGAGTCGAGACGTTAATTCCCAACGATAAGTCACGACTTCCCGAATTTCCACTCGCGGCTTATTCGCCGCGCGGCTCGCGGGGAAGCAGCAGGCCAAGTCGGCGAGTGTGTAATCTAATATCGCGATGCTCACCTTGGGGCTCTGGGCGAATTCAGCGTGGGTCGGTGTTCCAGGGCTGCGCGAAACAGCCTGCGGCTGCGACATCGTCGATTCGCTTACCGGAGAAACAGGTCGGTCCTTGCTGCAAAACGACCAACCGTGCACAATGTTAGAAAATATTCCGCGAGAATGCACCGCCGTATCCGTGCAGGCAGACGTTGGCTGGCTCGTGCATATAGTGCTGTACACGGTGAGGAAAACACCGGCAACAAGGGTGAAATACACACACACACGCACACACACATACAATCGGGGGAGAAGAGAATCTAGGCGAAAGGAGCGTCTCTCTAATGTTATATAGGTCAGAGTCGCCTCGGGCGAGAAGCAGGAAGGTGGAGCGGAAACAGAAAGACAGTCTCTTTTCTCCAGACGACGACAGCGACGGTGGAGGTGTGTTATTCCGGTTCCTCAGCGATCGCAGTCCACTACTTCATTGACACACGCTGTTAAGTGCCTTCTAAGGCCCGGTTCCACAAATTCGAGTTTAAACTAAGCTTAGCTGAACGGCTGTTGTATTTAACGTCGTGGTTAAACTTGCATTGCGTTCCACGTTCATATTTATAACTTATAGCAGTTTGTGTAAACCTACAGAGCCTGTGTATGAGGAAAGATCTTAAAGGTTTTGTGATTGGTTAATGGGGGAATTACATGCGGAGCAGGCCGTTTCCGAGACTATTTTTACAAATTTTTTTAACAGAAACGGTAGGATCATGGACTTGAAATTTTCACAGCGTATTCATTAATGTTTAAAGTATAAAATAAATTTGTTACCATCTGTATGGAAAGTACACACATAAAACTTTAAACGCGTTTATCTGGAGACACCATTTTCTTAAACTGTCGACACGATTATGCAAAAACTACCGAGTAACTTGAAATTTTTACATAATACACAGTAGACATGTAGTTTCCACCTCTACCCCGAACACAGTTATATTTTATTTTATTCATTTTTTGGAAAACAGCCTTTCACATGTAATTTCGCCTTTAATAATAAATAGTCAGAAATAGGATGGGAGGAAGAACGTGAGGACAAAATCAAATTGCTCAATTTCTGCTGGCACTGCTAATAACAGATCCTTTGGATAAACGAAATCGCGCATGAAAATCGATTCTTCTACGATGGTCGTTTCCTTATAATTTTCGGGCGTTCACAATTAAATCTTCAAAATTTTCATCTTCAGATAAGGAAAATATATACCTTAAAACTATGTTTATTCCCCTCTTTTTGTATAGATTATTTTCTTCTTATTCTTCGATCGATAAATCATAATGTTGTACCATCATAACTTTAATAAAAAAAGACGACAGGTATCTTGACTTTGAAATTGGCTGAACTACTAGTAATTAAACTTCGTCTGTGCTCGTTGAACGCCCAAAATTCGACGTCCAACTTCAACCACAGAAAATAGACGGTAAGTTTATGGCAATTGTGGGACGCAACGTTTCCTCTAAACTAGGTTTAACGAGTTCAACTCTGTTTAAAGCAAGTTGTGGAGCCGGGCCTAAGACGCGCGATGCAAGGAAGCGCGAGTAGTTTTGTTAGTCGAGGGTGCGACATACATACACATATACACACAGATACACACACACACGTGGCCAATGTGCGCTCGCGTGGCCGCGTGTTTGCTCTTAGCGTATCGTATCTGTGCGATACAATGTGCCGGAGTTGCTCTCGCTGCGACCGCACAAGCATGAGGTAACGAGTCAGTCAACCGTTCGCAATGTGTGAGTTGTGAGCTCTCCTTCTTTCCTACGAGTTACGATGAACGCTTGCAATCTGCAGCAACGACAAACATCGATAACGGTGCAGATGGAAAGAGAGAGAGACAGAGACAGGGACAGAGACAGAGACAGAGACAGAGACAGAGACAGAGGCAGAGAGAGAGAGAGAGAGAGAGAGAGAGAGAGAGAGAGAGGAAGAGAGAGAGAGAGAGGGGAACAGAGAGAGAAAGAGAGGCGATGAAATCACATGGATGCGTTATCTGAATCGTGAGAGAGGCAACAACAAAAGAGGCAGCAGAGAGGGCGGTCTTTTTCGTGAGGACTTTTTATGATGTCTCAGCGTGAGGAACGATCGATCATCCGCGTGACATGACACAGCTGCATTCCGAGCGTATCAACGCGCGCGCGGTTAGTAACGTGACACAAAACATTCATGGTGCACAGTTGGCGCGCGACGCTGCTCGTCGTCGCCGCCGCGGTGATTAACTCGCGCAGCTCGTTAATTGCTTATGTTGAATTACAGAAATTACATTCGCTCGCGCGATCCTTCGTGTGTTGGTGTTTGTATATATATATTACCTATAGTCGAACGACGCCGATTGGTTAGTGAGCGGCCATCGTTTGTTATGCGTTTGTTTAAGCGGCCCGCTTGCCGGGAAACTCAAGCGTCTAGAATCACGAACATCATTCTGCGTCATCATCACCGTCGCTCTGCGATCCTCCGTGTCGTGTTCGAGGGTAAATCTTTCGCGTCGCGAGATGCGACTGGTCTCTCGTGACTTTTCGGGGGCACTATAATATTTCAGCGCTCTACGGTCGTACATCGAAAGAAAGGAAAAAAAAAACCAAAAAGAAAAAGAGAGATTTCCGATATCTGAAAACGTTAGAAAATGCAGACAATAATGCGGGGGAGAATTCTTTCTTATCTCCTCTCTCGGTCTTCCGTTCACAGAAAAATGCGTAAATACACAAACGATGTGTCAGAGAGAGAGAGACCCTATTTTGCAAAGATATATAAATGTATACACGTGTCCCTGACAGAAATTTATTGCTGCCTGTAATAAATTGGCCAGTGATAATAGGTAATTTTCTTACTCGTACGAATAATTTATTGTCCATGAGTAATAAAATTACTTGTTATCACTGGCGAATTTGTCACAGCCACTAATAAATTTCTCGAAGACTGGCGAAATATTCGTAAGGGTCTGTCAAATCGTCCTAGTTTCGCGCGATCATACGCGCGCTCATGGCGGCAACGAGGAACAATGGAAAAGCTACAGGACCTACCGCTGTGTTGTCGGACTCTTGGGTGGAAGCCCCGTCTCCTTGGAGGCTTCTCTTCGTTCTTCGATATATATCGTTCGTTCGGCGCCGTAGCTCCCGACGTTGTTGTTGTTGTTGCCGCCGGCCTCGTTGCTGACGTTGTTGTTGTTGTTGTTGACGTTGTAGCTGTTGTTGGACGTGACGTAGGTGCGGTCGCTGGCGAACGTCACCGTCGGCGAGGCGTTGTTGACGTACGGCGTCCGCGGGTGGACCGGAAACGCCGGCGTCTGCGGCCGCGAGGCACCGCTGACGACCGCGCTTCCGGGGCTGACGCTCCTCTCGGTCCACGATGACGCCGAGTCATTGTGCGGCTGCGGAAAATTCACGGGGCCGATTATTATCGCTGGCGCACTCGCTCACTCACGCGCGCTCGTCCGAAGGCGCTTGGACTCGCGCGGGGCGCGACGGGGTTACGAAACATCGATTAGTCGCGTGCGAAACACACACCGCTGTTTGCTAAGACGGTCTATGCGCTACCAGCCAAGCGGGGCGTGCCGGACAAGCTTGACATGTCGAAAGTAATATTGAATTCTCAATTAGCGCCGACGCAGGGACAATGGGCTCGCACAATCTCTCTCGTTCTGCCTGGTGAAATCGGCGGGCACGATCGATGCTCTATTTGCGTCGTTATAAAAATATGTATTCGCGATCGTGTAAAAAAATACGATTGAAGACTTTCAACGATAAGACGCAGTTTCAGGAGTCTCCGTTTTAGCTATAGCTTTGTCCATTGCTTCAAAAGAAATATAGGATGAAGGAGATTTTCAACAATAGTGCACATTTTCACGAGGCTCCGTCTTGGACTTCTTCATTCTTACAAAAGTATATACGTGTGATCAGAGATTTTCAACTCCAATACAAATTTTTATTCGTCTTAACTAGTTTCTCCATTGCTTAAAAAAAAATATATGTCGGGTAAAAGAGAGATTTTCAACAATACACATTTTCACGAGCCTCTATCTTGGATTTCTTTATTCTTACAAAAATACGTACGATCAGAGGCTTTCAAATGCAATACAAATTTTTAAGTCTCCGTTTTAGCGAGTTTCTCCATTGCCACAAAAATACGTACGCGATGAAAGAGAGAATTCCAACAAAAAAGCACAAATTTCCCCATGAGCCTGCATTTTAGCTAATTTCTCCGTTGCTACCAAAATCTGTATATAACTTGGAGACTCAACGCGATATAACACCAATTTAGCCGAGGGTCTCCGCCTCGGCTACTAATCGCCACGATTAGAAGCAAACGCCGTCTCACTGACCGCGTCGTCGGCTAATCGAGAATCCCAGGAAAACGCGCGCATTCGTGACAGAAGAGAAAAGAGGGGGGGGGGGGCGGCAAGGCGAGTGCTGTTGTTAAAAAAAACGCACGGTTACCGAGACACGGGCGTGTCCGGAGGGCGCGAGGACGGTGGGACACAACAAACCTGGATGCAGTTCTGCCATGCTTTTGGCGACTGGTTAGGGGAGCGATTAATGGCATTGCTAGGCGCACTGGCGGGCATGGGGGTGGACGCGAGCGCCGCGTCGTTGGCAGCGGCGGGACGTTCGTCCTCGCCCTTAGACGTGGCCGGGGCCGCGCGAGTCGGCGTGATCTCGGCTAGAGACTGAATGAGGCTCACGAGAGGGTCAGCAGGCTGATCGACCACCGCCAACAGGCCGCCGTCCACCTGGTCCACCTGGTTGCTGCTGGCCGAGCTGTAGCTCCTGACACTCTGATAAGCGACGACGCGGCTCCGCGACTCGGGCCGCGCGTTTCGAGCCGAGCTCGCGTATTCCGCAGCCGAGAGCGCGGCCTGCTTCCGCTCGGGTTGCTCGTGGACGTTGCTGCCGTGGCTGGGCTGCAGTTGCTGATGCTGACGGTGTTCGCGCAGCAACGCGTCCGCGCGCGCGAAACTGTCGCTGCGCGATTCCGGCCGCGGCGGCGGCGGCGGCGGAGGCGGCTGCTGCTGCTGCTGCTGCTGCTGTCTCTCGACGTTGCTGCTGCTGCTGCTGCTGCTGCTCGATTGCTGGCTCGTCGCTAACCCTAAAGGTGGCACGGCCGCTAAGGCTGCACAGGGGGATGTCGGAGGGCTCTGGAATGCAAGCCAAGCGCGGTGCTACATGCCGGCGAACTAAGAGCGTTTAATCCTTTCGGTGCTATGCCCCCGAGTGTCCTCGATTATACTCCGCCGCCGCCGCCGGCGGCCCTAAGTCCGAATCGCTGTTAATTAATTGCGCGGGGCTAATTAATGGCGCGAGTTAACGCCGCCGGCTCGTTACGCAGCTGCCGCGTCAGCCGGGAATGTCCGCGTTATGGCCGGCCGGGCGGCCACGGACCGACACGGAGCGACATCTTTTTTTCTCTCTCTCTCTCTCTCTCTCGTCCTTTCCTTTTTTGCCTTTCCCTTTGCTTTTTTCTCCGAGGTCCGACCGCTCACGCAATTCCGCGCTCCGCGCGACGAACTTCCGCCCGCAGCTCGCGAAAGCGTGCTCACGCGACACCGAAAGTTACTCTCTTGATTAGTCCTTTTCTTTTTTCTCCACTCCGCGACATCTCGCTTCGCAGCCACCGCCACCGGAGCGAAGCCTCCCCCTCAGCTGATAAGTGACTAGTCAGCGTGATTAGTATCGCGTAATTAAGCGCGGACGAGGATCTCGCTAAGTCGTTAAGAGGTCTCGCGCTGAAACTCGACGCGACTCGGGCTTCGCGCGCGCACAAGCTGGAGGCTCGAGACTCGAAATTACAGTCAGACGTTTGGCTGGAAATTATGTCAGACGAGATCATGCCGGATTAGACAGATTAGACTGGGTCGCCGACGCGATCTGGGTCTCTCTCTGCGCGAATACCGTCGAAAGTATAGCACGGAAAAGGGTTAAAAAGGACTCTCTACCGCGGACACTGGCGACCGCCTAGGGGTCCACTACGTTTTGCAGGGCCGCTATTTCTTGCTATTTAGGGTCTAACTATATGCTATTGCTATAAGATATAGCGCTGGGGCGGGGGAAGGAAGGAGGAGTTTCCAGCTTGTTATCTATGGGGCCTAGTAAATTGTAGCGTTCGTGCTGTGCCGCCGTCTCATTGGCGTAAAGCGGGATCGACCGCGCCGTCGTTTCTCCACCTTCGTACGCGACTAACTGTTTCTTCCGCGCGCGATATTATCCTTGCAATCTCGAGCGGTGCCGAGCGATACTCGGGAATTTTCCAATATCCGGCGAGCGCGAGAATCGCGCGGCGATTGGGACTCGCAGGATCAACTCGAGACCCGCCGCGCGCGTCGCTGCTTTGACGTCCGGCTTCCCCTCGGATATTATTGAAATTTCGGGCAATGCGCCGCTCATCTCGCTCTCTCTCTCTCTCTCTCTCTCTCTCTCTCTCTCTCTCTGGATTTCTCTCCGGTGAAATACCGCTCGAAAGGTAAACCGGCAGCTGGCTTTCACACAAATTCGACTGACTCTTCATTGACACGAGCAAATTCGCCGGCTGGTGAGTGTCTCGGCTTGAAATCGCAGAGCGAGCTTACAGCGTTATTTCCAGCGCACGCGCGCGTCAGGAAACACGAATTCAACCCGGCCGATCAAAAGTCACTCGCACGGACGAAGAATCCATTTCAAGTTTCACTCTCCGACATCCGCTCCTGCGATTCCGGACGGCGGTATCTCCCGCATCGCGTCTCTCTCTCTCTCTCTCTCTCTCTCTCTCTCTCTTTCTCGAGTGCATTTTCCCTCGTTCTCAGCGAGATTTCGCAGGATGGACATTTTCCAAAGAGAGAGAAAGAGAGAGAGAGAGAGAGAGAGAGAGAGAGAACGCGATAACGGTCGATGAAACTTGAAGATAACGACGGTGCGGCGCTCGAAAGGTCGGCCGCGTGCGATCCCAGCAGTCTAAGGAGCAAAGTGCAGCCGGATGCACGCCGTCGTACTTACCTGACTGTCGCTGTACTTGCGGTACTCGTACGCGCGTTTCACGGAGACGAACGGCCGTTCGTTCATGCTCTCCGCGCGCGGTCTACCGAGGAGGGCGCCGCTTCCGATGCTGCCGTTGTACTTCCGGCTGCTCGATCTCTGCGGAAGTAGAGGACTAGCTGGCGCGGAGGTGTACGGTGCAGCTCTCGACGGCGGCTAATCGATAAACGACAAATGTCAGGCGAGTTGATCGTAGAACGCGCGACTCGTCTCTCTCTCCCTCTATCTCGTTAGTGAGCGCTGCCGTTTGTTTAATCACGGACGTACTCGGTAATGAGTAGCGAGAGAAAGTCATCGTACGTATGCTCGCGATCGCGCGTCTTCGAGATAACGCGAAGCTTGCGCGAGTTTAACAAACACGGGGATAAATTGCCTTCCCAACAAATCCAATCTCGATGCTATCGATGGATTTGCATTCTAGGATTGATAGCTCCTCCATTTTACATTTATCATCATATATATATTTTTGTATCATATATATATATATATATATATATTTTTTGCGTTGCTCGCTTCTTCTGAGTTATCCGTAGGCGAATTTATAAAACACCCAAAGAAAGGTATTTTATTTGTAAAGTGACTTTTCCCGTAATCTCATATTCTAAGCGAAGCTTTCTGCAGGAAGAAAACTGCTTTTTTGATAAAGCGATTAAAGTGAATTCATCTAAAATTTATTAGATATTATTCTGTTTTCCTCTTATTTCAAGAGGATTTTGTTCTTATATTCATTAATTTTCTTCTTATATGAAGAGGAATATTGAGGTTGATTTGAATGTCCGCTTATTTTGTTCAGTCATGCTCTACCTACAGACACGAACAAAAAAATAATTATATGCTCATGAGTCAGAATATTTGGGACAATTTTTAAAAAAGGTATATGCGTTGCTCTAATATATACAACGAAGATAATTTACCCGTATTTGGTCAAATATAGTTTATAATCTATTGCAACAAGTTGAATAATACATTCTTTCTTTTAACTAGGTTTCATACAATTGATTATGACGAACATCTTTGCAGCTATGAAGTCCGTAACAAAACTGATTGGAAATTTGTTTGTTGTGATGATTTTATTTTATTCGTGTCTACTTATTGTAGAACTGAAGCCAGAAGTGTACATTTATATATAACACTTTTCGCTATTATACATTATCATAACTTTTTCAAATTAATCAGTATAATCAGTAAGAATAAAGTACAGTAAAATTAAATAATAATTCTCTTAAAAAAAGATTAATCTGTGTATAAGAAGAAATTTATATTAAAATCAATAAGATTTGCATTATACATAGAACATAAATCCTCTAACTTTAAGAATAACGTGTTTATAATTATATTTTCGTGGAATCCTCTTGAGGCCATATATAAGAATAAAATCCTCTAAAATTTAGACGATTCCTTTTGTTTGTCCTAGTTTGTTCTTTGAAATTACTTTTTTTTTTTTGGGTGAAGGCAAGGAATTTTAAATCAATTCTCATCATCGGAGATGTAGTAAAATACGTAGGATAATTTCTTTCTTTGCTCGAAAAACAGTCAATCTCTACTTCTTACCTGTCCGGAAACGGAACCCATGTTCCACGTGTCGTCATCGTCGTCGAGGACCGCCGAGTCGCTGGCGTAGCCGTCGTGTCTTAATCTCCCTCTCTGCAGGCTCCTGAGCTCGCCGATGACACGGTTTCCGGTCTCTTGTCGCCAAAGCTTGCCAGGACTCCTTTCATCTCTCCTAGCGGCGAGTTTCAATTGCTGTTGTCTCAGCCATGACAACCTGAACGATAACGAAAGAAATGGAATTGCCTTATCGCGACCTCTTTGATGCCCCCCCCTCTCTCTCTCTCTCTCTCTCCCTTTCTTTCATTCTTCACCGAGAGACGTATCGTGAACAAAGGCAAGAAACGAGAATGACTCTATTAAGAAGAGAAAAAAATAGAATGTCCCTCGATCGATCGCTGTCGTCGCGAGCGGTACACGAGTCGCGTGGTCGATCGAAGCGCAGTGGTTCGCTCGGCTCGCGAGAGCGAGATATGCGATTTTCGATGCGGTATTTAACGACCGGCGAAACAATGTCAGCGAGTGAAACCAGACATTCAATAGCGCTACGTGAGTAATGACGAATGGTCGCGGCATTTTTCGCTTTCATGCCTCTCAACGAGACAGCCGACGACCTATCGCGTTACGAGGGACGAGCGGTTGAAAATACGAGAAGCCGCGCTTTCTCGGGGGAACCCGAGAACCGCGACTCCGGTAACAAAGGCTCGTTAGAACGCACGGCTCCTTCTCGCGGAATAGACCCGCGGAATTCCGCTACGCCGGATTCTGGACCTCCTACCACGATAGACGCCGATAATTACACCCTGATCGATGAGGTCGCCCCGGGCCATCTCAGCTCGTGGCTCCGGAGAGAAAGAGGGAGGGAGGGAGGGAGGGAGAGAGAGAGAGAGCGAGAGCGAGAGAGAGAGAAAGAGAGAAAGCGAGAAAGAGAGAGAGAGAGAGAGAGAGAGAGAGAGAGAGAGAGAGAGAGAGAGAGAGAGCGCGTTGCACTCGGCCGCTCTTCGAGATAATAAACGACGGCCTCGGTAGCCAATCAGCGTAAGTCACGGAGGATTTCTTTTTTCGAATAACGAAATTTATGCCCGTTCGAACGCGCGCAATCCCCGGGAGGGTTGTAAACTGCGTCTCCGCGCGAGCGAATTGTCGTTCGACGACGAGCAAGAAAGACAGAGAGAGCGAAAGTGAGAGTGAGAGAGAGAGAGAGAGCTGGTTAGTTTAAAGGTGAATCTCTTTAGGTCGTCCCGAATTCCCCCCGGCGATCGTCGTATCGCAAAAAGCCGCGCGATTTAATTTCACGAAAAATAATCACTCTGTGGAGACACGCGCGGCTCTCAACGCGAGAGACGAAGAAATTTCTCAAGAAATGATAAGAACTCCTTGCGTTTTTTCGGCCGCTTATTTCGGGAAGAATATTTACCTCGCGCGACGCTTCTAAATCGGCGAGCACGCGAATAAGCGGGAATTTCCCGGACGACAAGAGCGGAGAGCGCCATTTCGAAGCGCCATCAAATATGAAGCAGCCGTGTGTGAGCCTTCTCGCGCGTCAACCTTGACCGATCCGTGGAATCTGTATCCGAATCGAGTATCCGCGTTTATTATGGATGCGCCATTGATTGAAATATCGGTTTGTGTTTCTTGGGAAGCGAAACCGGACTTGGGGGTTATGCATTACTCAAGCGGAGAGCGGCGAATGAAATGAAACTCCGCGTCCATTGTTCCACGACGGATAATAGCGGGCGTTATTCCATCTTCGTTGCTTTATTGATACAGCCTGGCTCGCCTTCCGCGAAAGTTTATCGCGTCTCGCTCGCGAGATTTGTTTAACGCGCGCTCTCGCGCGCGCGCGACAATAAACTTCATCTCCGCCAGACGGCGATTGACGATTTATCGCGGTCGCACGCCGCCGAGGAATGAGCACGTCAGCCGCGATAACGCAGACGAGCGAGTTTGGAGGGAAACGCGACGTTTGGCCTCGTAAAAATTCCGAAACATCGAACATGAGCCCGAGGAACATCTCGGATGCGAATTTACGAATTGACGAATGCGCGAGGGAAAAGAAAGAGAGATCCGCGTTCGAGACTCAACTGGGCGGACAACAAAAACCGACCGAGGGCCGATCGATCGGACGAGGCAACGAGCGGCGGAGAACTCGCGAGGTCGCATTAATCTGCGAATCCGCGTGCGAGCGCCATTGGCACAGATAGAGGACCCTGTTGATTCGCCGCGTCCGCCAGCGTTATTATTACGCGAGCGGCGCGCAGTTCTCTGCGCGAGATGAAAAGTTCCGCTCTGTGCGCGGGAATGGCCGGTCCAGCCGGAAGGGACGGTACAAGCTCTCGCGAGCTTGCGGGCGAAATTATACGAGGCTTTACGAGCGGCTTTTGTGCTCCTACCTCCTCGCCTTCCGCTTCCGAGTGCCGTTTCTCTGATGTTTCCGCGGTTATGAGGGAGGAAAAGTTGCGCGCCGGCGCGGCGGCTGGAAAGAAGACCACTCCGTCGGGGCGTGACGCACGCGATAACGTAAGCGCGCGCGGAGCGAGCGCGGGGAGGAGGAAGGGCGAAAGGGCAAGGGAAAATAAAACTTTGGCCGGTGTGAATAATACGAAAACTAGGGCACAAGTGGCCACGCGTAAATCTCTCGGCGGGTCCGAACTCGCGACGAAGCGACTCCCTCGCTTCGTTCTCTTCGCGCACCTGATCGTCCCTCGGTGAAGTCGGCCGACGTGAAGATCACCGCCGAGGGGTCGCATGCGGCTCGAATGAGCGACGGCGGCGACGAAGACGCGCTGACGGTTCCGCGGGGCCGATTTAGCGTCTCTCTCTCTCTCTCTCGCTCTCTCTCTCTCTCTCTCTCTCTCTCGCCCGGTCTATATTTATAATTATGTCAGAGAGCGAGCGCGGCGCTCCCTGAAATAGGTGATTGCTCTCTCTCTCTCTCTCTCTCTCTCTCTCTCCTGTGCTGTCGCGGAGGCTGCGAGACCTGCTTCTCCGCGGCCGTCGCGGTGGCGCAACGGGGATTTTGAAACGCGCGTTCGTCAAGTGACACGTCGACGAGGTGCCGCTCGACTCCCGCGGAATGCCGGAGTTTCTTTCACTTTACCGTGAAAGCGGACCTGCCGAATGTCCGTCGACCGCCCGGACCGTAAACGTCTCGGCCACGCCGGCCTGCTTCCTCTCCGGCCGCTTCGTCATAAATACTCGCGAAAGCGAAAGCTCGCGGAATCGCGAAGCTCGCGCGTTTATTTTCACGGCGCGCTGTGGATTTTACGGACCGCTCCGTCGAGCCATCAACCCTTCGCAAGGCCATCATTTTTTGCCAAGCTATACCTTCCCCCTTCGGCTTGTCCGTGGGGAGGTGGGGAGCGGAAAGTTGAGCGTATCGGGGCTTTCGAGATTTTATCCTCACGGAGGAACTGGACGACACAATACCGGGGCGCCGGGATTTTTACGACGGCTTCGAGCGCGATGGAATCGTCGCGGAAGTGACGTGAGGAGATTCGTAGTAGTAGAGCACCGCGAGGGCGCTCGGGAGATGTTCGCGCGACGGAACAGTGTGACGCAAGTGGGGGTGCTTGACGTCGACGTCGAAATTGCGGAGTTCTCCTCGGCGAATCGGGGAAACGTCAGGGCGAAATCAGTTTACGCAGTTGGACGCGTCTCCGTGAGAAGCGAATCCCGCGAGTCGCCGCGCCGCGCCAGTGCGGCGAGCCTTAACAGACTCGCGTTTCACGCGTGCTTTCTCTTCCATTCACACGCGGGATGATCTCGTTCGCGAGTCGCACAGGGCGGCGCCGGGAGCCTCTCGGGCCGTGCTCGCAAAAAATTCATGACTTCGAGGTGAATGCCGTTGACACGATGACCGCGCGCGCTTCTTTTCCCTCCCTCTCTCTCTCTTTCTTTGTTTTCCCGTTAATTATCCAGGCTCGCGCGAAGTGGAGTAACGGCTAGAATTTCGCCCTTTCGCCGTCTCGCGGACTCGGCAGCTTCGACTCGCGACGAGCCGCTCCTCCTTGACAGGCGTCGCCGACGACATGATTCACGACGGCCGCGTTCGCCATTCGCGGCGGAGCTTTCGCGACGTGGCCGCGTATGGCTCGGCGATTTATTAATTGCCCACGGTCGGGCCACGGACTCTTCTGTTCTCTTTCTCTCCCTCACTCTCTCTCTCTCTCTCTCTCTCTCTCTCTCTCTCTCTCCTCTCCCTTTCTCCCGCCTCAAACGCGAGCGCGGCTCTTTTGCGGTGCCCGATTCGGACGGTGCGTTGCGACATCATGCGCTGCCGACGTCGGCCGTCTGGAAGCGCTGCCAAAGGCACGACACATCGGCTGGCTGACTCCGGCGCGATTTTCTCAAGCCGAGAAAGACGGCGGCCCGCGAGAACCGCTTAATCCGCACTCCCGCAGTCGCGTCGCGATTTTGCCGTCGCGCGGAAACGAGGCTCCTTTCGCCCGTTGACAGCGCGGAGTGAATAAGTATCGTTTGTCGCGAAATACGGGGAGAGCGTGATTTCTCTTAGAGTCTTCATGGGGGGGGGAGGGAGAAGGGTGTGGTTGACGATCTCGAGGAGAGAGATTGGAGCTGCGTAAACACGAGGCAGTCTTGCGCGCAATTAGCGACGCGAGGATATCTAGGCGAGACCTTGCTTGCTCCGAGAGAGAGAGAGAGAGAGAGAGAGAGAGAGGAGTTAAAGAGAGACAGAGAGGGAAAGAAGCCCCGAAACGCCTCTTTTGGAGCGGAGACTTCTTCTAGAAAGACTTCTTCTACATTAAAAAAGAAACGTTCCCCGCGATCGAGATGGTTCGCTTTCCGAAGCTATCCATCTCTTTCGCAAGCTGCTCGGCTTGGCCGACGACTGATTTCCTTATCTGCGGACCAAATGAAAACCCGGCCGGAGGGACGGAAAGGTCCGTCGTAGGAGGTTCCCGTTCAGTCAGTTATCCTCCCGTTTATCTCAATTGAGTTCCTCAGCGCGGCCGAACGTTCAGCCATGTGTGTCTCCTCGGCTCGCGCCGACGGAGATATCGTTTTTGAGTCACGGGTTTTCATCCGGGCCTCATCTGGACCTGGTTACCGTCGAGCAAAGTCCTGCCCTCGGCAGGAGTAGGTATGACGAGGTTTCCGTGCGTGTCGTTGCGGGAAACTCGGCCAGACAGAGTTCACTCACCCGTCCATGTGATCCGTGCCGCTCTTCATGGGCCCGTTCGCGAACTCCGGCGGCGGGTCTGGGGTGTTGGAGCTGAGGGGGCTGATGGGTCTTCTGGGGCTCTCGCCGAGGATGTCGTCGAAGTCGACGACCGGTGCCGCGCTGCGCACGGACGCCTTCCTCACCAGCGAGGGCGACGACAGCTTCTGATGCTTTATCATATCAGTGGTGGCGCCGTACGAGAACGGCTGGCTGGTCTGCCTGGCGTGATACGGTATATCCTCGTCGATGAAGTCGATGTTACCCGGCGGCGAGAAGGAGTCCGCGTGTTTCCTGTAAGACTCGTTGGAAGACTCGGACACCTTCCGGTCCGGAGAGGCGCGGTACTCGAAGTCGTCCCTCGACCGGTGCTCCACGCTCTTGGACGACTCCCTATACTCGTTCTTCAGGGTGCTGTAGCTGCTGCTCGAGTTGTACGGCGGGCTGGACTCTTTGCCGGCCCCGTAGCTTCTGTACGAGTCCTTCAGGGTGGAGTACGTGGAAGTCGGGTGGCTGCTGCCGTGGCTGCTGTAGCTGCGCGTCTCTTGGATGTATATCTTCTCGCTGCGGTCGCGGTTGTAGTCCTCTGCCGGAGGATCTGGCATGGACTGGAAAGAGGGTTAACTGTACCGCTCGAGAACTTCGTTCGCTTCGATCAGTTGATACAAACTTCCGACATGTTTTCCCAATATCGTGATCCCTCAGGGATCCTTTCAACTCACCTCGACGGTCAGCATCATATCATGAAGAAGCTTGTCGAGGTCCCCGTGAGTCTGATTTTCCGGCTCGGGTTCTGGCGGGCTGGGTCTCTGTGGCGGCGCGCTGCTTATGCCACTGTCCATGGAAACCGTCAGTGGCGAGCCGCGGGCACCTCCTGCAGCACCCTGGTGAACCACCGCGTACAAGGATCCATCTATGGGACCACAGGTATAACCTAAGCCACGAGGTGAGGTTTGAACCGAAGAGCTCGAAGGAGGTGGCGGTGATAATGGAGTCTCACGACCTTCTAGAAGATACACACACATTTCCTAGATATACTGAAATAATAACAACAGCAAGGTATACGTTGAAGCGGAGAAGCGATAAAGCGCGTCTCACAGCGAGAGAATATGACAGCGAAGTCATAAAGGTGTCAAAATCGCCAGGAGATGTATTTCTCAGCGTGGGTTCAACTTCAGTGAGTGCGTACTTCAATCCTCATAACTTGGGCGCTATTGTGCATTCTTACTCTTGTCGAGAACGCGTATTATCTCACCGTTGAATAGAACGTAACTCGAGTGATTTGTCTGAATTGAGAAGCGGCGCACAGTGGGGCCAGATGTGACATTCTTTGCTTCAAAGTTCTCTAGAGATTTTCTGAATTTCCAACCGACCATCGACACCAATGTGGATGAGGAGGTAGTTGATCCTGAATAAATCCCGAAGAGATCTATCTTGCCAAAATTTAAAAAGAAATTTTTTTCTCGAATTACCAGCCCCGAAAGAGGAAAAATTATCGTTGAACGCGAGAAACTTGTGAAATACTCGATTATTCGACACTTATTTCTATCTAAGAGCGTATTCAGCGGATTGAAACTATAAAATCAATCAACAGACACCTCGAGATTTATCGATCTTGAAGCAGAAACCCATTAACCCAAAACTCATCAGCCCAAAATATGCTCGAAAACATCAAATATAGACCCGTTAAGCGCAAAACCGAGGAATTTTGAGTCTTAAGTCCATCAACTTAGGAATCAATCGATCAATCCGAGAACTTTTCAGCTCGTGGATGCACGAAGCCGTATATACGTAGGCAGTCTGAAAAGTTCTCAGCCTAACAATGAAGGAAAACTTTTTTTGCCATGAAATATGCTTTATTTCTCAATGTCATCTTCTGAAACTTCAATACATTTATTCCAACGTTTTTCCAATAATTCAATACCCTCATTAAAGTGTGACTCCAGATCCCAGAAGGTTCTTTTCGCTCTGGTGTATCCAGTGGTGGATCCAAGTTTCATCAACAGTTATAAAACGACGCTTGAAATCCATTTTATTTTGCTCAAAACGATCCGAACACGCTTGAGAAATACGCAGTCGAATGCGTTTTTGGTCAATTGCTAGCAAATGCGGCACCCATCTTGCGCAAAGCTTTTTCAACTGGTGCTACTACTCGAATGACAGATCGAATAAAATTTTACATGGGTTTATATCAGGGATGCCACTTTCCGATACAATTATAATTTGACAGTTTTTACCGCCATATATGTGTCAGGTCGAGAACTTTTCAGACTGCCCACGTATTAAGAGCCCCAAATAGTCCAAGAACCCAATCTAGCCACACCTCGAGAACCTAATAATACTCGACGTTGAATATTCAGCTATAAAACATTAAGTTCGAGTCTAGAACTGTACTTTAAACGATAAACTTTCAAGACCAACCCTAAACTCTGAACCGATAATTTTTTTCAAAATTTCGGCTAGACAGATCTCTTTGGAATTTATTCAGGATCAACCTCATCCATTGGTGTCGATGATCGATTGGAAATTCAGGTCTCTAGAGAATTTTGAGACTAAAAAATGTCATCCGGCGTCCGCACTGTGCGGCGGGGCGATTAATTGTTCGAATAAGCGGGCCGGCATAAATCGAGAGCGAAAGTACACGAGGCTCAGGGTTGAGGATTCTAATGGGGGATAAGAGACGCGATCGCGCGCGCAGGCTGTGAGCCGCGAGTAAATTCTCTCGGATTCTTCTCGCAGAGGAATATCTACGGGTACCCGCGTGAACTATAATTCCGCGGGCCCCGGGAAATCGAGGAGCTTGTTAGAGGAACAACCGCCGGCCATAAATTGTTGACTGACGCCGCTCTTGGCTACGAATCGCAATGAAGAACTTAAAAATCGTCCGTCCCGTATATCCCCTCTCACTGGCGCATCAGCGCCGTTTCCAGCTAATTGCTCGAGTTTCGCTACGACGAGTTACGACACGACGCGGAATGTTTACGACTCGGCCGTTCGCACAGCGCACAGTGGAAATGTGACAATGATGATGCAATCATAATTCCGCGCTGACTTTCATCAGCGCGTGTTCCTCCGTCCAACTTACGCTTCGCCGCGCCGCTCAACGCTCCGCTTCGGCGGAGAGCTCTCGCTCTCTCTCTCTCTCTCTCTCTCTCTCTCTCTCTCTCTCTCTCTCTCTCTCTCTCTCTCTCTCTCTCTCTCTCTCTCTCTCGGGATGAAATAAAATCGATCTCTCACTCGAGCAGCGACTAACAATCGAGATGGGCGGAAGCGTTTACGCGTAGCACGGTCGGCTACAATCTAAACGAGACAATGGCCCGCTGCGCGCGACATGATTTTGTCGCGTGCATAACTCCCGCCCCGCAACACCGTCGCAGTGTTCGCCAAGTTCGCAACAAGGCTTTCTGGAAATGCATGGACCGGCGGCCATGATTACTCGGCTCCCGCCGGCCGCGGCGCGGCGTCTTGCTCGCTCTTTCTTGGGCCGCGGACCTCCGCGGATGCTTCCCTCCCCCGATGACCTCGTGACACGGGACTAACCTACCGCAGGGATTACGTCATCGAAAGCGCGCGAATTACTCGGGCATGACACAACACGGATTAGCGGTAAATTGGCAAGACCGCTCCGAGGAGGGGAAATTAGACATACGAGGGGCGGGGGGGTGGTGGATGACATTCCGCGATGACCTTATAAAATCGAAAGATTGCACGCTCCGCACAGCCTTCCTCCGCTTGTGCGAAAGATCTTGGGACGGGGAAAAATGTCCGGCTGGGTGAATCCATTTTCTGGCGAGGTACAGAAATTCCGATTTCGAAGACAGGTACCGAAGTTTTATTTCTCATCAACCAGAAATCTCGATAATTTAGACTGGACTTGTAATAACTTCAGCCGGAATCAGCTCGATCGTCCAGTATTTCCGTCTTTCTCTCGGCGTCGAAAAGATATCGACGTACTTGACATTCTTCAATTCAATGCATCAGCGACGGAAGAGTCTCATCAGCCGGCCGTTAATCGCGCACGAAACTCTCGTGCGGAATCCGCGCGGGGTAAAAGGAAGCACGACGGAGGAGCTTGGAGCGGCAAAAAGTTTATTTAACTCACACTGGGGCGAAGTTGGGTAACCACGTTGGAGATAAAAAAGACGCGAGCCCAGCTGCAAATACAAATAACAAAATCCGGCACGCTCCCGGGCCGTTGGAGGAGGGGGAGGGGGAGGAGGGGATCGAACTTCAGCCGGAGCGATAAAAGTTCGGCCGGATCCGCTCGCCGCGAAGTGGAAGCGCGAAATTGGGGGAAATGGGAGTTTGGACGCGTGACTTCGTCGCGAACGAAGTTCCGCGGCTGTTAAGGGTTCAATTACTTTCGGGACGCGCTGATGACTCATCACCGCCATCGCTCGATACATGCTAATAATGGAGGAGCGTGTACGCGAGCGTCTCGCGCCGAGCGATGATCGAGCCATTATTATTGCACCTCGAGAGCGTACATAACAGCCACGTCGCAGGAACCAGTCTGGCGCGAAGCGACGCGCATGCATTCGTTAATTCCACGAACGTTCGCAGGATTAAAACACGACACGACGGCGAGCGTCGCTGCCGCAGCAACGAGCGCCGCGTTCTCACGGGGTGCGGCAGCGAAAGAGAGAGAGAGAGAGAGAGAGAGAGAGAGATCCGGCGTATTCGGTACTTGAATTAAGCAAGACTCGAGCTGGGAGGCTAGTAGCACCTATACGACCACGGCTTCTTCGCGCTCCTTCGCGTCCGGTTTGCGGGTTCGAGGTCTCTCTTCAGCTACTTTATATGCACCGACAACGCCACGTCCAGCTGAAAAAGAGCAACGCGAGGGGAAGTATCCGCGAGAGTGGCGCTGTGGAAACGCGTGGCGACGGCCATACGCCCCGGGCGGGGGGTGGGTCCTCTCTTTCTTCCTCTTTTGCTCTCCTTCTGCCGGTGTGAGGAGCCCTTAACGGGTCTCCTCGCCGAGAGATGCGTATCCGGTAGCGCCACGTGCGTGCCCGCACAATTTCGCGCTGCTTTATTTTTCGCCCTACCCCCTCTGCCCTTTTTTCCTCGCGCTCGCGCGTTCTCTCTCTCTCTCTCTCTCTCTCTTGCTGTCTTTCTCTCTCCCGCAGCTTCGAATCGCTCGCTTTGATCCGACATTCCGGTGCGCCACGGGATGCAAGTGTGGCCGATGCGCTTGGCGCCTTAGGCCCCTGTCACACTCTACGTCTCTCTCGGATGACGGCGGCGGCGGCGGCGGCGGCGGCGGGGCGACGGCATGCAGTCGAGAGAGCGCCGCGATAACGCAATCGCGCCGGTTACGAGGCCGGGCTATCGACTTGATTGGAATCCGCGGGATGCAATTATTTGTTTGTCCCGCGGTGCGCTACGCCGGCTCCGCTTCTCCGGAATGGCCGTTTCTTACTTTGGCACTTGCGAAGCACGTCGTGCCAATGATCAGACTTCTCGCGTGTTCCGCATGACGAAAAGATCTCGATAGCTAACATCTCTTGGGAAGAGATGCGTGTCAACATGGCGGCCTCGAGAATCAACAGTCGTGTAAGTTCGAGCGGCGAAGGACGAAACGAGCGGAGTGCGCGTGAGAGACACTTCGTCGATCAAAGATCTGAACGTCTCGACCGGCGCTGCCTCGCGAGAAGGCATCCCGGCGCTTAAACGCCGCCAGCCGCGTCACCTGAAGAGGAGAAAAATCTTGTCGCGTATTCTCGATAACACGGCGGAATATGGGCGGCCATAACGAATCTCGCCGGGTTCTATTACCGTTCTTACGAACAAGCTCGCTGCGATAATGGCGTGCGATCGGGATCGGCGATCGGGCTAATTTAAGATCATCACGGCGGAGACTCCGCGAAGGACATCGGGTATAATCTCTAGGGGCGTACGGGTAGCTTCATCTGAATTCAATCCACGTCGTCGCTATCTCGTCGACACATCGCGCCCGGTATAAATCATTTTTATTCGCCAGCGACTCCCTCTCTCTCTCTC